TAGAGCTACGTCAGGACTGCATCGCACGGTACCAAATGCACACATATTCACACAGAAGCAGGTGTGAGGCTTGGACTCACAGTCATTTTAGCTTCATTTCCCCCTTCTTATTTTAAGGGAATAACATGTCTTGTCCTTCTGGCTGCAGCAAGGTCTTTGGATACATGCAGACAAGCAATGCTAAAGAGGGGATCTATTGTTCTGATCGTTATATGTAGCCCTAGTGTTTGCAACGACGGCTTTCTACTGCTGCATTTGAAAAGTCCAGAAATCTTCTGTAATAATAATAATAGTAATAATAGTAATAGTAATAATAATAATAATAATTTATTTATACCCCACCCATCTGGCTGGGTTTCCCCAGCCGCTCTGGGTGGCTTCCAACCGAATATTTAAAACGATACAGCGTCAGACATTAAAAATTTCCCTAAACAGGGCCGCCTTCAGTTGTCTTTTAAAAGTAAAATAGTTGTTTATTTCCTTGACATCTGCTGGGAGGGCTTTCCACAGGGTGGGTGCCACTACCGAGAAGGCCCTCTGCCTGGTTCCCTGTAACCTCACTTGTCACAGCGAGGGAACTGCCAGAAGGCCCTCGGCGCTGGACCTCAGTGTTTGGGCTGAACGATGGGGGTGGAGATGCTCCTTCAGGTATACTGGGCCGAGGCCGTTTAGGGCTTTAAAGGTCATCACCAATACTTTGAATTGTGCTCGGAAACGTACTGGGAGCCAATGCAGATCTATGTAGCCCTAGTGTTTGCAACGACGGCTTTGAAAAGTCCAGAAATCTGCTGCAAAGTCAAATCTGTCCAGCGCAAAAAAAAAAAAGTTAACTCGCATAACCTGTATTAATAATGCCAACTAGGTACATTTGCTCAGTTTGCTAATTTGAGAGTCTTGTGCTTTTAATGGAAGATTGGGAGGAGGTCCTGGATTCCCGTTTCAGGCCAACAAACCACAAGCCTACTTGGTCTCTTTTTCCCTCTCCGCAAGGAAGATGCTTCTTGTATTTCACAATATGTTGCCTACCTGTATTCAACCCTAGTTTGCTGCCTCAGGGACTAGAAACTTGGGGGGGGGGTTTAAAACACACTGTATCTGATAATGAATTTGACAGGGTTGCTGAGTGCATACAGCCCTTAGCCACCGAGAGCCATCAGTCTGGGGACACCCTTTTCAGCTTATTTGAAAAGTGTGTGTGTGTGTGTGTGTGTGTGTGTGTGTTTGTGTGTTTCAAGCTCTATCAGTTAGGTGGGTGTTTGTTATAATAAATAAATAAATATTTATTTATTTATACCCCGCCCTTCCCGGTTCAGAAAACCTGGCTCAGGGCAGCTAACAACAAATTTAAAACACTTAATTGATGCAACAAAACCCAGCATAAAATACAGTATAAAACGTGAATAATAAATTCAGAATTCAAAAATCAATTTAGGGGGAAATCCATCCTATAAACATTAGATGATCACCAGGGCTAGCTGGCTGAATTAGTCTTATTTGGGCCAGCAAGGAGACCAGGGGAGAATTAGCTGTGGGATCCCAGAGCAGGTAATCTTCATAAAAAGAGGAGGGGGAGGGAAGGAAGGGGAATAAAAGATCAGGCTAAGTTCAAATTGAAAGCCAGGCGGAATAGCTCTGTCTTACAGGCCCGATGGAAGGAGGTTAAATCCTGCAGGGCCCTAGTCTCATGGGACAGAGCATTCCACCAGGTCGGAGCCATCACTGAGAAGGTCCTGGCCCTGGTGGAGGATGATCTGACTTCCTTAGGGGCCGGGACCTCTACACTATGATTATTTATGGACCTTATGGTTCTCTGCGGGGCATATCAGGAGAGGCGGTCCCGTAAATACGACCTTGCCTCCCTCCCACCCTCTTATCTTCTCAGGGGTGCGGGTGCTGCGACAGGACCCCGTAGAATGCCTCTTCTCCTTCATCTGCACCTCCAACAACCACTTGTCGCGTATCACGAACATGATCCAGCATCTGTGCCAGGTCTTTGGGCGCCGCCTCTGTCAGCTGGACACCAAGACGTACCACGCATTCCCTTCGCTGCAGGCAATGGCAGGTAAGGATGCTCTTCACGGGTGATCCAAGAGGAATCTGGACTCAAACTGCATGGCGGCTGCTGTCCCTTAACAACTGAGCATGGAATATGGTGAAATGCTATAAAATCTTTGCCTCAAGTAGCTTTTACCCGCTGCCTTTGTTGGTGCTGCTTCTTGAGTATCTGGAACAATGAAAGGCGGCAAATTTATTGACGGCTGCAGAAACTGAGATCGCTAATGTGTGGAATTAGGACGCCGGTGGCACTGTGGGTTAAACCCTGCTCCTGCCAACCTAGCAGTTCGAAAGCACGTCAGAGTGCAAGTAGATGAATAGGTACCGCTCCAGTGGGAAGGTTAACAGCATTTCTGCGTGCTGCTCTGGTTCGCCAGAAGCGGCTTAGTCATGAGGGCCACATGACCCGGAAGCTGTACGCCGGCTCCCTCGGCCAGTAAAGTGAGATGACCGCCGCAACCCCAGAGTCAGGCACGACTGGACCTAATGGTCAGGGGTCCCTTTACCTTTACCTTAATGTGTGGAATTATCCAAAGGGGGCCTTCTGTGGAGGATTGGCTGGCATTCTTTTGAGAGACTAAAAAGGGAGTGGGTGGTGCTATGGTCTAAATCACTGAGCCCCTTGGGCTTGCCGATCGGAAGGTCAGCAGTTCGAATCCCTGCGACGGGGTGAGCTCCCGTTGCTCGGTCCCTGCTCCTGCCAACCTAGCAGTTCGAAAGCACGCCAATGCAGGTAGATAAATAGGTACTGCTGCGGCAGGAAGGTAAATGGCATTTCCATGCGCTCTGGTTCTGTCATAGCGTCCCATTGCGCCAGAAGCGGTTTAGTCCTGCTGGCCACATGACCCGGAAAACTGTCTGCGGACAAACATCTGCTCCCTTGGCCTAAAAAGCGAGACAAGCACCACACCCCTAGTCGCCTTTGACTGGACGTAACCGTCCAGGGGTCCTTTGCCTTTTTGCCTTAATGTTGATTTAAGCAGGATAAATCTCCTGAGGGTTAGGAAAGGATAGCCTGTAACAAATTCCAGCTGGATACACGGAATTAATTTTGTTTGTTTATTTGTGTTTTATTGAGAGTATTACAGTGAGTTAAAGTAAATAAGAAAGAAAAGAGAAGAGAAAAAGAAAAAAATACATTGAAAGCATTTAAAAAAACAGGGGAAAAACAATAACAAAATAACAAAAATATATAATTAAGGTTGCAGACCTATGTAGTATATATGTAAATAGATAAACTTATTGTTTCCCTCAAGCATACGTTGGTTCATCAGTCATTATGGTGTCTATAAATAGGTTCCAAAGATACAAGGGATTAATATACAGTGGTACCTCGGGTTACATACACTTCAGGTTACATACGCTTCAGGTTACGGACTCCGCTAACCAGAAATAGTACCTCGGGTTAAGAACTTTGCTTCAGAATGTGAACAGAAATCGTGTTCCGGCAGCGGCAGCAGGAGGCCCCATTAGCTAAAGTGGTGCTTCAGGTTAAGAACAGTTTCAGGTTAAGAACGGACCTCCGGAACCAATTAAATACTTAACCCGAGGTACCACTGTTTTTGTTTTTGGGATGTGGAGCATGCGTGTTACAGTGGCATTGCTTCGTAGCTGACCTGTAAGCTGTGTGCTCATCTTTTAGAGGACCGGTTAATGGACCAATGTTGTGTTAGCCATTTCTTTTAGGAAATAATAATGGCTGCCGGACATGCGTCTTTCTCTAGACGACCGTAGCGTTTCTTCAAAAGGCTGCCATCCTTCTTTGGGTGTCCTGTTGCAGGAGCAGACACAGAAGCCCGGCTGCGGGACCTTGGCTTCGGATATCGGGCGAGGTTTGTTAGCGAGAGTGCCCGCGCTGTTCTGAAGACTCTTGGTGGAGCTGCCGGCTTGCAGCAGTTGAGAGCCGTTCCTTATGAACAGGCTCGACACGCCTTGTGTACACTGCCTGGAGTGGGAGCCAAGGTGAGTACAAATTAGGCGCCTTATCCCTCTGTTGTTATTGCCCACCTAGCGCCTCCGTTAACATCTTTTGGGTGCCAGGTAAAGACTTGGGGTTTCCCCTGCAATATGATGTTGTTTAGTTACTAAGCGTGCTACCAAAGGTTCCTGTGGCTTGTTTCATTCTGCTTTTATGGTGTATTGTGTTTTTACGTTTTCAATGCGTTGTCGGTCAATTGGAGACCTTCATGTAACAAGCAAACTAACAAGTTTGAAGATGGTGTTGATAATTTTAACAATAGTTGTATTTTATTTTATTGTTCTTTCCGAATGTTGTTCCTGATTTGTGTTATAGTAAGGTAGGAGAGCTGGGGGCGGAACCACACATCTGGCAACCAATGGGCCCCTTTGGTTTCACATAATACATGGGTAGATGAGCCTAAAAAGCCCAGGATGCAAATTTTTCACAGCCCTCTAGCAGCTATGGTGGCTCATTTACCAGAAGTAATGTATTTAGCGTTAATTCTGGAAGTGTATAAATAATAATAATAATAATAATAATAATATATTATTTATACCCCGCCCATCTGGCTGGGCTTCCCCAGGCACTCTGGGCAGCTTCCAACAAAATATTAAAATACAGTAATGCACCAAGCATTAAAAGCTTCCCTAAACAGGGCTGCCTTCAGATGTCTTCTAAAAGTCTGGTAGTTGTTCTTCTCTTTGACATCTGGTGGGAGGGCGTTCCACAGGGTGGGTGCCACTACTGAGAAGGCCCTCTGCCTGGTTCCCTGTAACCTCACTTCTCGCAGTGAGGGAGCCGCCAGAAGGCCCTCGGAGCTGGACCTCAGTGTCCAGGCTGAATAATGGGGGTGGAGACGCTCCTTCAGATATACTGGATTCTGACCAAACTAAGCCTCCCAGAGTTGAATATTAATGTATTTGAAATTTGCTTCTCATTCTTGTACTGATGTATTAAAATGATAGGCCTTTAGGATGCCTCATTTTGCTGATTAAAGGGGAAGAGAATTAAGGTTTTATGGCCATATTTGGGGGAGTCGTACTGAGGTATATTTTGGCATTGGTTGCCAGCTGTGAAATATATTGGTATTATTTTCAAGCTCTCCTACCCCACTTATTACTGCCGGTTCTTGCTGTGTGCTAATGTTGTTACATGGTTTTCAATTTATTATGAATGGCACATTGTGAATTTGTACGCTGGGGAACACCTTGGGCCGGTTTGATCCTAAAAGGCAGCTTACAACATTTTGAAGAGAGTGAACGAATTAATACATAAATATGGCACAAGGGCTGTAGTGTGGTAGGGCAGGGGACTGCTTGAACTTTGACACACGGCTGCCTGTTTGTAGCTGTGTGTCCTCCAGCAACGCAAACAAGGGCCGCTATCGTGGTGTAATTTTCTTCGCTTCCCTTTGCAGGTGGCCGACTGCGTGTGTCTCATGTCTCTGGACAAGGCAGAGGCCGTGCCGGTGGACACCCATATATGGCAGGTTGCCAAGCGGTACTACGGCCAGGAGCTCGGCATGGGTGCCCGCAGTGTGACTGAGCGGGTGCACCGAGAGATCGGTGAGGGCCAGTGGGGTCAGGTGCCTGCCTCTTGTGAACCCTTCCTGGATTCGGTTCAGCATGCAACCTCAGACTTGCATTCTGCATTGGGACCCTTGCCACTGTGGGTGGTGCTGTGGTCTAAACCACTGAACCTAGGGCTTGCTGATTGGAAGGTCGGCAGTTCGAATCCCCGCGACAGAGTGAGCTCCCGTTGCTCTGTCCCAGCTCCTGCCAACCTACAGTTTGAAAGCACACCAGTGCAAGTAGATAAATAGGTACCGCTGCAGCGGGAAGGTAAACGGCGTTTCCGTGGGCTCTGGCTTCCGTCACATTGTCTCATTGCGCCGGAAGCGGTTTAGTCCTGCTGGCCACATGACCCGGAAAACTGTCTGTGGACAAACGCCAGCTCCCTTGGACTGAAAGCAAGATGACCTTTGACTGGACTTAACCGTCCAGGGGTGCTTTACCTTTAGGTCCCACTGCTTGCTGCTGTATACTGCCGGCATAACTTTAAAACAAGGTGACGATGACAAAGTGGGCAGCAATGCCAACTCCTTCAGAAAAGCACCAGAAAATACACAATTTGCTTGCTCGAGGCTCGCAGAGGCTCCATCAAATAGAGGGGTTAATGGTTTGCTGAAATGCCACTCAACTGTGGCTGCTCAGTTGCAACTTCTCAAACTCAGTCTTGCCTTCCTCCCAAAAAGCAGAGGGCAGCAGAGCCCTTTCAGTTATAGAACAAGTTAGAACCAATCATTGCCAATTGCTACAAGGGCTCACCATGGTTTGTCAGGGAACTCCTCTCCTAATAATAATAATAATAAAATTTTATTTATATCCTGCCCTCCCCAGCAGAAGCGGGGCTCAGAGCAGCTAACAACAATAAAAGTAACACAGCATTCTAAAATTAATTCATTTTAAAATCAATTCAAAATCAAATTAATGGCAACCATTGGGCTAGAGTTCTGCGAGGATTACCAGAGGAGGGGGTCAGAATGTGCCTTGGCCAAAGGCCTGGTGGAACAGCTCTGTCTTGCAGGCCCTGCAGAAAGATGTCAAGTCCCGCAGAGACAGAGCGTTCCACCCGATCGGAGCCACAGCTGAAAAAGCCCTGGCTCTGGTTGAGGCCAGCCTAACCTCCCTGTGCCCCGGGACCTCCAAGATATTTTTGTGTGAAGACCGTAAGGTCCTCCGTGGGACATACAAGGAGAGGCGGTAAAGAGATTAGGGCTCTAATCTTCAGAATGGGGGTGGGAACATCCGCATAGATAGGAAGCATTCTGGCCAATGTGAGCCAAGGAAGAGACATCACCATGTTTTGGCAGTAAAGCACCTGCTTTGAGTGCAGAAAGTCCCATGTTTTATCCAATCCTGGAGAGGCAGGGCAGACAGTACGCAGCTAGATGGACCCAATGGGTCTTGCTTGGTATAAGGGAGCTTCCTTTGAAGAACTGGTTGTGTTAATCCACTCCCTTGTCAAGGCACCTTGTTGCCTTCCAACTCACTAAGGCTGCCCTCTTGACTGCTCTGCTTTCAGGGAACTTTTTCCGGAGCCTGTGGGGACCATATGCGGGATGGGCGCAAGCGGTGAGTAAATGAGTGGGAAATCCTCTTCTTTTTCTTCTGCGGCTTTGTGCAAGGCCGTGTGTGAGAAGGGAACGCACAAGAACAGCTAGATCGTCCAACTGCAGGAGTCGGCTTGAGGGTAAAGTAATTCAGAATTGTAAGAATCTTAGCTTTCATTGATTTTTTTTGTTAAGAGCATCTGAATGAATGGCCAGTGTCTGGGGATTATCTCAGAAGCAGAAACAGTTAAGTAAATCTGATCCAGCTTTTCTTGCCACAGCGACTTGTAGGGGAATATTTACTTCATCTAGGCCAGGGGTCTGCAAACTTACCGCGCCTCGGGCCGGTGTCTCCAGTGCCGATCACACGGCGAGGGAGGGCGTGCCCATATGCATGTGCATATGCTATTTCCGGCGCATTTCCAGGTTGGAGGAGCACCAAAAATAACTTGTGTGCATGTGAACGGGCCTCCTCCGACCCGGATGTGTACTGGAAATAATGCTTGTGCATGCGCAAATAACACTTGCACATGCACACAAGCTGTTTCCGGTGCTCCTCCGACCTGGAAGTAGGCAGCCGCGCAGCTGTTGTGGACGGCGGGGGTGGCCTGCGGGCCAGATAAACGAGTCCCTCGGGCCTTAGTTTGGGGACCCCTGTTCTGGACTATGTTAAAACATAAGAAGAGACTGGCTGGACCAGACCCAAAGTCCACCTGGTTTAGCATCTTCCTTCCCGTAATGGCCAACCAGGTGCTCCCAGGAAGCTCGCAAGCAGGGCTTGGAGGCGATAGCTTTCCCCACTCCTCCCCAGCACTGGTGGAGGAAGAGGGGTGCAGGAGGAGCACACCGCCCCTGGCGGCGCGATCCCAGTGGGGTGCCGTTGCGGCTGCCCCCCCTGCCCGCACTGGGTGCCATGTCCCCGCAGGTGGCGTGCCACACCCCTGGGATGCGCGCCAGCCCCTTCCCTTCCTGCTCTCCTCCCCCCCCCCCCCCCCCGTGCCAGAGCAAGAAGCTCCACCACTGCTCCCCAGTCGTTGCAATTTTTGTGGAATATTTCCTCTGAACATTAGCCAACATGGAGAACAGCCATTGACAACTGGGACCAGCAAGTTTTTGCTGTTCCAGGTCCCTCTCCCCGCATGTCACCTTCTTCCCGACTCTTCTCTGCCTCCTCTATTCCTCACTTTCCCCACCTCCTCCTTTCACTTCGGATGCAAAGTTGTCTTTTCCCTTTTATCCATATCCGGAAGAGATGCGTTGGCTGTCTCTTTTTCCTGTCCAAGGATTCTCTGGAGCCTGCAGTGGTCATCCCTCGGTTTTGTGGCAGTATGTTCTCCAAATTAATTAACATGTTGTGTGAAGAAGTTTCTTCCTTCAGTCTGTATATACAGACAAAATAATACACAGCCCAGTAGATGCTAATCTAAGGTATTCTTACCTGCCCTGTTTTAAACTGGTCTGAATGGTGTATTTGCGAACACCGCCTTTTTGCCTCTAGGCCTGTTTTTGTTTTGTCTTGGCCTCGGTGTAAAATTGCCAATTTGTGTATAATTGACATTTGCTTCTTCTGACACAGCTGGCAAAACTCTTACCTGCCTCACACAGAAACCTGCTTCCTCCTTTCTTGGGGGGGCCTATTTCCAAACCACCTTTCGTAAACATTTGTCCCCCGCCCCCCCGCAATTCTGACTCTCTGCCCTCCTTCTCCAGGTTCTTTTTTGCGCTGATCTACGAAAGTACCAGGAGTCTTCCGATCCGGATGCCAAGCACCGCTGTGTCAAAGTTGCCAGGAGCACCCTTCCCACCTTGACGTCGTAACCTCTCCCACAGCCTCCTGTTTTGTGTGCCTGGCTTGGGCAAGTAAGAAAAACCATTTCCTCTACAGGGCTGGAGATGCACAGGAACATCCACACTGAGAACAGGGGCTACCAGAGAGAGAGAGGCAGGCTGGTGCGCTGTGGAGCTCTCTTAGTTAAACTGCTGTTGTCTTTTTCCACCAGGGGTCTCCTGTGGTGGTTGTAAGCTTGATGTGTAACCGCAATGTATTATAGAATAGAATCCTCTTTTTTTGTTTTGTTTTGTTCCTGTGGCTTTGGTCATTTGCTTTGGCTTTGGGGTACAGTATTAAGTGTGGCGTAGGCCAGTTTCTCAGTTCAGGCCAATTCAGAGTCCCTCCTTATCAGAACCAAGGTCTTGGTTCTATAGACCTAGACCTAGGAGTTACCTCACTTCAAAAAGTATTTCTACACCTGTGTGACAGGTAGACTTGAAGCCCAGCTGCTGAGGGCTGGAGTCTCATCGATATCTGTGATCTTGTTGACATTGGGTGGGGAGCTAGCTGGTTGCTGTTTCCCCAGATCCCACCATGCTTAGCAATTTCGGTGGGCCCTATTAAACTTTAATCTAGATGTGGTTTAAAAGTTAGGCTAGAGTGTCCTTTGAAATGAGAAGATTTTAAGTCGTGTGCGCGCGAAAGGGAGCAGAGGTCACGCTTTCAACTCCACGGCGCTCTCATTTTGTACGTAACTTGTAAATGTACATGTTTGTATATACATACATACAACGGTGTCTTTGTGCATGTGCCCTGCGACGGCAAAACCCTCGCCGCTGGTTGGGTTAAGGAATTCCCACTGCTTGCCAGACATCAGTTTGTGCAGCAAAATACACTTTCACTCTGCTGGGCCTGAGGAACAAGTTTGTAATGAACTCAAGTCCCCTTGCTTTCAGAGGGACCAAGGCTGAAATTGCAGGCATGCTTACCCAGGAGTAAGCCCCATTGAACCCAGTGGGATTTACTTCTGAGTAGAGGCATACAATTGTGTGGCTCATTGGGACCAGTTTTAGTTGAGCTGGGGTTATTGTGTTTTGCTGGTGATTAGCTTTCTAGGGAGAGGACTAGCCACCCGCTGTCAAGGTGGGGATAGCAGAGAACACCAGGTTGTTTGCTGGTATTCCAGACACTAAAAATGGCTGCCATTTGGGCCGAAGCCCAGCCCAAGAAGCTCCCCTCTTGCCTCCCTTCTGGTTTCATATTATATTCCCCGTTCCAGCCGCTGAAGAAGTACCTTCTGGCCTTGAAAAGCAGGCCGTCTTCCCACTCCCAACATATATGCATCCATAAACATCTACCAACACATTCACCCCTCTGGCTTTTGCATCAACATAAGTCTCCATCTGAAGGAACGTTTGTCTTGTTTATTTAACAGGCCCCAGTTGAGTTTTCTTCCTTTATTCTAGTCTGGGCTTTTAATTCACCTCATTTTTTTTCTGCTCAGTGAACCTAAAACCTCTTGTTCTATTAAATATTATCATCCCTTTTCTCTTCCTTCTTCCACTAATATGGAATGTTGTTCCTGAATACATTCAATGCAGCTCAATATGTTCTCTATTTTATCATCTTTGTTTTTCTTTCTGAAGTGTCCTTTTCCCTCAATTTTTTTCGTTTGTTTGTTTGTTTTGGTAAAACATCCTCCATTTTTATAGTGGAGTTTAAAATTATATTTTGTAACCTGTACCGTGAGAATGCTCTATGGTCAGAGCTAAGCCCTTTAAAATCCCGCTGATTCCACTGGGAGAGACTTAAGCGTGCTTGTTTCTTCCCCATCAAAATCCATAGGATTTGAAAAGCTGGCTCACGGGCCTGTTTTTGTTTTTAATCATCCTGCGATTTGACCTACCGTTCCCTATACCAACCCCTGCCTTTTTCGTCTTGACTATTTCTAGATTGTAAGCTGCTTTGGGCAGAGACCTATTTATTTCTACCCTTTTATAAAGTGCTTAGCTGACTTCGAGGTGCTGTAACGATAACAATAAACAAGTTGTGTCCTCCTAAAACTCTCCTAGCCTTCTTTCACTTTCAGAAACAGATCTAGACACTGCCGGGTGGGTGCAGTGCCCTCCCTCGGTTGGTTGCTGCGCGAGGGGGCACCAGCGGCAGCTCCCTTCTTTTCCCCCACCCCTTTGCCCGCAGATAGGGTAGATGAAGACATGCGCGCTTTCTTCCTTTTTAATACAAGAACAAGCAACAAAATAGAAACTTCGAGTTAGAAAGTCCTCTTGAACCAAGAGAGTGCAGAGACAGAGAGAACATGGGCGCAAAATGTGGAGCTGTGAGCGTCAAGAGCAGGCAGAAGAGCAAGAGGGAAAGGGGACCAAGGTCTTCAACCTGGCGCTTCCCCAAACGTTGTTGGAGAACATTGACTACAGAACTCCCATGACCCCCTAGACATTGGCTGTGTTGGATGGGAGTTGTCGTCCAAAACATCTGGAAGGCACCAGGTTGGGGAAGTCTGGACTCTATACACAGTGGGAAGAATCCTGGTTCTGCCAGTTGGGTGGTGCAAAGGCCAGCTTGGATGCAGACAGACCCAGCGCTTCAAGGGCTGCCTTAGCGGGAGCATCGTCTACGGTGTGAACTTCCCTTTTTGGCAACTGGCGTTGCAAACGGCCCAACAAGCCGACTCCTGCATCGGCGAGTTGCTTCCCGTGCCGAAACGATGTTTCAACAACTGCTCAATCTTGCCTTCCCCCTTCTACTCCAGACAGACTGCCCCAACGTTCAGCATTGTTTTACAAAAAACAAGAGGCATACGTGTATCTCTGCAAGCGCGCTCCTTCTTCCCTGACACCCCGCCCCCCGCAAAAAGAAAAATACAAAACACAAAGCATTTTAAAAACAGCTGCAGGGTTGCTCTGGAGGCCGATGGTATGGTATGGGCCATAGGCAGTAACTGACAAGGTACCCAAACACAGTTCCCTTTTCCCCATAGTTCAGCTGGAACCATACAGAAAGTCAGCTAAACTGTATCTCTCCCACCTACACCTGGGTATGTATATATTTAAAAACGTACATCTGTGTCAATGGTAGCTGTGGTTCTATCAAACCACCACTCTTAAAAAATGACGTGTCCTCGCCCACAGACAGCCAAGTGACACCAGACGATTGAAACAGCCTTTCAATCTAGCTTCACGTTTCTCGATAGCGGAAATGCACTTATTGGGAGGCGCGCCTCAAGATCAAATTGTGAAGGGTCCACAAGCAGCTTTGGTTTTCCTTCGTGACATGATTAGGGTGATCTAGAGTTAGGCTTGCTCTTTGTGAACCTGCTTGTTGGCTGGAGGTGATATGATTTGAGTGGAGGACTTGGTTAGGGTTTTTTATGGGGTGGGGTGAGGCATCCTCAAGCTCCACAGCTGCTGCAAAGGGCCTGAGCAGGCCACTGTATGGTCTTTCCTAGGCAAGACCACACGATTGGGCAAGGAGGTGGACGACATTGTCAGCTTGGGTAGGGAGTCAGCAGAGGGCACAGACAGAGCTGGCTGGCTGCGGCCAGCGTTTGGCTGCTCTGTGTTAGAGAGAGAAGAAGAAGAAAAAGAAGAAGAAGAAGCATCTCCAGGGAAGTGTGTGGCTTATGAAGGATCAGGCCCCATGTCCAGGTTCAGGAGGGCGTGGCTTAGCAAGGGAAGCTTTCCCTGCAGTGGGGCTCAGCCACACTTAATTGGGAGAGGTGTGGGGCAGTCCCAGACCCTTCCCTGGCTCCACTTGTGGTAGCATAGCAGAGTGGGGCTTTGGCCACCCGCCCCACAGTGGGTTGATCCTGGCACCGCCATCTGTGTCCTCTGTCCACTGGGGAACGTTCAGTCCCGCATCTGACGGTGAGAACCATTCCCCAAGGATTCCTCGCTGCTACTGGAAGCTGAGCCTGCCGAAGAGAAAAGGGACTGTCAGGACTGGGTTAACTGGTACTACAAGCACAACACAACCAACACAACACAACAAACACAGCACAAAGTCAGCAAGGCAAATCTGCCTAGCCACTGTCTTCTGGGCAGGATACTACAAAGGATAGGCTTTTGCACGAGGTTATATATAGCACCTTAATCCTTTTGTGTTTACAGGGAATCCCAGCTGTGAGCAAAGCCTCATTTTTCAGCAGTCGTAAAGGGAATCCCTAACAGACCATGTCTAAGTTGCTACTGCCATGCCACCCAAATGGTTTCTCATTGACTCTGGCCAAACTGCAAGGTGAAGCGAGGGAGGGGAAACTGCCCCCAAAGGTTAATCAATATACCCAATTTAAGTGTGTGCATATTGAGTTCAAAGCATGTAAAGTTTTTTTAAATAAAAAGAAGTGTGGAAAGCAGTTAACGTGTTTAATTTTGATATAAAGCGTGCACACACGGGAAAATACAGTTTAGTTTCAAAACAAGTGGTAACATCCTCCTTCACCCACATCCCAAATCCTCCCGTTCCTTCTCCACAAGCCCACCCATCCTTCCCAGACAAATACTAAATTTGCTGAATTTCGGACAACAGTAATTGGTGGAGCAACAAAACATTTTCCTTATTTTCTAGCTCAGGAAAAGGCCAGGCAGTGGATTCCTGGACAAAGCAAACAGGAGTGAGTTTTCAGGGGCACTAGGAAGGAAATGGGAGTTGCCTTTTCCCGTTTTCTGACATTGCCATCATTAGATGGCAGAAGCTATAAATGGCGGGGAAAGACAGTGGGAGTCACAAGGACAGGGAACTTGTGGCCTTTCAGGTGCTGGACTGCAACTTCCATCAGCCCCGGCCAGTAGCTAGGGATGATGGGAGTTGTAGTCTGGAAAAACGTCCAAAGGGTGTCCAAAGGATCCCCAACACTGGAATAAAACCTTACAAAGTGTGAGGGAAGGAACATTAAGTCAAGTGTGAGGGTATCACAGAGAAGCAACTGTGAGGGAAGCTGTTGATGCATGGCCAGTTCGTGAGGCCACAGAACAGTATATGCCTGAAAACAGGTCATGCGCCTTTGAAACTGCTAGCCCTTACAGCCATTTATACTAATTTACTGCCATTCTATCCCAAATAATAAATGGAAAAAGAGGAGAGGAAATCCTCCAGCTCTGGAGAAAGTGTGTTTGTTAACAGGAAGGCGGGGATGGGATTGGGGTCAAAGGGATACAAGCTTTCGTGTGCATTTAACTTGACATCACTCACTGCTTTCAATTTTGCCATTCAAGTTCCAAATGCAGAATGTCAACACTGAGGCGAAATTTTACCTCAGAATTCAAATGCCTAGGATTTGTCAGTGTATCCGGGGGGGCGGGGGGGGATCAAATAGTAAGATCAAACCTTGGCAGATACCAGACACAAATATTAACCACCAGCCATTAGTGAATATCAAGATTCACCGACAAAGGTCTTGAGGAGAAAATCTGTTTCGGCTCTATACTGGTGTCACCACAGTACATGGAGGGGAATACCCTGTGGCACCGAAGGCCATTCCCAGCCTCTCACCATTGCTCTCCTGCATGGCTTGACCAGGTCCATCTTGGCTGGTCCCAAGCTGTAGCTTCCTCATATGCCTGACCACAGCAGTTGCGTTGAAGGCTTGCTGTGTAGGACAAAAAAGAAAGAAAAAAAGAAAAGCAGATTGCTGTCAAAGATGGGGGAGATGCTGTCGCTGTATACCCCATTCCCTTAAAGCACATTATTTCCCCCAAAGAATCCTGGGAACTGTAGTTTATGGCGGCTGGGATTTGTAGCTCTGTGTGGGGTTAAACTGCACTTCCCCGAATTATTGGGGTGGGGGGAGTCACGTCTTTAAATGTATGGTTTGTATGCAGCCTGTGTGGCAAATGAGACAAACAGAAAATGAAAGCCTTTCTTCTTTTCCCTAACTGTTGGCACGAAGGAAACTCGAGACTGCAAATATCTATTCTCAGCTGTGTTCACTATAAAAGTATATTTGCACCATGGACCTAAACTAGATCAATAAGTTGCTTCCTTTCTCCAGGGCATTCCTGGGATGGGGATAGCTAGGAACCTCAAAACAAAATTCTAAACAACTTCAACAAACACGAGTTCCTAGGAGATTTTGAGGGAGGTTACCATCCCCATCGGCTTAATTTGTATGCCACAGTCCCACAAAATTGTGCCAAAGTTCACAACATAGCAAATGAACAGTAAGTATAACGATTCCCCCCAAAAAAACTTAGCAGGAACAGTTAGAAATAATAATAAAATCAGTAATACCAAAAATATCAATCCATACAACTGTATAAAGGTAAAAGGTAAAGGTACCCCTGCCCGTACGGGCCAGTCTTGACAGACTCTAGGGTTGTGCGCTCATCTCACTCTATAGGCCGGGAGCCAGCGCTGTCTGCAGACACTTCCGGGTCACGTGGCCAGCGTGACAAGCTGCTTCTGGCGAGCCAGCGTAGCACACGGAACACCGTTTACCTTCCCGCTAGTAAGCGGTCCTTATTTATCTACTTGCACCCGAAGGTGCTTTCGAACTGCTAGGTTGGCAGGCGCTGGGACCGAGTGACGGGAGCGCACCCCGCCACGGGGATTCAAACCGCTGACCTTTCGATCGGCAAGTCCTAGGCGCTGAGGCTTTAACTCACAGCGCCACCCGCATCCCTTATACAACTGTATATTAAATACTAAAAATATTCAAGAGACTCTCACATGCCACAAGTGAATATCATTGGTAAAGGTTATCCTAAGGCAAAGAGCAAACATATATTCTGGCGGACAAAGGCGTTGCATTCACATTGCAGTCGGATTTGAGCAGGGACAGATTTAAGGCTCATGGGTAAAAGCACCCACCAACCGCTTCTCTGCAGGACATGCCCTTACCTTCCACTTGCTCTTGGCAAAATTCTTTTTGATCTGCTCGCTGACTGACTGGTGGATGTTCTTATCTAGTGCGGTGTCTCCAGCAATCCTGGAAGGAAGAGGAGATTGGTTCTTATTAACATGCCACATAGGAGTGCCTCTGGCCTTTAAAGCCTTCTACGGTCCAGGACCCCTATACTTAAAAAGGACCACCTTTCACCATGTCAACCCACCAGGATCCCAAGATCAACATCTATAAAAGGCATTGAAATACCAATAGATGCCTCCACCATTCCAAGCGATGTGAGTTGCTAATAAGAACAGGACCCCAGGGAATTCCTGTTCCAATCAGTTCACCTGGTGCCAACTCTGAAAGCCTGTAGGCCAGCCTTCTCCAAACCAATGCCATCCAGATATTTGGGGCTACAACTCTCATCAGGTACGATGGGAGTACAGTGGTACTTTCATTTACGAACTTAATCCATTCCGGAAGTCCGTTCTTAAACCAAAGCGTTCTTAAACCAAGGCCTGCTTTCCCATAGCAGCGGGGGACTCAATTTACAAATGGAACGCACTCAACAGGAAGCGGAACATGTTCTTATTCCAAGGCAAAGTTCACAAACCAAAACACCTTCCGGGTTTGCAGCGTTCTTAATCCAAGTTGTTCATAAACTAAGCTGTTCTTAAACCAAGGTACCACTGTACAATGAGAGGCTTACTCTCGTGGGTGCAAGATCGCAGCATTATATTCCCACTTTCTTCCATTGTATTTTTTTTTAATGCCACTTTTCATATTGGCATTGATTGTCTCCCATCAATTAGGAGGGAGGGAGAGAAGTCCTACCATCAGGCTTGCAAACTGAAAAGAAATGACACACATGGAAAGGCGAGTGGAGGGAAAAGGCAGAGGGGAGAGATCGGTTCTCCAACGCTGAATAAAATGGTGAGCTATAAAAGGGCATTCACATCCAGTTCAGACCACGCTCATCTTCTTGGCTGGTATTCCTACTCAAATTGCAATTGGCACCCCTTGTTCCTTTGACCAATGAATGGTAGCCAACGTGCCCTTTCTTCTTGCTTCTGCAGTCCCAGGGCACCGGACAGCTGGAGCTTAATGATCTTTCGGACAGGGAGGAGGAAGGAAAAAGCAAACTTCCTGCAGGTGCTCCTTCTCTGGCCAGGCTGGTCTCCCCCTTACTTGCCTTTTACAACTGGTCAACAGGAGCCAAGAGATCCCCCAGCTTTCTCAAAGCCAGCTAAATGGATGATGGGGTACAGATTCCTCCTTACCACGGGTGTTGTAGTGCCTGCTCACAGGTGAAGCGTTTCTTAGGGTCTCTCTCCATTAAATGCTGGATGAAATCTTTGGCTGAGAGGAGAAAGGAAGTGAATGAAGGCCTGAGTTAGCAAGCAAGCTAGTGAGCGGTGCCACTGGCCTCCTCCCACAGCACAGATCCACTTGATTCCATTTATTATTATTTTTAATTAATGAGAGTTATCTACCAATTTATTTATTTTTTTTAAAGCCCACTAAGCTGTTTAGATAAAGTGATCTAAAATATCTGTAAGAAAATACTGAAAAAACAAGCAATAAATTTTATCAAATCAGCAGTTTAAAAAACAACAACAAATATACATAATATGTGCCTTGGTTCTAGCACTGGCATTCAGAGAAGCCACCATTTCCTTCCCTCACCTGATTCTGATATGTCGTCCCAGTAGGGGGAGTCAAATTCATATTCTGCCTTCAGGATCTGCTCAAAGAGCTTCGTGTCGTTCTCATCGTAGAAGGGGGGATAGCCACACAGTCTGAGGGGAGAAAGTGGGGACAGGGCATGTGTGACACTCAGAAGGCATGGCAATATACAACGGGGAGAGTTGGAAATAAATGTATAGGCTGTGAAGGAGCAAAAGAATGTGGGGAACTGAGGTAAATGGACTGGAAAGCGAGGGGAGAGAAGAAGAAAAAAGACAGAAGGTTACTTCCTGACCAGGGGATTAGAGGGGTAGAATCATTGTCAGGGCCGGCCCACCTATGAGGCAAGGTGAGGCAACCACCTCAGGTGGCAAGATTCACCTGGGCTGCAGAGCCCAAAATTGATCTTTTCTTCCCCTCCATTTGCCTGAAGTTGATCTCCCCTGACCCCTTGTTCCCTGGCGGAGAGAGGGGGAGCCATTTCTGTGTCCACCTCAGGTGCCAAAATGTCTTTGCCTGGCCCTGATAACAGCAGTTGAACCATTTTTGTTTGTTTTACGACGGCATCTCTCTTTTTTGTGCTTTTCTATTGTCAAACCACCCTGTGATCTTCGGATGAAGGGCGGAATAGAAATTTAATAAATAAATAATAGTTGCCGAAAGAGAGAGGCGGAGCTGTTTCATTTGGGTGGTGGCGTGCCCTCTCCTGGAGACACCAAGGCACCAAGTGAACCTGTTGCTTGATGCACCTCCTAAGCCACTCACTGACCAATCTTCTTACACAGTAGCGATGGGCAAACCAGTTTGTTTTCATGTCATTTGCATGTGTGTTTACCCATAAGTCCATTCCAGCCCATTTCCAACCGACTTTTAAAAAATGAAAAGTCTGCACGAAAATGTGTACATTTAAATATGTATTTTAAATGTGTCTTCTTTCAAAAAGCACATTTATAAACCTATGTTGATGATGATATCATCATCATTAATAATAATAATAAATGATATACCAGCCTTCATCTGAGGATCACATTATTTGAGCTAAGGAGATCCAGGAAGTGTAGAAGCAGGTGTACAACTTGAATTCCAATCCCCCCAATTTTAAGTAGGAAATGTAGATCTGGTGAACATACCTCCCGGAACTGGCAAAAAGCCACTGCCTCAAGCATCGGTGAATTACTCCTAACCCCATTTTTAATTAAAGATGCAGAAATGTGTTTTGTAGCCGGAATGAAGTACCGTACTTTTCCATGGATAAGTCAAGGGTTTCTTCTGATAAAACCGGGTCAAAAATTTGGGGTCATCTTATACATGGTGACGGGGGATTTGTTGCTTCTGCGAGTAGGAGATTGTGAGTGGTGATTCTGCGGGTGATTGGTGGGTGCGGCAAGGGCTGCTGTTGGTTGGCTGCTGTTGTGGCAATTGGGCGGGCAAATGGCGGCTGCTTGCGGCGATCGGGCAGGCGATTGTTGGGTTATGCGACATGCAAGTGTTGCAGCGTTGGACAGTCTGGCGATAGATTTTCAGCATTCCCCCCCCCCCCAAAAAAGCTCCAAAACTCTGGGCATTCCCCCTATCGAAAGCTCAGCAACTCTGGGCAATCAATCACCCCACTCCCATTTTCTAAATTTCGAGCCCCCAAAAATACATGGGGGCATGTTATATACGGATAAATACAGTAATAATCCCCAAGAGAGGATGTACCACCTCTGTGGGCGGTAAAGGGTTAAAGGTGGCTCTGGTGGTTGAGTTGTGGGCCTTGGTGAGGGACAATATTATGAAACTTTTCAAGCTGTCTGTAAAGGAGAAATGAAAGGCCCATAAATGAACGGGCAAAAGTAGCTGTGTGGTGCCAGAAGCGCCGTGGAAGGAGAAGAGTGGAAGGGAGTGTCCAGTGTTTAGCTGACTAGGACTCCCTTTGCATATGTGAATTCAGGAGCAATAGGAGGCAGGGCATCTGGCTCCAGGCCCACCGCCATCTCAATTCAACTCAGTACGTACAAGATGTAAGCGATGACTCCAATGGACCAGCAATCCACCGCTTTGCTGTAAGGCTTCTGTGCCAACACCTCAGGAGCTGGACCAGACCCAAGGGGGGAAAGAGGAAGAAAGTGACCATTAGAGATGGAAATTCCCTGTTGCCCAAATGTCGTTTGCGGACAGATGAGGAAACGCAACCCTTGTACTAGGGATTTCCTTCTAAAGGCTTGCTCTCCCAGGAACAAACACACCCACACCCACACCATGCCAGCCATCTCTCCCTTGTAAAGATTTCCACCTTCCACAACCCCGACTTGTAAGTCTTCTCCAAACTTATTTCATCCCTAAGTGACATTCTCACCAAAGTACAGTGGTACCTCTGGTTACGTACTTAATTCGTTCCAGAGGTCCGTTCTTAACCTGAAACTGTTCTTAACCTGAAGCACCACTTGAGCTACTGGGGCCTCCCGCTGCACAATTTCTGTTCTCATCCTGAAGCACTATTTCTGGGTTAGCGGAGTCTGTAACCTGAAGCGTATGTAACCTGAAGCGTATGTAACCCGAGGTACCACTGTAGCTAAGTTACAGTCCAGTTTGACCCAAAATACAACAGCATGGACAACAAAACATTGGTGAGACAATTGACAATCAAGCCTTCCGCCCACAAGCTGGTTTCTCCAAAATGTATAGTTAAAAAGAGGGCTACCAGAGGAAGTTTTAAGTATATAGATGAAGAGCTGCAAACTCAACCCTTGGGATATGATATGGTGAGGAACAATCCTGATGGGATGACTATGAATTCCTGGCTGAGCTATCAGAAATTAGTTCCAAATGAAATAGGTGGTCCTCCCCCGAGAATCAAAAAAATATACTAACACCGTCGAATGGGTTCCCACTGATAATAGGAATGGAAGCATTTTTTTAGATGAAATTGGGTATCTGGACAAAGTGGAAATGACAAGCACAGAGCCTGAAAGGAACTGGGGCTAAAACTGATGCCATGGAAGAAAGAAGGTTGGCGTTCAAAGCAGAATAATAAACAGCTATTTTTGAGCAATTTGATATTATTCTGCTACAAGAAACATGGCACAATGACTCTATAATGCTTAACGGATACAAATGTCCAGTACTTTTTTCTAAAAAAAAAAATGTCTAGGGGTACTCTCATTTTAACTCAAGAAAATCACCATTTTATAGTTCAAATCGGGAAAAATAAATACAGTAAATGGACAAAAGTACAAAGATTCACAAAATGTTTAGGGGTATGCGTACCCCTGCGTCTCACACCAGAAAAACAGCACTGCAAATGTCACTCATTGACAGCCGCTCCCTCAACAAAAGATGGTAGGGCCAGTGGCGGGTCTAGCGTGTTTCAGCTCCGCCAAGTTGAATGCAACTTATTTCATGCCACCCCAGGCTGCCATTCTGCCTATGAAAGGGAATCCCCTGTCCTGTCAAGTCCCAGCAAAGGACTGTTTCAGATATTTCAGTTTTAGTACCCCTGTGCCGGAAATAAAGCATGAAATCCAAGAGTAGATCCTCATGCATTTATTTTAAACTTTCTATCTATCTATCTATCTGATCTGAATTTGCAACTCTAACAGGAGAGGGGAAAGATAGAAATATCTCCCTCTGATGTATGAAAACACTTCACCAATAGTAATTTAAACACATACTGTACATTAACGTAAGCAGTCCATACAGTACAGTAGATCATGTATAATGAATGTATAATAATAATAATAATATTTATACCCCGCCCATCTGGCTGGGTTTCCCCAGCCACTCTGGGCGGCTTCCAACAAAAGATTAAAAATACGTACACTGAGCACATGTTGGGAGGTTGTGGCCAATCATAATTTCACATGGCAAAACACACGAATTGTGCCCCTCTTACAATATACACTGGATTTACATGCTTTTTCCTACACTGAAGTGCTATCCATATTTAGAAAGGCACTTAATACGCCTCTCCTGTCCGGCAAGCTGGAGGCAAACTGTAGCCCCACCTCCTCATAAAACCCCCCTCAGGGCACGCAGTGGTTTTCTTTGTCAACCAGATCCACTCTTCTCAATTGGGGCGGGGGGGGGGGGCGGCGGCGGGTGGAATAATAAACCTCTTTAGCTCACCCACATAACCTGGAGTCCCACATGCTGTAGACATGACACTTCCTGAGCCTTCTATCTTTGACAGCCCAAAGTCGCTAATCATGATCTTGGAATCTTCATCCAGACTGTAATACAACAGGTTCTCGGGCTAACAAGGGCGGAGAGCAGGGAGGAAAGAGGGAGATAAATACTGTCAGACTAGAGCTCCAAGTAACAATTTATTTAAAGCATATTTTTTTTAATCCCATACTTCAGCCCCCCCCCCACAAAAAAGGTCCTAGTGTGGCTTACAGAACGGTAAAAAAACAAGACAGTTCCTGCCCTCTATGCTTACAGTCTAAAAGACACAACACAAAAGGGGAAAGGGGTGAGGAGGGTAGAGGAAAACAACAAAACTCAGGCACCAGCTGTTAAAGTGCAGTTCTTATAACGGCCAGTTGGGACAGTTCAGGTAGCATGGTGGAATGGAGAAAGAATTTATCCAGGCAGTAGGGAGAAAAGACCATTCTAAGCATCTTAAGAAAGAACCCCACACAAAACCAAATAATCAAGACAAGCTTGGTCCAAAAAAGAACACGGAACTGTCCTCCATTGGAGGTTCTTAAGCAGTGGTTGGATGGCCTTCTGTCATGGATGCTTTAGTTGAGATTCCTGCATTGCAGGGGTTGGACTAGATGACCGTCAGGGTCCCTTCTAACTCTACAGTTCTATTCTATAGACATAAGTAAATCAAATGTGCATACGAAATGCATGGATTGATCTGTTAAACTTATTTCTAAAAGCTGATTAAAGGTAGACTTATCGCAATAAGGTAAACATAATTTTTTTTGGGGGGGGGGGACATTACACAATACATTATTTAAGATACTAATTCTTTTTCTCCTGGAGCTCATTAGCCCCTCACAGAACTAAATTTCCCTGAGGGAAGGGGAAGAGGTAAAGCTGCAATAGTTAAATTGTAAGTGTGTAATGTTAAATGCCTGCCAATTGCTACAACCACGAGACTTGAGATTCTTGAAATCTTACGGCTCAAAGTGGAATTAGCAATTATGATGTAAAGCAAAGCTGGAGGGGAAACCTCAGAGGTTAGGCCAAGCAACAAAAACATCTAAATGCCAAAGCTAGATGTTTCTACCTTATTGCCTGAAAGCTTTTATCACTCAAAAAGAAGCAGCTAAGAAAACATCGTTTCTAGAAGATAGAGCTGGAACAGTCCAGGCCATCAAGTTATGTAAAATAATTCCAGACTAAGTGCTCTGACCTAAATAAGGCTGCATTTCAAATTGTATTTTAACCTGTATTTTAACCCATATTTTATCTCGTATTTTAATTAACTTTTTTTCCTTTTTCTATTACGTTTTATTGTAATTTTATTGGTGTTAGCCGCCCTGAGCCCAGTTCTGGCTGGGGAGGGCGGGGTATAAATAAAAAAAATATTATTATTTATTATTCTTTATTTAGTACAGAGCAGCATATGAGAAGCCACTTCATAGAGACACATTTGAGTGTGAAACGGTGCCAAGTTGCCATCTGAGAAAATTTGTCTTTTAGCAGAATACCACCCTTATTATAAATACCATCCTTATCTGTTTCCTTTGGGCATTCGGACCTGTTTTGCAGGTTGAAAAAATCTCAGCCTGTTTTGGTTCTGTGAGCTAATTCTTATCTAATCCTTTGTGGTTACATCCTTGTAGTTGTGCCAGCCATTGATATTTAAGTGCTGTACAGGGATAGGGTTTGAAGGCCAAAAAACGTCATCCGTTTTGTAATCTCCCGTTCAAAGCAACTGCTACATAGCAAAGCCAGCCTTGCCCTGTGGAAAACAGTAATCTGAGCTCTGTGCTATCGTTGGGTTTTGAAGTTAGTACACCTTCTGTACTTCATTAGAACTCAGAGGCTGCTCAAGTGGTTTTATTGATTTGTCCAGTATGCAGGGCATCAGGTTTGGGGATGTAGTCGTTTAGTCATGTCCGACTCTTTGTGACCCCATGGACCAGAGCACGCCAGGCACTTCTGTCTTCCACTGCCTCCCACAGTTCGGTCAAACTCATGCTGGTAGCTTCGAGAACACTATCCAACCATCTCGTCCTCCTCTGTCGTCCCCTTCTCCTTGTGCCCTCCATCTTTCCCAACATCAGGGTCTTTTCCAGGGAGTCTTCTCTTCTCATGAGGTGGCCAAAGTATTGGAGCCTCAGCTTCAGGATCTGTCCTTCCAGTGAGCACTCAGGGCGGATTTCCTTCAGAATGAATAGGTTTGTTCTTCTTGCAGTTTCCCCAAAAATCTCGATTGGCCTAGAACACCGAGTTCATGATGCATAGATGCTAAAATGGAAGCCCAAACCAAAATAGAAAGCTGAGAAGATGATGGCTGGAGGCAGTAATGCTTCTGAATAGCAGTTGCTGGAAACTGCAGAAAAAAACAGTGCCTTTGTTAGTCCGGCTTATGGGTTTGCCACAGATATCTGGTTGGCCATGGTGAAGACAAGATGGTGGACAAGATGGGCCACTGGCCTGATGCAGCAGGTTCTTCCTAAGCTCTTATGAGACATCTAAGTTTCAGTTCCAAAACCCATGCGCTAATCCAAGTGGGCAAGCAATGGGAGAAGCAAATGCTCACTTAGAGACATGTGAGGATGTGGTTGTGTCCATGGCCAAAAGAACACAGATGCATTGAATTCATCACCCAACAGGGGAAAAAATGGTTCTCAGTAGATCCGTACTAAGGCAGTAGAGGCCAACCAAATGTGACAAAGCAGTGTGCAAGCTTTCCAAGTTCTATCATCAATATCATGCAAATAATAATAATAATAATAATAATAATAATAATAATAATTTATACCCCGCCCTCCCCGGCCAGAGCCGGGCTCAGGGTGGCCAACACCAGTAAAATTACAGTAAAAACATAATAGGGGGAAAAACACAATTTAAAATACAGGTTAAAATGCCATTTAAAATGCAGCCTCATTTTAAAAGTAGCCCATAAATCAAAACCATAAGGGAAGGGAAACATAAGGGTCAGACTGAGTCCAAACCAAAGGCCAGGTGGAACAGCTCCGTCTTACTACAGGAAAAAAGCAGCCCATCCATTTTCCCAAGACACAGAAACGTGCAAAACCGGAAAGTTTGCAATAAGGCAATTGGTCAAAATCTGCTGCACAGACTGGCAGAGGACTAAGAGAGGTTACTAAATGAGACCCATAATGGCAAAGCAGCTTCCATGAAAGTTGGCTTGTTGGGCACAGCCAGCCTTCCCTTGTGACACCATGCAGCCATTGGGCAGTACAGATGGTGTTCTAGGGTGCACTCTTAGTTCATCTGGGACTTCAATGAGGCCCAGACAGGCATAGTGCAAGAACTGAGCACGCACCCTAGAATTCTCCACAGGGCCTGCCCTACCATTAGGCGGAGTGTAGGACAGAGTACAGCAAGGTGCTGGAGCACAGAGATGAACAGCCACCAAACTTGTTGCTCTTCCCTCTTTTGCTGAATGATCCAAGGAGTGCTATACTGGGAAGAATTGTTCTCTCTTTGTCCTGAGCCAGCAGAGGTGAAAAGATCCATTCTCTCCTCCCCGCTCGCTAGCGGCAACAACATCCCGATTTGTATTTTTCATAGCTGGAGCTAGCAACAACATATGGTGGTTCAGCCTCAAAAGGCCAAAGAGCAAGTAATGACAGGAAGGAGACTTCATCAATTGAGCCACGAACCGTGTTTGTGACCCGACTTCTGGAAGAAAACATGAAGCGAAACTGTGCCGTCCATTCCGCAAAATAAAATTAGGCGAACAGCAGTATCTATGTACATATGTAAGCACACAGTTGCCAAGCTCACAGGGAAATCAAAACACATCAAAAAGAGCAATCAACTTGTTAAGTTGTGGGTTGACATAGCAGACGACACAGCGATTTCTCCAAAACTGCTCTTTATTTTGTAAGCTGGAACAGAACTAAACTGAGGAGCTCAGTCAGCCTGCTTATATAGAGCTCCAGAACAATGTAACTGTTGCCATTTTCTAAAACTATCCAATCACTGAACGTCACTTTTCGATCCTTCATTTGCATACAAAACTATCCAATCAGTGACCGTCACTTTTCGATCCTTCATTTGCATACAAAACTATCCAATCACTGAACGTCACTTTTCGATCCTTCATTTGCATAACTATCTACAGTATCCCCCTGCTGGCCCAGGGTGAGAACTTCAGTACATAACACAACTATTGGCAGAGTTTCGCTCAAAACAGTGCCAGCCTAAATCATTGGGCTGCAATAGATGCCCAGGCCCCAAATTAAATGTGCCTGTGTTGCATTTTCTAGGCAATTTCCCACCCATATATTGAATTTGATGGTGTTGTGGCCACTGTTCCCAAGACGGTCCTCCTTTGACTTGGAAAACCACCACACCCTGCACTCCCTTCCCATAGTATTCTTTCTACAGATTTAACATCCATGGGTTATAAGTATCCAATTGCTTCTAATATTCCCACTGTGTCCTGTTCTCTTTTTAATACGGCACACTCTTAATTCACCCACCTTCAATCTGAGGCATTCAGAATTGGCCTAAAGAATAATTCCCTTTTTTATGTAAGTCTTTCTTTTTCCTTTGGGGTTTTTCCTATGCTCTTTTTGACTACTTGAACGGCTCTCCATTGTCTCTGCATGTTGATTATCAACTTGTATCCTGTCCTCAACAGAACCATTTCCACCACGACCACGGGACCAGTTATCCCGGAATCAGAACTTCTCTAAGGGACAAAATCAACATGTTGCGAGAGTAGTGGACTCTCCTAATGTTTTTCTCAGCAGAGATTGGGAGTTTAACCCCACCTTCCTACACCAGTTCTCTGGTACAAAAATCACTCTTTCCACATAGCTTCCTGAAGTTGCTCTTGAACACAGGGCCCAGACTGTGTGTGTGTGTGTGTGTGTGTGTGTGTGTGTGTTGTATTCTGAAATATGTCACTGACAAAATAACAGTGCACTTTACAGTGGATTTATACCGGACCATCCACACATCATCCTGCTTTATAAATTGTTATGCAACGCTTCCCTGGCGTTACCAGGCTATTGCCATCTGGAGGAGCAATCCTGTGCTATAGGGCAAGTAAAGAGGGAAAGAATAAAGCCCAGGAAATATGTGGCATAAGAAGTCACAGGATATCAGCAGGATGTTACGGGACACACACCGACAGGAGATGAAGTGTTATGCCTGCCCCAAAACGTTTACAGGCAGGTAATAACAGTATTGAAAGCAAGATCATGTATTACCGCCCCAAAATCTGCAGAATAAGAAGAGGCTCACAGGGTGAAATGCAGACAGGCACAATAAATGAACGTCCACTTGCCCCTCCACAGCAATGAGAACTTTGTGGGGAGAAGGAATGATTTGCATCAATGAATGGAGGCAGGGAATAAGGCTATAATCTCCCTCCTCTTCATTGCAGCCCCAATTCAGTTTTTCCCCCTTGCCTCCAAGGCTGCTTTCAAGGGACAGGAAAGAGATCTAATCAAAAACTACTGGTGTCACATGTTGTTTAGGTCTTAAACCACAAGACAATGGAGGAAGTAAGCTCTTAATACTTGGCTGCTAAATACAAAAGCTGTATTTCTAGTTTAAGGTACCTACAGCAGATTAGGGACCAGACTAGTCAAGATGCTATTCACCCCAACTAGCAAATGAATAGCAGGTATGGGGTGCCTCCTATCTTCGGCTGAGGCTTTGGGACGCGGATGGCGCTGTGCGTTAAACCACAGAGCCTAGGACTTGCCGATCAGAAGGTCGGCGGTTCGAATCCCCGCGACGGGGTGAGCTCCCGTTGCTTGGTCCCTGCTCCTGCCAACCTAGCAGTTCGAAAGCACATCAGAGTGCAAGTGGATAAATAGGTACCGCTACGGCGGGAAGGTAAACGGCGTTTCCGTGCACTGCTCTGGTTCGCCAGAAGCGGCTTAGTCATGGTGGCCACATGACTCGGAAGCTGTAAGCCGGCTCCCTCGGCCAGTAAAGCGAGATGAGCGCCGCAACCCCAGAGTCGGCCACGACTGGACCTAATGGTCAGGGGTCCCTTTACCTTTAAGGGGGCCTTTGCCTCCTGTTGTGGTCCCAGTGCAGACTGGGCATGGGATGGGAGGAGGCAAACAGAAGCTTTCCTTCCAACTCGTGGAGAGGGGGGCATGGCGCCCCAAATCCAAACTGGAGCAGCAGCAGCAGAGGGAAACTGCAGCAGAGGGAAATTGCCAGCTATTTTTATTTTGGAAAGGCCGCCCAAGCAACTGCTAATAGGATGAATTGTCTAGTCCGGCCTTCAGCAAACAGACAGTTGTGCAAATGCACATCTTAACCCCGAGGCGGCTACGACAGAAATCCCCACACAGGTACATGCCCCTACCTTGAGGTCGCGGTGTACGATGCCCATGTCATGCAGGTATTTGACAGCGTCGAGGATCTGCCGGATGAGCTGGCTGGCATCTCGCTCCGTGTAAAACCCCTTCTCCACAATCCTGTCAAAGAGCTCCCCGCCTGAGACCCTACATTGGGGAGGCAAAACAAAGGTGAGGCCTGCTTTCCTCAAGAGACCCCTTCAGGAAGAGGGTGGTCAGGGTGAGCTCTGCCCACAAGCTCCACCAATGCTGCCAGGCTGTGCCAAGAGACTCCTCCCTTCCCTCACCCATAGCTGGGACTCCTCTAATTCCCAGCCTTCAACTCACAGCTGCATGATGAGGTAGAGGTGTCCTCCGCTCTCATAGATGTCGTCCAGAGCCACAATATTGGGGTGCTTGATCCTGCAAGAGAAAGAGAAGCTCCTTCAGCAAGAGGTCCGTGGATTATCATCACTCTGCCTTGTTTAGCCTGAAAGGCTTGCTTCCCAGCTTCTCTGTCGGGCAAGGCTATTTTCAAAGACCCCAATGGCAGAGGCAACTTATGCGTGGGTTACTTTCCGCCCTGCCCCGCCCATAAGCGATATGAGCATGTGGGGAGCATCCTCTAAACCAGGCACAGGCAAACTCAGCCCTCCAGATGTTTTGGGACTACAACTCCCATCATCCTTAGCTAACAGGATGGGTGATCAGGGATGATGGGAATTGTAGTCCCAATATTTCTGGAGGGCCAAGTTTGCCTGTGCCTGCTCTAAACACCTGTTTTTACATGCTCTTTTTCTTTTATTCCGTCCCTTTGCCTTCAGATCGCCAGAAAGGGGAAAGGAACAGCACATCCGAGCCCACTGCAATACAGCTTCTTGCCCAACAGCTGTTGAGCAGGGTAGCGAGGTAGCAGCGAGAGTCACCAGTGAAATGCACTCGGAGTCGAGTGTGGATTTCATGCTCTTTATTCAGCTCATAGTGGTGAGGAATGGAAGTTTCCCCAAAATATCTGCTTTATATACATTATTTACACAATGGGCCGCACGTGACTGGCTAATTCCTGGATTCTCCTATAGGCCAATCAGGTTGCGGATTCACTTCCACCAGGAGCTGGATTGAGTGGCTGCTGCAGACCAATCATACTGCTGCATTGTTCTAGGACCAATCAGACTGCTGCATTCTGAATCCTATTGTTCTAGGACCAATCAGACTGCTGCATTTTGGATCCTATTGTTCTAGGACCAATCAGACTGCTGCATTTTGATCCTATTCAACTCAGTACATAACAGTTCCCTGCGCCATTTTGGAGCCATAAGTGTGTGTGTGTGTGTGTGTGAGAGAGAGAGAGAGAGAGAGAGAGAGAGAAGCATTTTAAACATTTATTTCTGGCCTTTGGCTCAGTGACATCCTCTTTGGGCTCTGGGGAGGGTCTTCTCGTGAGCCGCAAGAACTTTCCAGCTCTCTCCCGCCACTTCCAAGTTTGAGACGGATTATTTATTTTGCGGCAGTGCACACAGTCGCACACAAATAAATCACAGGCAAGTGGGGAGTTGCCTGTATCTTTGTTTCAAAATCAAGGGGGTGGGGGGTCCAGGTGGCAACTCCCACTCATTTTATTCCTAGTGTGGCCACTACCAGCACCGGCTGTGCAACATCCTTTCTCTCAAGGGCGTCCATTGTACAACTTGGATGGGGCACTTTTGGCCCTCCGTACGTTGCTGGACTCCAACTTCCACCAGTCCCAGAGAGCACAGCCAACGGTCAGGGATGATAGGAGTTGTAGTCCAACAATATTGGGAGGCCAAACAGAGGTTTCCTCATGCTGCCTGAGAGGAACAGGCTGACAAGCTACTTTAAAAGAGAGAGAAACAGAGAGATAATGTCCCTGTGATAAGCTGGTTGCTGTGCGACAGAGCTATGCAACAAACAGTCCCCAGAATCAAATCTTGCCTCTGCTGTGAACCTAGCAGGTGCCCTTAAGCAAACTACTGCTCTCAGCCTCAGGACACTGCCCCACAAATACACACACACACACACACACACATCTACAATAAGGGAATAATAGCAAAATCTACATTGCAGGGTTGTTGTAAGGATTCCCGAGCTAATGTATGTGAAGTACTTGACTGAAGAAACATATGGGAAGGGTCAAATAAATGCTATATACAGTGGTACCTCAGGTTAAGTACTTAATTCGTTCCGGAGGTCTGTTCTTAACCTGAAACTGTTCTTAACCTGAAGCACCACTTTAGCTAATGGGGCCTCCTGCTGCTGCTGCTGCTGCGCCACCAGAGCACAATTTCTGTTCTCATCCTGAAGCAAAGTTCTTAACCCGAGGTACTATTTCTGGGTTAGCGAAGTCTGTAACACAAAGTGTATGTAACCTGAAGGTACCACTGTATATATATATTACATACTGGGAAGAATGAGCACACAAGCCAGAAACAGCTATTTAAATATATATGAAAGAAAGAAAGAAAGAAAGAAAGAAAGAAAGAAAGAAAGAAAGGTTATATTTTTTAAGAAATGCACGGTGTTGCCACGCAGACCAGTTTGCAGGCATTAGGTGGAGCTTTGTTTTGAAGAGGGCTTAAAATGAGTGGTTCGGCTTCAAAAGATTTAAAAAACAAATAATTTTGTAAAGGTACCGATCTGTGTCACTCACTTGTCATGTCACTGGTAGTAGTCAAAAAGAACCTATAGGAGGGGAGACTGATGAAAATTCATAGGGGACTGTGGGTGAGCTACACATTTACGGTAAATGTGCAGCCATTGTTTTTGGTAACAAAGGAAAGCCACGTCCTCCTTCACCGCTGAAATAATAATGTATAGCAATTTGGTATAAAAGAAAGAGGAGGTGGAATTCAACATAGCGGTAAATGGGGTTTACATGCATAGAACAAGGTCCATTAGTGTAATAAGAATTCCTTCCCTTCCAAGCAATCCCTAAACCTACTCAGGGGTTCTCCCCGTAGAGCAGCTTTGGTGGGGGGGCACAAAGGGGGGGGAGGGGCAGGGATTCCTGTTGTGCAAGCAGACCTCTTTCCTTGCAAACAGCTTGGATGAATCCCACCCAGGGGGAAATAATGAAAGGAAACCAGTAATCGAAGCCTCCCAACATCACAGACACAGGGGCAGAAGCCAACATTAAGGCAGCAATTAAAGGAAAGGGACGCGGGTGGCGCTGTGGGTTAAACCACAGAGCCTAGGACTTGCCAATCAGAAGGTCGACGGTTCAAATCCCTGCGACGGGGTGAGCTCCCGTTGCTCGGTCCCTGCTCCTGCCCACCTAGCAGTTCGAAAGCACGCCAAAGTGCAAGTAGATAAATAGGCACCACTCTGGCGGGAAGGTAAATGGCGTTTCCGTGCGCTGCTCTGGTTCGCCAGAAGCGGCTTAGTCATGCTGGCCACATGACCCAGAAGCTGTACGCTGGCTCCCTCGGCCAATAAAGCGAGATGAGCGCTGCAACCCCAGAGTTGGCCACGACTGGACCTAATGGTCAAGGGTCCCTTTACCTTTAAAGGACAAGGGAAAGTCATCAGTTATCCCACTGCCGTGCTCAAGAGGAAGTAGCGAACGTAGTAGCAGAAGTGATCAGCAGAAAGCTTTAAATTAAAGTCACCCCAAAAAGGCTCAACAGCACTGGACAGGCTGTTGCTGGGGTTTTTGCTCTATATATACACTATATTTGCGCTAGTATTTAAAAACAAAACAACTCTGAAAAAAAGAAAGCAAGCAAGCCATGGGACTGCAATAATTGGGGAATGATGTCATCTGGATTCTCCGTAAAAAGTGAATGAACAAAGGGTAGCAATTCCAGGCTAACTCTGGAAGCAACCTTAACACCCAGATCATATTCTAGAGCTGATTTTTATTAGTAGGAGACAGACCGTCACCTTTTATGTGTACAGAAGCTCTTTCCTTTAACCTCACCTCTTCCCTACCCTTCCGCCTTAAGCAGAAGAGTCACTATTGAAACGGGTTCCTTGAGAAATCACTCACTAGTTCCTGGAAAATACTTCCTTTGAGTGAGCTTCCCACTTCCCAGTTTCAATGGTCCACATTATGGTCATTGATGCTGGACTGGTTGGGAGAACCTGCCTTTGTTTTGTTGGACCTTACACCCCAGAACTCACAGCTTTGGACCCAGAAACCCTGTGGCCCAGGGTTGTTGCTAAGGCACAAATTTGCATATAATTTGTATGTGCTCATGTATATGTATAATATAATAATAGAATGGCAGATAGCTGGGGGGTCTCACAAGCATCGTGCCCTGCATTATATGCCCATCAACTCCAGCCAGCATGGCAAATGGTCAAGGATGATGGGCGTTGGAGTTCAGCCACATGTGGAGGGTACAGTGGTACCTCGGGTTACATACGCTTCAGGTTACAGACTCCGCTAACCCAGAAATAGTACAGTGGTACCTCGGGTTACATACACTTCAGGTTACAGATTCCGCTAACCCAGAAATAGTACAGTGGTACCTCGGGTTACATACACTTCAGATTACAGACTCCACTAACCCAGAAATAGTACCTCAGGTTAAGAACTTTGCTTCAGGATGAGAACAGAAATCATGCTCCGGCGGCGCGGCAGCAAAAGGAGGCCCCATTAGCTAAAGTCGTGCTTCAGGTTAAGAACAGTTTCAGGTTAAGAACGGATCTCCGGAATGAATTAAGTACTTAACCTGAGGTACCACTGTATTGTTATTGTGTGTGTGTGTGTGTATTTGTGGGGCAGTGGCCTGAGGCTGAGAGCAGTAGTTTGTTTAAGGGACCTCCAGAACAAATTAAGTTCTTAACCAGAGGTACCACTGTAGTCTGTTCTCCACCCCTGTACTTAGAGGATGGGAAGTGCAGGTTCCAACTCTGTAATGGAGACTCCAGATGTGGCAGCCACTTCTCCAGAATTTCCCTCTCCTGTGCTCGTGACAGAGGTCATAGATTAGTTGCCCTCGCTGAACATGAGAGAGTCACAGGAACGAGAACGTGGCATGCTCCGGGCACAAGGAGACACTGCGCATTGCCAACCAGCACTATTTTCAGAAAGGCTGATATCCCAGGCCCAGATATCAGTTGTAGGAAATTATGCGCCCATGGAGATGATGCAAAGAGCTGTTGACACGTGATCAGGCTGGCAGGCCAGATGTATGAGGGGAGAGATTCCCTGCACATAGGGCGCACTCATGCGCAGACCTCTCTGCAGCTGAACTCACACAAACCAAGGCACACAGCATTAACTACTCCCATTGAGGTCACATTCAGATGAGCACTCACCTTATTTTTTGCCAACAAACTTGGCTCACAGTCTCACTGGGCTCCTTCATTTTCAGCAGGCAGCAGTTATACCTTTTCAACCCTACCTATGCAGCCAGAACAGCTGGAAACTTGCTTACTGTATTTTTTGCTCTATAAGACTCCCTTTTTCCCTCCTAAAAAGTAAGGGGAAATGTGTGTGCGTCTTATGGAGCGAATGCAGGCTGTGCAGCTATCCCAGAAGCCAGAACAGCAAGAGGGATTGCTGCTTTCGCTGCGCTGCGATCCCTCTTGCTGTTCTGGCTTCTGAGATTCAGAATTTTTTTTTTCTTGTTTTTCTCCTCCCAAAACGAGGTGCGTCTTGTGGTCTGGTGCGTCTTATAGAGCGAAAAATACGGTACTTTTTTTTAACGGAAAAATTTGGGATCCTGAATTCCAAGCCCAATACCAACATTCATTGCTTTTGCAGAACAAACAGTGGTAGCTCGGTTTTCGAATCTCTCCGCTGACGAACGTTTCGCTTTTCGAATGCCGTAAATGCCGGAAGGAAATGCTTCCTTTTTCAAACAAGCCTCGGAAGTTGAACATGCCACACGGCTTCCGTATTGAGTTTTCCGCATTGAGGCTTCCGTATTGAGTTTTCAGACATTTCAGAACTCTTCCAGTCTTCCAGAATGGATTACGTTCAAAAACTCAGGTACCACTGTATATACATTTTGCAAGAACAAAGCAAATGTGCATGGCTGTGCATGACATCCAGAACAAAGCCATTCTAAGCATAGGTTTTACATGTGGCCGAGCCGCAGACAAGAAGGTAACACCAACCCTGTTATGTATTGAAGTTCTCACCCTGGCCACCAGGGGTATCGTGTATATAGTTTTCACTCAAGTCCACGTCAGTTAATTTAGGCAGGAAACCCTGGGATGTTGTTGTTACAATGTTGACAGCCGGCTGCCTATAAAAGCAGGCCGGCTGAGCTGCTCAGTTCCAACTTACAGTGGTACCTCAGGTTAAGTACTTAATTGGTTCCGGAGGTCCGTTCTTAACCTGAAACTGTTCTTAACCTGAAGCACCACTTTAGGGGCCTCCTGCTGCCGCTGCGCCACCGGAGCACGATTTCTGTTCTCATCCTGAAGCAAAGTTCTTAACCTGAAGCACTATTTCTGGGTTAGCGGAGTCTGTAACCTGAAGCGTATGTAACCTGAAGCGTATGTAACCCGAGGTACCACTGTACTTATAAAGAACTACTTGGAGAAATCTCTGTGTCGTCTGCTATGTCTATTTAATAAGCCCTTGCTAGCTTATACTGGTATTGACACTTGGAGAAGGAGCAGGAAGGAAGCAGAGCCTGCGAGGAAGTCATGTAGTCTACCAACATGTAGCTACTAAAAGAACAGGAATAAGGGAGAAGGAAGATCAAGTTGCCTTTCTATTAGCCCACCCCACTGGTTCAGGTAGCTTATTGCAAGTGCCATTGCTTTATTCTCAACGCCACACATGCGTGCCCTGGGGATGTGGGGGTAAGCAGGGATGGGGTGGCTGTTTCCACCTTGCTCCTCTTTCCAGGGACTGTTGGACGGGGTCACTGGACCAGAGTGGAGGACTTTTGATTTGACCCAGCAGTGGCTGTTCTCAAAGGGGACGAGAGGGAGCGCCACTCACTTGTGTAGCACAGCTATCTCATTCTCGATGCTGCTCTCCTTCCCTTCCAACACCTTCTTTGCGATGCACTTGATGGCTACCAGCTTCTGAGTCGACTTCTCTTCGGCCAGGACCACCTCGGAGAAGGCACCTCTGGAAAACAGAAGGGGAGGGCAGGGAAATGAGAAAGTGGAGCAGGCCAGCCCAGCCCGACAGGCGTGTCCCATTCTTAGCCAGGTATGTAGGTCCCCTAGTTCAGAGGGCCTGGGGGTTTCAAGGCCATTTCACAGAAGACACACTCCAGTAGATGCAGGTGTCTATTAACAGGGGTGGCCCAAAGGTGATTATTAGGGTACACATGCCCACTTCCTTATTTATTGTTTTCATCTGGGGTCAGCACACGTTTATGCTGTGTACCACCCAGAGATTTTCGGATGAAGGGTACAGTCATACCTCATGTTACGTCCGCTTCATGTTACGTTCTTTCAGGTTATGTCCTGCGGCAACCCGGAAATACTGGAAAGGGTTACTTCCGGGTTTAGCCACTCGCGCGTGCGCAGAAGCGCAAAAATGACGTCATGCGCAGAAGCAGCGAATTGCAACCCGCGCATGCGCAGACATGCCGCTTCAGGTTGTGCTCTTTTCATGTTGCGAATGGGCCTCTGGAACGGATCCTGTTTGCAACCAGAGGTACCACTGTAGTATAAAAATTTTATAAATAAGAATAATAAAGTCAAGTGTTTTGGCTGGGGGAAATGACTGTGGATCTTGAAGAGTCATCCCTCCCCCCCCCCCTCACAATGTAGCAGACCCAAGCTTATTTTGGAATTCAGGGTTAGGGGTAGAGGGGGAGTTGTGTGAAAGTCAGTTGAGAGTTGGGAGTTGAAGAAGGAAGCGGGAGGAATAATCTGTGGGTTGGTCGAGTTGTGTGGTGAGAGAGTGAAAGGAATTGTTAGGTGGAGTCAGATAGATAGATAGTTGGGATAATCAGTTTGAAGTTGTTAGGAACGAATAAGACAGTTAAGGAACTAAGATTAAGAAACTGCCAAGAAAAATTAACTGAAACCATAAGCTTGTTCATGCCTATAAAATAAACTTGATTTTTTGTTAATGTTACCAACTGACTGGACTCCGTGTGTACCCAAGGGAAACGGGTTGGTGGCAGCGAAGAACGCAATTACAGTGGTGGCACAGGGTCAATAGACCGTCGAACATCCGGGGGCCCTGTGTGATCGCCACAAAGGGGCATCTAGTTCCTTACGTTTTCTGACCGAGATGTGTTTTAAAGCCACGTGCAAAATAAGGAACTTGTAAGCAACTTCAACGTCGTGCACAGGAATATGGCATGGATGGAGCTCCAAACAGCGAAAGCTATGGGGTGAAGCCAACCCATAAACACAGAGGCGGTGTGAGTGTGTGCAGGCAAGGCCCCTGTCATCTTCTGACCTGACATCCTGCGAGCACCAGGCCCTCCCCATCACACCCAGCTGGATCTCTCACCCAGCCGCTGTCACCACAGCAACCTGCAGAATTCCAGCTATTTATAGGAGAGCATGTGAGAGATGGCACCGGGCTGGCAGGAGAGAATGTGCCAGGAAGAAAGGGGTGAGAGGAGGCAGGGAGGAAGCGCTGGGTAAAGAATTTGGGAGAATGCGCCAGGTAGGAAGAAGACAGAGACTGGGCACACTGTGTTCCAGCAAGGGAGGGGGTGAGTTTAAAAACAGAACCACGAAGGTTGCATCCGTGTAAAAGCAAATCTAGCCAAGTCTTCCAGGATCTACAGATGGATTAGAAAGGGAAAGGGATTCATAGCTTGGCACTCTGGCCGCTGTCCATGCTGCCTGGGAGTCGTAGTTCAGTGAAATCTGGGCAGCAGCAGGAGGGTGAAGATTGGGCTATAATAGGAGGAATTGCCATGGATTCCTGGTAAGGAGTGATATAGGATCTGGAGACAAGAGGAATGGCCCCTTCTACCTGAGCAGAGAGCTTCTAAAACCTGTATCTCTGTGGTGGTGTGTGTGCGTGCACACACACACACAAACACACACACACACACACACACACACCCCATCCTGGTTTCTTGGCTGGCCTTGGCTGTGCCACCTTCAGAATAAGAACACAAGCTGGCAAACAAAGGGCACTATCTATATTCCCCTCCCTGCTTATCGCCGGTTCTTGCGATTAGAGCCCTTTGGCTTTTCAGCCCCATCTAGGGCAGGGGATAAAAGAGGGCAGGGAAATGGCACAGTTTCAGAGCCGAATGGGCTCCGTCTCTGGCCAGGAAGGAAAGGGTTTGTTATCTCTACAAAGCGGCACTCGGGGCCTGAGCCAAGGAGAGATGGGGATAGGCAGGTTCTGAGGAATCAGCTGCTGCGAGGACAGACACAGTTCACAACCTGCAGCCCCCGTCCCCTCCATGGCACCATATGCCACTTGGCATATGCCAGTGAGCCTTGTTGCCCCGCCAGAGAATCTCCACCTGCCAGCTGCTTTTTATGGTCCAGGAAAATTCGTAGGCGGATAAGGCTATCGGTGGGTACACATGATAGGTACCTACTACCTCCACACAATCAGAGGAGGACCTGGATACCAGTTACGTACATATTTGCCCATCCAACTCAACACAAAGACTGGCAGCAGCTCCCCAGCGCTTCAAACAAAAGTCTTTCTCCTACCTGGATTGGCCAGGGGTTGAATTTGGGACCTTCTGTGGACTATGCAAAATAAGATAAATTAACAGGAAGGATTCAAAACCTGCGGGACCAGAGATTCTTAGAAGACTGGAGTAAATATACAAACTATTTGAAAAGTAATAGTAATGAACAGATTACGCTAGCAGGATTGCAAGAAGTTTTGTAAGGAGGACGATTTGAAATATTGCATAAAAGACTATGAGGAGAATGATTAGTTAATGATAATTAAGAGTAATAGAGAAATTAAGAAATGCAGAATAAGTGATAAAGAATGAAAAATCATCAGAGTTGTTGACGGAAGTCTAAAACATTGTATAAGATAAGAAGTTATGTTATATGACTGTTGGAAATGATATGTTAAAAAATCTAATAAAAATGTGTGTGTGTGTGTGTGTGTGTGTGTATATATATATATATATATATATATATATATATATATATATATTTGGGACCTTCTGCATACAAGCAAATGCCCCAGCCCCTGAACTATGGCCCTTCCCTGAGTTGCTAGAGGAGCATCTTCAAGAGCAGGCTATTGCCCTCGCACCATGCTTGTGAGGTTCCCAGGCGCCTCTGACCGGCCACTGTGGGAAACTGGATGCTAGACCAGACCCTTCCTATTTTCTCGTGAAAAACAAAGTTACGCCACGTCATATGATGGCTTGCGAAACTTGCTGTCCAATCTGATTACTCCCACTTCCTCCTGACTCTACTAGCATAAGTCAACACCCTTCCCCCTCCCCCCAATTTAACAAACATAACAAAAATCTGACGCCACTGTTTTGCTTGCCATTATTCGGCATCATCGTTCCTTCCTAAGCATGCATTTTACCACTTTTTTAATCATCCTGGCTGAGAGTACACCCTGCGCACACACCCCCAAAAACAGGTTGCTAAAATATATTCAGGAGCTGACTAATCTGATTTAGGGATAAGTACATAAAAGGACACGGGTGGCACTGTGGGTTAAACCACAGAGCCTAGGACTTGCCGATCAGAAGGTCGGCGGTTCGAATCCCCGCAATGGGGTGAGCTCCCATTGCTCGGCCCCAGCTCCTGCCAACCTAGCAGTTCGAAAGCACATCAAAGTGCAAGTAGATAAATAGATACCGCTCCGGCGGGAAGGTAAACAGTGTTTCAGTGCGTTGCTCTGGTTCACCAGAAGTGGCTTAGTCATGCTGGCCACATGACCCGGAAGCTATACGCCGGCTTCCTCAGCCAATAAAGTGAGATGAGCGCCGCAACCCCAGAGTCGGTCATGACTGGACCTTGTGGTCAGGGATCCCTTTACCTTTACCTAAAAGGAGGTTGTGACCCTGAAGCATTTGTTGTGCTAGCGCCCATTGCAGCAAAAGCAACTCAAGAGTTTTGTGGCACCTGAAAGATTAGCAAGTTTAGGGTGGTAGAAGCTTTCCTGGACTAAATCCCACCATCAGATGTGGTGGGAAGGGCTGGCCTCAGCTGGCAGGTGTGGATGCTTAGGAATGCAGATCAGGGGTAGAGCATGTGATGCTTTGCATGCAAAATTTCCCGGGATCAGCCCCTAGTGTCTCTAGGTAAGGGCTGGGAGAGACCCCTGCCCGAAACCCTGAAGAGCTGCTGCCAGTTAGTGCTGACAATATGGTGCTAGATGGCCTAGACTTTGTATGAAGCAGGTTCCTCTGGGTTTATGTATGAGTATACAGAGGGGGTAGGGACGCGGGTGGCGCTGTGGGTTAAACCACAGAGCCTAGGACTTGCCGATCAGAAGGTTGGCGGTTCAAATCCCCGAGACGGGGTGAGCTCCCGTTGCTCGGTCCCTGCTCCTGCCAACCTAGCAGTTTGAAAGCACGTCAAAGTGCAAGTAGATAAATAGGTACCACTCTGGTGGGAAGGTAAATGGCGTTTCCATGCGCTGCTCTGGTTCGCCAGAAGCGGCTTAGTCATGCTGGCCACATGATCCGGAAGCTGTACGCCGGCTCCCTCGGTCAATAAAGCGAGATGAGCGCCACAACCCCAGAGTCGGCCACGACTGGACCTAATGGTCAGGGGTCCCTTTACTTTTACTTTACAGAGGGGGTGGTAGGTGATATATTAGAGTCAAACGGCCTTGAAATGCACGAGGCAGAATCACAGAATTGTACAGTTGGAAGGGATCACGAGAGTCATCTAGTCTAACCTAAACGGCCTTGCTCCAGTATATCTGAAGGAGCGCCTCCACCCCCATCGTTCAGCCCGGACACTGAGATCCAGTGCCGAGGGCCTTCTGGCGGTTCCCTCATTGCGAGAAGCCAAGTTACAGGGAACCAGGCAGAGGGCCTTCTCGGTAGTGGCGCCCGCCCTGTGGAACGCCCTCCCTTCAGATGTGAAGGAAATGAGCAGCTATCTTATCTTTAAAAGACATCTGAAGGCAGCCCTGTTCAGGGAAGTTTTTAATGTGTGACATTTTAATGTTTTTTTAATCTTTGTTGGAAGCCACCCAGAGTGGCTGGGGAAACCCAGCCAGATGGGCGGGGTACAAATAATAAATTATTATTATTATTATTATTACCCCCTGCAATGCAGGAATATTTTGCCCAAGAATCCATGACCCTGAGATTAAGAGTCTTGTGCTCTATTGACCGAGCTGACAGAGCAGAAAGGGCAGTCCGTGCCAATTCCACATAAGGGCCAAACCACACTTTTTAAAAAGGATGCTTAAGATGGCCTCTTAAGGAGAGGTTTGATGGGGAACTGGAGTGGGAACCCCATCCGGACAGAGAGCACATTCTGCTTCGGCACCCTGCATGGCTACTTTTCCTGCAAAACACAAGTGACCAGACTGAGCCTCCTCTTAAAGACACCTGAATGGGTCATTTGGCCCTAAAATGGACGCAAGATAAAACACGGTGCCTGTCTGCGGCAGCAGTACAGTAATCTAAACAGGTAACTTAGGGAGGGTGGCATGACTTGTCACACGGAGGCCTGCAGGAGAAGAACCCCACAGGGATTGTGAGGAACCAGAGAAGTTTCCTCCAGAGATTGGACGGTGGTGACCTCTGCGAGAGCTCTCACCTTCTAATCCTTTCTGTAATTAACACATTAATCCCGCTTAGGTGTCTTAGCCAGTCTCGGGTGCTGGCCTCCTTTTACTTTGCAAGCCAGCCAGTCTGAGCTCCTTTGCTGCCAGGCTGCTCCACCTGAGGTGTCAAACACAGTCCTTGACCACAGGGCTAAGGTTCATTGCCCTTTATGAAGGGGGAAGTTTGAAGAGAGAGAGAGAGAGGGAGGGAGAAAGGGCTGAGATCTGCCCGCAGACTGTCTCACCAGAGTGGTGCATGCTCTACTTATCTCTCGCTTGGACTACTGCAATGTGCTCTATGTGGGGCTACCTTTGAAGGTGACCCGGAAACTACAACTAATCCAGAATGCGGCAGCTAGACTGGTGACTGGGGGCAGCTGCTGAGACCACATAACACCGGTCTTGAAAGACCCACATTGGCTCCCAGTATGTTTCCAAGCACAATTCAAAGTGTTGGTGTTGACCTTTAAAGCCCTAAACGGCCTCAGCCCAGTATACCTGAAGGAGTGTCTCCACTTCCATCGTTCTGCCCGGACACTGAGGTCCAGCGCCGAAGGCCTTCTGGCAGTTCCCTCATTGCGAGAAGCAAAGCTACAGGGAACCAGGCAGAGGGCCTTCTCGGTAGTGGCGCCTGCCCTGTGGAACGCCCTCCCATCAGATGTCAAAGAGATAAACAACTACCTGACATTTAGAAGACATCTGAAGGTTCAGGGAAGTTTTCAATGTGTGACATTTTAATGTATTTTTAAACTTTGTTGGAAGCCACCCAGATCCAGAGTGACTGGGGAAGCCCAGCCAGATGGGCAGGGTACAAATAATAAATTCTTCTTCTTCTTCTTCTTCTTCTTCTTCTTCTTCTTCTTCTTCTTATTATTATTATTATTATAGAATCATAGAATTGTAGAGCTGGAAGGGACCTTGAGTCTCACTTAGTCCAACTGCCTGCAGTGCCGGAATACGTAGCTGTCCCATACAGGGACCAAACCTGTGACCTTGGTGTTATCAACACCACACTCTAACCAACTGAGCTACGCAGTGCAGTGGCATAGCGTGGGTTGTCAGCACCCGGGGCAAGGCAATTAATTTGCGCCCCCTAACCCGTGGATTTTAGCACTCAAGGTAGGGGCAGAGAGCTGCGAGTGCGAGCGCCCCCCCAGATGTTGCGCCCAGTGCGGCTGGCCCCCCCTGCAACCCCCACGCTACGCCACTTACGCAGTGATCTCAGTTCTGGTCCTGACAGCAAATTCCTGAACCAAGCGTGTGCTCTGTGGCACCTTAACTCTTGATTCAAAGATGCCCTGTGCCATCATCTTGCATCCGCCCCTGGTTTGTAGATCTTGAAGTTCTTTCCTCTGCCCTACATGAACCACCACCACCAGTTGACTTGAACATATTATAAAAGGGCTTACCTTCTTGCCCAGGGTTTCCCCCGACCCATAAGATTGGATAGTGATGTATGGAAGTGAGAGCTGGACCATAAAGAAGGCTGATCGCCAAAGCATTGATGCTTTTGAATTCTGGTGCTGGAGGAGACTCTTGAGAGTCCCATGGACTGCAAGAAGATCAAACGCATCCATTCTTAAGGAAATTAGCCCTGAGCGCTCACTGGAAGGACAGATCCTGAAGCTGAGGCTCCAATACTTTGACCACCTCATGAGAAGAGAAGACTCCCTGGAAAAGACCCTGATGTTGGGAAAGATTGAGGGCACAAGGAGAAGGGGACGACAGAGGACGAGATGGTTGGACAGTGTTCTTGAAGCTACAAACATGAGTCTGACCAAACTGCGGGAGGCAGTGGAAGACAGGAGTGCCTGGCGTGCTCTGGTCCATGGGGTCACGAATAGTCGGACACGACTAAACAACTAAACAACAGCAACAACTGCATACACAGCACACACCATATATGTATCTATCTATCCATATATAGATATCGATACTGATATAGATATATACAGATACAGATAGATATATATAATGTAATATAATATATAATGTAAAGCAATTTAAAAAGGCTTTTAAATAAATAAAACACACCCACACCCAATTATATTTCTCAAGCACAAAGTCTTTCTATCCTTGCCTTATATCACAACCATGTTGGAAGAAAATATGGACACATATAAGGAAGTGGGGGACAGGGTGGGGAGAGAGAAAGGCTTTCTTTTTGTTTCTCGCCCAACAGAAAAGTTCATTCATTTCTTCTGCTGTTGCTCATGAAGACCCGCATAGATAGCTGAAGGAGAGGCTGAAAATAGCTACCTAGATAACAGAGAGCCCTCGCCACTTGCCAGACCTGAGCCTTGAAAACCTTAAGGTAGCGCCTGTGAGCATGTGCTACCTGAGGTAAAAACCCCTCCTTTCAAAAAATAAAAAATAGGGTACTATTGACTGGCCACATACTTCAGCAGCAGCCCAGGTCTCCTGTCAATATTGACGGAGCCCTGTGCTAATATTTGAGGCCACAGGTTTCCAAAGCGTATTCGCCACCTGTTGGCCCAGCCTTGGTACAAATACAAGGTGGAGTGTGCCCAGCGGTTTAGGATGGGGCAGGGGAGAAGACGCTTGTCACTAATGGAGCCTGTACCCTGCATCTCACCCTACACCTGGCTCCTACATTTTAGACAGTCTCCTACTGGGGCATGAGAAGTTAAGAACCAAAGAGGAGCCCCTGCTGGTGTGGCACCCTGTTCTCATGGCAGGAAGTCCCCAACAGGAAATGAGATATCAGCCAGCTTCCCCTGCTCAAGTGGAACACAAGGCAGAAATCAATAAGCAGCAGCAGCCTCATGGACTCCTAACACATTTTTCAAAAACTGATCAGATAAACAATACTAGGGTTATATCTCTGATGGGTGTAGCACAAAATATAAGGAAGTGGTTGTGTTTAGATATCATCATAAGCCATGGTTTATCTCAACAAGAACGAGCCTAACACTCCCTGTTCTCTTCATGTGCTCTCTTCCTCATCCAGCATAGCCAAGAGAAGACAAATGGAGGCCTCTAATTTCAATTAGCCGCAATCACTGTTATGCTCGAACCCTAAACTGTGGCTAATCTTAACGATGGCTTGGTGAAACGAGACAGCTTCGTAAGCTATTGCTTGAAGTTGGGTGGTTTCAAACAAACCATAGCTAAGGTTAAGCACAAGATGTGGTTAACAAAATTAAAAAAGCAGGCACAAAATATTCCAAGCCCCTTCTTGCAGCTGTGCCAGAGGAGAAGCATGAGGCCCCAGGGGAGAGTAGACTCACTCCCACCACAGTAAACCATGGCAACCAGTGTGACTCTGAAGCATTTTTTAATTCCTGTTTCATGTAGACAAGGTCAATTAGCTTAGGCTAACAGCCTTGGAATCTTGATGATAGAAAACAAGCTCTTAGAACATCAGCTGCCAGCATCTACTGCTAGGAGATTTGCAGAAGGTACACAAGGGTCCTTCCAATTGTTTAATAACAGAAAGAACAACAAAGGCACCCTCTTCCCGAAAATGAAGAAAACTAAAATGAAGAAAACAAGCTGCTATTTTGAACCTGGCTCGAGTTGTTGGGCCTTGAGGTTTCCATGAAAATAAAGTACTGTAAATCCCCTGCCTTAGAGGATCAGCCCTCACCCAGATATCCCTAATAACCACATGGCTGTGTGGTGTAGTGGTTAGGGTGCCAGACTAGGACCTGGGAGACCAAGGATCAAACCCCACTCATCGCTGAAGATGGTGACCTTGGGACAGCCACTGCCTATCAGCCTAACCTACTTCACAGGGTTGTCGTGGGGATTAAATGGGGGGGGGGAGAGAACCACGAGCACCAATTTAAGCTTTCCTTGAAGAAAAAGGTAGGATGTAAATGCAATAAACAAACGAACAACGACTCACGTGCCCAGCACCTCCCGGAATTCATAGATCTCCCGGATATCTTCCGCTCGTTTCTTCCAACTGGGCTCCTCCTCTTCCAAGGGCATGGCTCTTATTGGGCTGAACCTCTGGGCTGCCCTATGCCCAGCTGTCCCAGAGCAGAGGGGCAGGCAGGTGGAGCAAACTCAGGGCCTAGAGAGGAAGAACAGGGATATCGGCATTAGAACAGGACCGCAAAGCAGTAGTAGCTACTACTATGCCATAAGATCCACTGTCCTGTAATAGCACATATGAGCTACTGATGAAGCCCAGGACGGCGAAACAAGGCCTATATTCCGGAAATCCTTGTCTTAGACTCTGTGAAAGGATTCTGTGGAACTGCTACAACCTTTCATGTGGATTGTTTGGACCTTATGAACAGACAGGTGGAATAGACACTACAGTGGTACCTCAGGTTAAGTACTTAATTCATTCCGGAGGTCCGTTCTTAACCTGAAACGGTTCTTAACCTGAAGCACCACTTTAGCTAATGGGGCCTCCTGCTGCTGCCACGCCGCCGGAGCATGATTTCTGTTCTCATCCTGAAGCAAAGTTCTTAACCCGAGGTACTATTTCTGGGTTAGCGGAGTCTGTAACCTGAAGCATATGTAACCCGAGGTACCACTGTATTACACGGATAGACCTTATGCATGAACTGACTAGAGAATGATCTGATTGACTGGGTCTTCTGCTTTGTTCGTTTGTTGAACTTTATGAGTTACTTCCGTTGAAATTTATGATTTGATACATGAATAGTATACCTTATTTATCTAAGAACACAGCCGGTTACGTCTCGTGTGTTTACTGAATCTTCCTGGAGCTTAGCACTGCCTAGGAGGAGAGCAAACGAGGCCAACGTGAGTGTTGCAGGAGTGTTACATATTCAGTTTGGTTCTGCTCATCCCATGCATATGAAGGAAGAGAGTTCACCTGCCTCCCTCCGGCAGAAGGCTCTCACACTGTTCAGCTGCTCAGCATCAACAAAACTGGGATCCAGAACCCAAGATGTACCACAGCCTTCCCCAGCCAGATGTTTCGGCCTACCGTTTTCTGTCAGCCCCAGAAACCATTGCTGGTGCTCAGGACTGATGCAGTCTAAAACATCTGGAGGTCACCAATGTCCAGGAAGGCTGCTATATCATCTTTGGTGAAGCAGCTCATTTTAAAATTAGCTGGTTTACAAAGGGACCTCAGAATTCAGATTATAGAGTCCCCCCCCCCCAAGGCTTAGCCCAAGGGTCTGCAACGTAGTGCCCTCCCTCTGGATGTCTCTGGTCTCCAGTTCTCATCATCACTGACCCTGGGCCTTGCTGGCTCTAGGGCTGATGGGAGTTGATAATCCAGCAACATCTTGAGAGAGGCACCATATTGGCTCCCCCTGGCAAAGTCTTTCAAGGAGGGGGCAGTGGGGTGGGGTGGGGTACAGTGGCCAGACACAAGGGCTTCTTTCGCTTCAGCTCATCTCGCCCTCCCTCTTCCCAATTCCTCTTCACTTTTGTGCCCTTCAGCATATTGCTCAGGCTTTTAAGCCTGTTTGGTAACATTGCGGCTGTCGCCATGACAACAGCTGTAGCTCCTGCAACACCGAAAACACAGCTCCTTCCTCTGCCTCTGCCTCAACCTCCATCTCCCAAGGGGCCAGGCTTGCCCCTACTTTTGCACACTCATGCGCAACACACAAACACACACACCCTCAAAGCAGCCTTCTCCAACCTCATGCCCTCTAGATATGATATGGAGTGCAACTTCTCCTCAGCCAACATCTAAGTTGGCAATGGCTGACTTAGGGCCTAGCCTTCGTGCTGCGATGTGAGCTACCGTGTTCAACTTTAAAGCGAGCAGCATTTGGAGGTTTCCGGAAAGGCTAAGCAGGAGTATGTCCATTTCACTTGAAAGACTTACTCTGGGCTCATCCACATTCCCACTTGCCCTGTGCCCTGAGTGGTTTTCCGCTTCCGCCCGCACCTTTCCCACAGAAAACCCATCATTTAGTGCTAAATCGGAGCAAACGTCAATCCGGAGAAAACCCGAATTGCCATTTGCTCTGACTGAGTGCTAAAGAGCAGCTTTCTCTGAGGGAAAACAGTGGGAGCGGAGGAGGAAGTGTGGACAAGGCCTCTGATTCACTTCTGCTCCTTATGCCTGATGCTGAAGACAAGGGCTGCCTCCAGAACGTCAGTCTTTTCAGGGTGGGATTTCCATCACATCAGGCACTTGGGTTTGCGCACTTGAAGCGGACTAAAACGTTCCATGACTCTGGCGCAATAAACTCACTTGTTAAAGATTGGCCTTTTTTGCTGTTAGGAAAGTGATGGGAAAGACATTAATGGGAAGCCGCACAAGCAATTCAAGGTGAAAATGGATCCCTGCAAACAAATCAGTTCAATAAAGACTGGGCATTTTCTAATGTCTGCTTCGCACAAGCAAAACAGGATTAATACTCAACAAACATGTTGCCTGGAGGAGATCTAGGTTATCAGTCAAAACACAATAAAATCTACTGGGTTGCAGCCAACTGAGGCTGTGTACACACTAATACCTTAAAAGCACATTTAAGGTACAGTCTTTACCTCAGAGAATTCTGGGCACTGTCATTTACCCCTCACAGGGTTACAATTCCCAGCTGCCCTTAACAAACTACAGTACCCATAATTCTTCGAGGGGAAAGAATGTGCTTTGAATGTGCTCTAAAAAATATAGTGGATAATGCAGCCTACGTTGTACTCGGAGGAAGCCTACTGAAATTAATGGACCTAAATTAGTCATACCCACTCATTCCCAAACGCCTACTCAAAGTATGATTTAACGCTGGATGTGATCTACCGTTAACAAACATTTTAAGAAGAGAATTACGTAATGCTGTTCCCTTCCTCCAAAGGAAGGCCACATTCACCCGAGTCATGTGAGGCCACCTGAAGTTCCTCTTGGCTCTGTTTTCTGAAGTGAAAACAGCTCTGCTCACTGTAGCAGACAGAAGCACATCGGGGGGAGGAAGTCAAATCTTATTTCTGTAGCATTCACCCAGTCAAATGGGGTTAGGATGTTCGTCCTCTTATTTTTTTAAGAGAACATTTGTACCCCTGTTCTCTTCCCGGTTTAGGTCTTCTCTCCCTCCCTGGGAAAGTTGGCATGTTAGGGATTGAGAGGGAAGGTGACGCTACTTTATCCTTCTCCAATTGTCAGAGTCTCTGAATATCAGTTGCTGAAAACAGTAAGAGGGGAAGGGGCGCTTGTGCTCAGGTCTTGCTTGTTGGCTTCCCAGAGGTTGGGAGAACAAGATGCTGGAATAGATGGACCACTTGGCCTGATGTCAGCAGGCCTGTTCTTGGGCCACTCTTGTCATACGATGCTGGGGTTGATGCAAGTGGTAGTCCAAAACATCTTTCTGGAAGGCACTAGGTTGGTGAAGGCTGTGCTATGTTATCTTTCCACAAGGGGGGGAAGAAAGGTTTGTTAAAAGCACAGGGAAGCATTCAAAACATGCAATTCTGAACTGGTACAGTGAAACCTCGGTTTTCAAGCATCTCGGAAGCCGAACGTTTTGGTTTTCGAACGCCAAAAACCTGGAAGTACAGTGGTACCTCAGGTTAAGAACTTAATTTGTTCTGGAGATCCGTTCTTAGCCTGAAACTGTTTTAACCTGAGACACCACTTTAGCTAATGGGGCCTCCCGCTGCCGCTGTGCCACCGCCGTGCGATTTCTGTTCTCACCCTGAAGCAAAGTTCTTAACCCGAGGTACTATTTCTGAGTTAGTGGAGTCTGTAACCTGAAGCACCTGTAACCTGAGGTACCACTGTAATTGCTTCTGTTTTCAAACGCACCTCAGAAATCGAACGGCTTCTGAGGCACGTTTCTCAATTTTCTCAACTGAATTTTCTGACCACCCATTGCGCCTCAGTTGTCGAACATTTTGGAAGTTGAAGGGTCTTCCAGAATGGATTACATTCGACAACCGAGGTTCCACTGTACCACTTCAGGGGGTCTGTACCATGAGTCTTTCTTTAATATGTTGTCTGGCTCTGGGTGGACAACACAGGTGTTAAAGAGGCAAGAGGACCCAAGGCAGCTCACGAAATAAATGAAAACAGATATAACTAAGAACATATACAAGAAATATGAATACTAGGAAGCAATTGAATAAGTAACCCTATTTAAAAGCACTGAGAACACTTAAGAAAAATAAAAGTATAACACCACGCGCCTCTGAAGACCCTACCACAACAGACAATTAGTGGCCGAAAGGCCTTCGGAACAAGAAAAGAAAAAGAGTATTTCCCTGCCAGGAAAAGGACAGCAGAGAGAGAGAGAGAGAGAGAGAGAGAGAGAGAGAGAGAGAGCCAGGTTATCCTGTCATAGAAGGGCATTGCACAATCGGAAAGCAGTTGCCAAGAAGGCCCTCTCTTGTGTCATAAATCCAAACAGGGTGTAACTGTCACCATGGCCAGAGCAGACATCTCCAGGAACAGGCGGAGCTGGCGCACTAGTTTTAAATGTGCCCACATGCTCCTGGTAGTCGGCACAACTGATATAACTGCCTGCGAACTTCAAGGATTGGAGTCACTGCCTTTCCACACTACCTACAATCAGGTCAGCTGTTCATTGATGGAGCTGCATCCATTATGTTCGTTGATGGAAGTGCTAAGGAATTCTAACAAACAAACAAACAACAAAACCAGTGAAGTTTTGAAATCAATTGTTAAAAGCAGTGCAGTTTTTGAAAGGTTCAGTCTGCCATCTTAGGACAAAATGGTATCCAACTGTATCCAATTCCAGGCCAAAAAACTGCTCCTTGATCCCAGGAACCACCGTGGAAAATTTGATTAAGATACCCTTTGTTATTTGAAAATTTAACAAACTGGGGGGGGGGGGGGCCGAGAGAGAGAGAGAAGCAGAAGAAATAAATAAATAAATGAGAGAAAGAAAAATAAATAATATATGAACAACAAAAAACCATCAGCTCACATTAAGCATGCAATAACCGTAAGTGCGGCCATCCTTAGTTAAACATATATGTTAATATAAGCCCTCCAAAGGTTCAAATAGGTATCTACATGAAACCGATGTGTACAAGAAATACATTCAAATGTAGCCACAATATCTTAAGAGGTGTGCAAATGCACAGAGAAACAACTTTCCAAAATATATTGTTAGGAGTTTTTGAGTGCTGGACACCCTAAATTCCTGGATTCAGTAAATGTTAGAATTTAATCAATGCTTGGAGTGTTAAAACTGGATGCCAGACACTGGATTTAGCAAGTATTACAATATGAGCCAGGACAGCTTCCCGTGGCAGGAAATTGCCTGGGAGACGAGCCATTAAGAAGAACAAAGGAAAGGTAACGAGCCATTCGGAAAGCCAAAGCAGAGTTCAAAGTAAAGTTTCAGAACTGGCTGTGAGGTGCCTTAGGGGGGAAAGGTTGCAGTCTGTAAAAGTCAGCAAGCTGCCGAGAACCACAGCTGGTGTCTTTTTGAATCCAAGGCTACCACTAGGGGAGAAGCAAGACTCTCTTGGAGTGTCGATGCTGGGAGGCCCTGCGTTGTAGGATCAGGTTGCATCATATCATAAAGACACTGTAGACGCCGCTGTGCCTCGTTCCCAAAAAGAAACACGGACCTTGAGTAAGCAGGCCCGGAACCCCGGGGATCTCACACCACTCAGAGATAGGTCCAGTCGCGGACGACTCTGGTGTTGTGCGCTCATCTCACTTTACTGGCCGAGGGAGCCGATGTTTGTCCGCAGATAGTTTTTCCACGTCATGTGGCCAGCATGACTAAGCCGCTTCTGGTGAACCAGAGCAGTGCACGGAAACGCCGTTTACCTTCCCGCCAGAGTGGTAGCTATTTATCTACTTACACTTTGACGTGCTTTCGAACTGCTAGGTGGGCAGGAGCAGGGACCGAGCAACGGGAGCTCAACCCGTCACAGGGATTTGAACCGCCAACCTTCTGATCGGCAAGCCCTAGGCTCTGTGGTTTAACCCACAGCGCCACCTGCTATGTTGGAGGCAAAATGCCTCTGAATAACAAAGATGGGGTTCACAAGTGGGGAGAATGTTGTTGCACGCCTGTCCTGCACGGGGGCTTCACAAGGGCACCTAGTTGTCTACTGTGACGACAGAATGCTGAGCTACATGGGACATTGGTCTGATCCAGCAATTCTAACTGCTTCCCAGCCAGATCCAGACCCACACCAATGCTGTCCAAACTGCAGAGGGAGACTCTGCCCTCTAATAACAGGGATGCAGAACTTTTTTCCACATGTTCTTGTTGGACTGCAACTCCCAACCAGGTCTAGCTAGCATGGTCAATAGTCAGGGGTGATTTTAGTGAGTCGTTCCTAATCTCTTTCTTCATCATATAGCCAGGCTTCTCCCACCTGGGCAGAAATATTTGCGTCACGGCTATCGTTAAAAACGGCAACATTCACAGCCCATTTTACATCAGCCTGCATTTAGATGAATTGACACATGATGCCATCGAATGACACTTCCTCCTACCAGGAGAAACAGCAGCACTACGCCGCAGGCAACCTAAGTGCGGAATCATCCAACCGAGATAGCTAAGTGCCAAAATGCAACTCTGAAACGCAAGCCAAGCACAGCACCTACAGAGCTTAACATGGAAGGGCCGGGTCTGGTGTTCATGAGTCAGTGTTGTATAATTGCAGATTCCTCTTCACAAAACTGCCTGGAGTTGAAGCCTACATCCATGGTCAGCATATTATTATTATTATTATTAGTCCCATGTTGACTTGAGCAAGTGCTGAAGGACCAACATACTGGTTCCACTCCCACTGCACAGTGGAAATGTCTCAGTCTCTCCCAACATGTGCTTGTGTCCATGTGCAAAAAGTCTGGGGGAAATGGATTTGTTGTACTAGGGTGAAACAGTGGTTTACTTTGCTTTAACTGCACAAACCTAAGTTTTGGGTATGAGTTTGAATCCCTCCTGCAAAACAGAGACAGCTTGAAGGCAGCCTGCATAGGATGCAGGCAAATCCAGGATGCTCTGATAGGGTGAGGGATATGTAATGTGTTAAATCACCTGGTCCTGCCATGCCAAGGCACCGGCAAGAGAGTTCTCCCCTTCTGCACGATAGTTAATTACAGTGGTACCTCATGTTACATTCGCTTCAGGTTACACATGCTTCAGGTTACAGACTCCGCTAACCCAGAAATAGTGCTTCTTAACCTGAATAATAAGGATAAGAACAGAAATTGTGCTCCAGCGGTGCGGCGGCAGCAGGAGGCCCCATTAGCTAAAGTGGTGCTTCAAGTTAAGAACAGTTTCAGGTTAAGAACGGACCTCCGGAACGAATTAAGTACTTAACCCAAGGTACCACCATACAACTGTTTTGCACGCTTCTTGGCTTTCACATAACAGAGAGCAGTTGAGGTGCATAAGAAGGGGATAACCCTGCAACTCTCTGGATCAAACCTCTGTGTGTGTGGGCGCATGTGTGTGCGCATGTGTGTGTGTGTGTGTGTGAGAGAGAGAGAGAGAGAGAGAGAGAGAGCGCTTTTCAATTTTGCTGTTGATCACTCTGGGGAGGAAGAGGTTAAGGAGAAAACAGTACACATGCCCAGGGAATGCAAAGAGACACCACTGGGTCAGAGATCTTGCTGCAGGGGGCCAGAGGGGACAAACTGGGATCTCAGGCTGCCAGTTGACCAACCGTTACCTTTAAGCAAGAGTATTGCAGCACTTTAAAGACTAACAAGCTTTATTATGGTATAAACGACCATGGAGTAAAGTCCGCTTCATCAGGCTTTACATTAGGTAAAGTAAGAAAGACAAGGCAAGCCAGACAACCAGGGCTTCTTTCCCCCCAGCCAGAACTCACCGGAACTCAGTTCTGGCACATCTCAGGTGGTGAGAGGTTGTCACTATAAGAGAACAAGAGAGGAGTTCGTGGTGAGTTCCGGCACCTCTTTTTCTAGCAAAACAGCACTGCAGGCAACTAAATACAGCTTTGCATACGAAGAAATGGCAGGTGGGCAGCGACAGCTGATGGAAAAGGTGCCAGTCTTGAAGGTGTCACAGGACTCTGGGTTTGGCTTTGCTCCAACAGACTAGCACGGCTGCTGCCTGCCTGGAAATTCATACCCTACAAGCTGCTACAAGGTTAAGAGACAAGGACCTGGCTTCTCTGAACGGCAGCCGCTCTGTAAGGTCTCAGGCGGGACCCTACTACCTGACATTTTTAAAAAAAGAAAGAAACTGGAGTTGCAGGGGATTGAAGAACGCAAGGACTTTAATATGGAACTACAGACTCCGCTTCCCTTGTAGCTACTCTACTGCATCCCCATCCCAGGGATGTGAAACCTGTGGCCCAGCAGATGATGTTGCACTTCCATGAGCCACAGTAAACATGGACAACGGGGTGAAAACGGAGTTGTAATTCAACAACGTCTTGGGCTTCCCATCAAATCCCCCTGTATTTTCAGACAGGGGAAGGCCAGAGACGTCAATAAACTCTCCATCGAAACCTTTGTATCTGGTAAATGGAGCGCTGCATACGCAGAAGAGGCAGGCAGGAAGAGACTCAGCGCTACCCAAGGCAAATGCCATCATCGCAGGGATGTAAACAGATAGGCGCACACCCCTCTACAGAACCAGGCATAGGGGTCATCTACACAGATACACACAGAGCCAGTGATAATGCAATATTCTAGACCAACACACACACACCCCTCACGTGCCCCATTTGCCCACCAATTGCAGCATTCGTGCTAATTGTTTGCAGCAGAAATTGCTGACGGCATGTTCCCCTTTAGGGGTAGGAGTGTGGTGGATAGGGGTGACTGCAGGGAGGTACAATGCAAAAGTGCCATCCTGCTGTTTGCCTGTATCCGGAGGAAGCAGAAAGGGAGGCTGCTGCAGTGGCTAACAGGCTGCCCATGAATGGAAGCACCGAGTGGAATGGAGCAACTGGAAATCTGCCTGATTCTTATTATTTTTTAATCTCGCTGGATGAATCATCTGTGCTGGTATTAAAAAAACCTCAGGTAAGCAATTATTATTTCGCCCCCAGAAAAGGAAGGTGAGAGGAGTTTTTAAATGGTATATGGTGGGGGAGCGTGTGTGTGTGTAAGGAGAAAACACGACATCAGCACAGTCCAATCAGTGCCCATGATGAGTGTGCAATTACAACAGATTATCCATAATAATGCTACAAAGTGGAAGAATCCTGTTTTCACCAAACACCCAAAGTAGTGTGATTTGAATATTGAGGAAATGAGTAAAAAAAGAAGCAATACTTGGATGGAAAAGGCTGGCTTGCCCAAAGAGACTAAATGGGCTTCCCTCCCTTATTATTGGTAGTATGTGTCTTTTTTATATATTCATTTTAAAAATTCCCACTTTCTCAGCTCTCCCTTTTACAACAAGTGTCGCCCCCCCCCCACTTGTTCCACAACACCATTCCACAACAGGTATTAAAAGGAGATATATATATATATATATATATATATATATATATATATATATAATGTATGTCTGTCCATATGCATGGGTTAGAGCTTTGCAAAGGTAGAGCGTTATAGAATCATTTGGAAAGATCCTAAATTCACCCATATGAGGACAACCGCTACACGGAAACAGGCACCAACAGAAACGAATACATTCAACAAGTAGGCAAAGAGACAGCCACACGGGTAGCTTCACATATGCACTTGTACCTTCACATGGAAGAACTACAATAGACCTACTGATAGAGACAGGTTCATGCCTACAAAACAATTGCATAACATCACAGACAGCTGCAGGCAGGTGACAGTGATAACCACACGCTTAGCATCATCATGGCTCGACACATGTACATTTGCTTGGAGATAAGCGCACATCAATGCACAGGGAAGAGCAAGATCTATGCCCATTTCTTCACTCAGACATGCATCATTTATCTTTTTTCTCTGTACAGACAGAGAGCCAGGGCAGAGGCAGGCATATTTGGCAACGTGTCTCTCCTCCCCAGCTGCAGAGAGGCAAAGAAAGGCATGTGCCACTTTTTACGCAGCCCTTCCAGACATGGCATCCTGCTCCAAGGCATGCACAGTGCGCAAGTATGTGCATGGGTCAGATACAATCACACGCAGGCAGAAGTGCAGCGCGTTGCGCAGACAATGGCCGCGGCGACTCAGGCACACCTGTGCACCTATTCATACAGGTTCGAGCCATTCACACACCCTCTCCACGCACCGGGCACACATTCGCACAGGCGATTATGCAGATCCCTTTTGGAGAGGGGGAGAGGGAGGATTGCACAACGCTGATCCTGCTATGCGTGTTTACACTCCTCCCCCTCGGGCCAGCATGCCGAGGACTGGGAGCCTCAAGCAGGTGCAGAGAAACGGCCAAGTGCCGAGATGATGTGCTGCGGAGTGAGAGGCAGGCAAGGCACACGCGCAACGCCAGCTCCCCGTAGGAGGAAGGAAAAGGAGGAGAAGTAAATCGCACGGGCGAATGCAGGCAGCCAAGGCTCACACAGCGCAGATCTGACGGGGCGCAGGTCGAGATCCACGCCGACCTCCCTACCCGGGCGAGCATGCATGCTCAGGAGCGGTAGAGGCACGCGGGCGCAGCAGGCAGAGAAAGGCGCACGGCTGCAGCCAGGGAGACAGACAACGCCGCCAGCCGCCCATTCATCCGTCTCCAATCTGTCCCCGGCCGGCGCAGTCCCGAGACGCCCTCCTTACTTACATGGAGGGATCTGCGGTGGCGGTTCCGCCGGGGCTGTCCCGCTTTCGCGAGCTGAGTGCGCGGCAGCGGCTCCCTCGGGTCCTCCGGGCCCCGCCGCCGCCGCCAGCCGAGATGGGGGAAAGGCGTCCGTCGTCGCGCCCCTCTCCGCCTTCTCCTCCCCAGCTCTGTGCGCGCTCGCCCTCCAGCCAGCGGCGATGTCACCGCGAGAGGGCGGAGCAGGAGCCCGCACGAAGCCAATCCGAGGCTCGGGAGGCGGGAGCTGCCTGGCGACGGGATTAAACCGAAGTGAAAGGGGGCTGGATGGAGGAGAAGGCAGCGCCGCCGCTCCATTCATAAATACGCAGCGGAAGAAGCGCGCACGCTCACACACCGCGGCGCTCTGGGCTACCTGATTTAGGGATGGAACAGGCAGGGGAGGAATTTTATCGCGGGGGGGGGGTTAAAAGGTTTGGGGGGTCCCTTTTTACAGGAGTCATTTAGTCTTTATCCACTACGGTTTGTAACGCCATGAGCTGCAGCCCCTAAGGTCAACATTAGGGTACTATGGAAGGCGAGACGGGTGGAGTGGAGCGCTCTGTTAATTGTCTGCTCTTATTCTCCCTCCACGATAAATAAAAGTATATGAGATAAGGAAGCACATTTGATTTAAACATCTTCGTTTCTGCTACAGGGCACGCAAGAAGGAATTCGCATCGGAACATCCTTTCCCATTGCAACGCTGATGAGATCCTCAGAATATGTTCGAAACAAATGATAATAATTGCTTTTTACTCTTTTGAAGAAAGCTTTTCTGCACCTGCTTGAGGCTCCCAATCCTCTGCACGCTGACCCGAGTGAGGTGGACTTCTGAGTGCATAGCAGGAAACCTGACGAAGTGCAGGTCGAGATCCCAGCATCTGAGGAAGGGGGTGTGGGTGTGTGGTCAAATTGCTATTCCAGCAAGGTATTTTTCTCTGTTTTCCACCAAAACACCTCTGTACCTTAATCGCATTGAGATCCAGTTTTGCCCATTAAGGCATTAGAGAACAAGTCTTTGACCTTATCTATGCAACAGCACTTCAAGTACAGTGGTACCTCGGGTTACAGACACTTCAGGTTACAGACGCTTCAGGTGACACTCAGCTAACCCAGAAATAGTACCTCGGGTTAAGAGCTTTGCTTCAGGATGAGAACAGAAATTGTGTGGCGGCAGCGGGAGGCCCCGTTAGCTAAAGTGGAATCTCAGGTTAAGAACAGTTTCAGGTAAAGAACATACCTCCAGAACCAATTAAGTTCTTAACCCGAGGTACCACTGTATTTGAAGAACGCTGTAGTGTCCCTCAGTCTCCTGTATGCTAAATATACCCAGCTCTTCCAACCTTGTCTCAGAGGACTTTCTCGAAGCAGGCTACCTCAAAAGGACTAGTATACTGGAGGAATTTTAAACATTAGCCCGGATATCAAAGGCACAGAGGGACTCTGCATGTACAAGGTGTACAACTCTCCCAAACACTTTAGGATTAACACCCACCCACACCTTAGTTCAGAGGAGACTTGAAACCTGCTCCATCAGATCGGGGACACGAAAACCGTCAAATACATATGCCGCACAAAATTTTAAAACAAACTTAACAAAACAAAAAGGTGCTATAAAAATCTTATCTAATTTATCTAAACTCTGTAACAATTTTGTTAACCATTTTATAAAAATGCAGGACTTCCAATGAAAAGAGAGCAGGGTTACCTGCCACTGTTTTTCCCTTCTGGCATAAATTATTACATCTTCTACTTAAGATTACAGAGAGTTTCCCTTAAGGGAGAAGACAGGAAAACAGTTGAGCAGCTCTGTTCACTTTTCACCATCCATACTGAGCAGCAGGAATTGAACCATTGCTCCAAATGCACATGAAAACAGCCCTTTTCCATTGCTCTTCCCACTGTTTACCAGTCTCGGCTTGTTCCGAGCTTTTAGCTTTCCTGACACTGGCCCTACAGGCCAGGCTTTTCACCTGGTTACTTGGTTACCTGTCGTTCCTTACACTTCTCAAACACGTGCTCTCTGTTTCCAGCTCCTCATTAAGCTGCGGGGGCCACCCTGGCTTTCTTAGATGTCTCGCCATTCTCTCACTGGAATGGTTTGAGATTGTGCCTTTAGTAACTCCTCCTCCAGAAGATGCCGCCCAACTTTGGCTCCTGTCCCTATCTAGCTGCGGAATTTATTTATTGCATTTGTATCCGCCTTTTACCTCTAAGGAGCTCAAGGTGGTGAACAACCCTGTTCTTACAACCCTGTGAAGTAGGCCCAAGGTTTCCCACTGAGCCTCATGGCCAAGTGGGGATTTGAACCCTGGTCTCCCAGGTCCTAGTCCAACACTCTGACCACTACACCACATTGGCACTCAAATCCTATGTAGTATTTTCCTGAACTTGTTAAAAACAAAATCAGCTTTCCCAAAATCCAAGGCATACATTTGATCCTTAGCTTTGGGCTTTACACAAAACGACAAGTTCCATCATTACTTGCGGCCACTTCCCCCCCAAATTTCCTGCCACTCGGATCTCGTTGACTAACTCTTCCCTATTAATTCAGATCAAGGACAGTCAACCCCCCCTAATTCATTCCTCCACCTTCTGGAAGAGAAAGTTTTTGTCAGCAAGGTCTGGCAGGAATTTGTTGGGCGATTCCCTGATTAGTAGAGCTTGAAGCCTAGCAGATATCGGAGCAGTTGAAGTCAATTAAAGTCTTGCTTCCTTGAAACGTTTCCTTGTAATTTGTTTCACCATCCCCATCCTTTCCTTGGTTCAGTGGGCTGTGAAAGCCACAATGTGGCTTTTAGTTCTTTCTCTCGAATTTTTTTTTTACCAGTTCCTCTTTACAGGCTACCCAGCCCTCTTTTCTGCTACATCAATAATTTTTGAATTAGTTATATCCTCCAGCTGATCTAATTTGATCAGGGAGTTGTCTCCACCAAGCTTTAGTTATACAGTGGTACCTCGGGTTACATACGCTTCAGGTTACATACGCTTCAGGTTACAGACTCCGCTAACCCAGAAATAGTGCTTCAGGGCAAGAACTTTGCTTCAGGATGAGAACAGAAATTGTGCTCCGGCGGCACGGCAGCAGCACGAGGCCCCATTAGCTAAAGTGGTGCTTCAGGTTAAGAACAGTTTCAGTTTAAGTACGGACCTCCGGAACGAATTAAGTACTTAACCCGAGGTACCACAGTACCTTCCCAGTAGTATTGACCTTTCCGTCCTAGGAGTCCGGGCTCACCTGCTTGTATTTCAAGAATACATCCAAAGCCTTGGCTAGCCTGCTCCAAACAAAGTCTCCCGTGCTATTTTAGGGTGGGGTTTGCTAGATCCCCTTCAGCTTCTGTCAATTTCTCCTACAGCACTCAAATTTATCAGTAACATCCTCTTGGGTCCTATCCAAACCCTCGGGTCCTTGACAAAGTTTACACCCAAACACACCAGCTGCTCTCGTAGTCATGGGTTTATTGACACTCTGGAAGAATTTCTAGTGAGGCACCATGTTGACACAGACTGGAAGAGACTGCAGTGTGTGAAGAACTCATTTGATCCTTTCCCAAATGCCAGGCCTTCCTCCGGGCTTCTCCGCCGCTGCCCTTTCCAGCCCCCAATACCATCTGTTCCCAGAGTCGCCTCACGTCACAGACCAAGGAGGCTTGAAACCTCCTCTAGGCAGGCACAGAAGGAAGCGTTTGAAAGTTGCTGGTACGTGAAAGGAGTGGGGTGGGAAGGAGAAAACAGGCCCCAAGTGCGTTTTTAAATACAGGCATTGTATGCTTAATTAAGACAGCCGTCAGCTGCCCATCAAACTTTCAGGAGGTAAAGTCAGCGGAGGTCAAAGAAGTCTGCAGATGCAGCTGGTGAGGTGTGTCCAAGAGGAAGCCCAAAGCCTTGCTTCAATCTCCTCCTACTGCTGGGTTGGAATTGTGCTATGGCGGCTCTGATGCCAGCCGGAGTTTGAGGCTCCCTTGCGCAGCGCTGCAATACAGCATGACTACAGTAAAGGGTAAACACACACTTACAGCCAGCTGCGTAAAGCTGGGAGCAGGGTGCTGGGTCCTCAGCTTCCTGGCCCCCTCCCCTCCAGGCCATTTTGACAGGCCAGTGGGGCCTGTCAATCACCTGACACCCCAATGCCATATAAAGGGAGCAGGAAGGTGAAACTTAGGCAGGACGGGCAGGCAACAGAGGAAGAAAAGGCAGTGCTGGCCTTGCCTGATCTGTATGCCCCCTGAAGCCTGGCTAGATATCATGCAGTTGGCAGGGTTGAGAGTCTCTACATGGGTTCAGCCCATCTCAGGTGATCTCTGCTCTGCCCCCTCCCTTTCCCCCTCCCTGTGGATCTGAAAAGTCTGTCTATAAGGCAGCTCCTGCTTGTTTCTCTTTCCCACAGGGGATGGGGAAAGAGAACTTGATGTTTTACTTCTTCCCCACTGGCTTTCTTAGGTCTGGGCCTTTCCCCAGGATGATGCCAGGGCAGCCAACACAAAGGTTTGGAGAGAATGGACGATGAGTCTCCATACCCAGCGGCTTTCCCCACAGCAGGTTCTAGCTGCTATTCCCATTAGTGATTTTCTTGTGCGGCTGGGAAAGGTGCAGGCCCAGCCAAGGCCACGCAGCCCCTCCCTTCTGCCCAAATCTCACAGGCCTTGCTCTGCCCTGGGGCCTCTTCCAATCAGCCCTTGCATCGTAGAACCCAGGGGACCCCATTCCTCGATTCCCACACCAAGGCCAACCCCTCGGTAGGTACTTTAGACAATCAGAGAAAGGGGAAGCAGGGAGAGAAGACATCACACCACCAGAGGAAGAGGGTGAGCAGAGGAAAGCCGTCAGGGCTGCCTCTCAGGCTCACAAACACCCACCATCCTCCACAGCGCAGGGACCTTCACTATTTGTCACAGGCCAACAGTGAACAGCCTGGCTGAGACCCTACGGGAGACAAGCAGCTCCCTCTACTGCTCAATGCCACGCACTTCAGGCACCTATTTACACCGCCTAGGGGTCCGGTATTCCAGTTTCTGAGCTTCACTGGCCACTTTAACTTGGGTCTGTCCCAGATTAGGGCATCGAAGTGTCGTGGCAAATTGTTCCCAGCTGAACGCCACTCAGGCGCTTGGGGAATTCTGGCCGCCGCCTACGAGGTTTCGCTGTCTCTGCAGCCTCCGAAGGTTCGCATGCGGCGTGGCAAAAGGGGGGCAGAAAAGATGAAACAGAATCCGAAGCCATCCGCCTCCACAAGTTTATACGCTGCAGGCAGAGTCACGGAAGCTTCTGTGCGATGCTCAGGACCGACTCGTAGGTTCTGTCCCGTTCCCCGTCTCCAATGCCGCAAGCTGGCCCTGCCGATGTCCGAGGAGGAACTGCCAACTTTAGCAGCAATCGAGGCTCCCCCTGTCCCAGCTCCCACGCAGCGAGTGCTCCTAGCCACACGCAGGAAGGAGGGATGGCAAGCAAGCCAGGTCCAGCCTGCCCAGGTCCCTGGCTGCAACAGGATGCTGGTAAGCTGAATGGAGGGAGCTGCTGCAGTCCATATTTGCAGCTGTCGCCTCCCTTAAAGCTGGGGCCTACACCGCGGTTCAAAATGGAGGCTCTTGGGGCCAGGGGCTCCCAATTAACACTCCTCTGGGATGCGAGGGCTTAGCCATCAAGCAGTTTCAGGATGCTCTCGCGCTCCTTGAGGCTCTTCCAGGCCTGGTCTTTCTCCTTCTTCGTCGGGGTGCGCTTCTTCTGGCGAGCCGCCATGATCTTGCGGAAGGCGTCCATCACCTCGTTGTCAGCCATGCGCACCCGGTGGCGCAGCTCCTGTCTGTGCAGCTCCTCCTTGGCTAGCCTGCGAAGGGTTGCAAGAGGTTAGGGGGTTTGCGGGATCTGCGGGTTGCTTTTCAGCAACAGGAAGCACCCCCCAAAAGCAGATTTGCAACAGGAATATAACAGGGTAATTAGAGAAAAAAACTTATTGATATTTGACACACAGCAGTATTTAAATACAGTCATACCTCATGTTACGTTTGCTTCAGATTGAGCGTTTTCAGGTTGCGTCCCGTGGCGACCCGGAAGTACTGGAAAGGGTTACTTCCTTGTTTCGCCGCTCGCGCATGCACACACATTCAAAATAACGTCACACGCATGCGCAGAAGTGGCAAATCGCGACCCGCGCAGACGCGGGTTGTGTTCTGCTCACGTTGCAAACGGGGCTCCAGAACAGATCCCGTTTGCAACCAGAGGTATCACTGTAATCTGGTCACTGGTGCCATTCACATGCCCAGGAAAACATATTCGCCTTGGGGCTGAAATGAGGGCAAATTTAATAAATAATAATAATACAAGTTGCCACCAGGCAGGCCTTCCCGAGCAGATCATCCCACAGACAGGAGGCTAAGGCAGGAAAGGCCTCTTTCTGACACCCTCCAGGTCTCCCTGGAAGGTGGCATGCAGAGAACAGTCTCTGATGATGATCTGAGGGTCCGGACAAGCTCCTATGGGGAAAGGTAGTCCTTAACGCAAAGCAGTCCCAAACTGGATAAAACATGGGGAGGTTTCAACCACAACATGGAAACCCTAAGCTGCGGCAGTCTGCGCTTCCATCTCTATCCATCTCTGGTCCAGAACACCAACCCCCAAGGAGGAGGCGGGCGATAAAAATGAAACACAAAACATCTGCATGGCCAAGAAGGCAAAGGGATGAGGCCATTAGATTCTCCACCCACATCTGTGTTTTTTTTTAAACGGTAAATTATTCTAAACGGTTTCAGCCTTGCATTTTTACAACGTTGCCACCCACCCTGGGGGCTAGGGGTGAAGGATGGGCAAGAAATCATTATCCTCCTCTTCCCACCTGAGCAGCTCGACTTTCTTGGCTCGGTTGTGCGCGCTCAGGGCTTTGAGTTCAGCCTGCCTCTTCCGCAGCTCTGCCAGCACCTCGTCCTCCGAGTCCTCAGCAGGCCGGTCCTCCGACTCCAGCAGGCCTTGAGCAATCAGCTCTTCTTTGATGCGGCCTTCCAGAGACTTGGTGTGGGGCACGCTGCGAGAGGACACAAGAAGCGGAGCCACGGTGAGGGAAACCTCGGCACTCAGAGAGGTCTGGTGGCAGCGAGCGGAGCATAAGGTCCAGACCAGTGTTTCCCAACATCTGGTCTCCAGCTGTTTCCAGACTACAATTCCTATCATCCATGGCCACTGGTCTTGCTACCTAGGGGTGATGGGAGTTGTAGTCCAAAACAGCTGGAGACCCAAGGTTGGGAAACACTGGTCTAGTAAACTGGAACACCTGGTAAGCTTTGGCTGAGTCATTTGTTCTCAGCCTCGGTTTCCCGAGAGCCGTTTCCCCCTTCCGTATAGTTGGAACCGATTGCTCTCTTTGGCAATCTAGCGGTATGCAAAATTAGCATAGTTTTGTAGTTTATGTTTTTACTGGGTTCCACTCATGCAGCTGATTTCCTCTTCATCTCCTCTCCCCAAATCTGCTCCAGAGGGGCCCCAACCACCAGTTTTTGGGAGCGTGCCAGGTGTGCGTGCGCGTGCACGCAGGGGAGTGGAGGGGGATGAGACAGTGCTGGATAAAGCCCATTGTGTCTCATGGTTTGCATAGATATTATCATTTGTAAGCCGTCTCAAGGTCACCTGTGACAGAAAACGGTATACAAAAGCTGTAGAAAAAGGTGACGCCAATGGCTAGTCCTAGGCTGCTTTGGGGGGGGGGGGAATGGCACCAACAGCTTTCCCAGAGTTACCCCACCACCTGGCAGTGCCACCTCTCCCACAAAGCTGTCACCAACATAGCTACTTTTGAGAGGAAAGGTTAATCTTTTTCTCTGTTTTTAAGTCCTGTTTTTTTACAAGCCTCCGATGGCAAATAACTTGGACTGCTTTCTAGTTTTCACAGCTGCCCTTTTACGCAGCTAGGATTTGGAACCCATTTGTAGAGTTTGGTTGCTGTGATGGTATACAGTCGTGATTTACAGTCAAACCTCGGTTGTCAAACGTAATCCGTTCTGGAAGACCATTCAACTTCCGAACTGCTCAACAACCGAGGATCAAAGGGAGGTCGGCAAAGTCAATGGAGATAAAAGGGAAAAACTCCCCGGAAGCCGTTTCCGAAAATAGTTTGAAAACCGGAGCAGTTACTTCCGAGTTTTCGGTGCTTGGGAGCCGAAATGTACAATAACGGAGGAATTCGGGAGCCGAGGTTTGACTATATTCGGAACTCCCCCAGCCTGCACCCCAAAAAGAGCCAATGAGGGAAAAGAAAGGGCAGAATTCTAGAAGGCTGATTTAAAAGGAACAAGAATCTACTGCAATGCGCTCTACGTGGAGCTACCTTTGAAGGTGACTGGGAAACTGCAATTAATCCAGAATACGGCAGCTAGACTGGTGACTGGGAGTGGCCGCCGAGACCATGTAACACGGGTCCTGAGAGACCTGCATTGGCTCCCAGTACGTTTCCAAACAAAATTCAAAGTGTTGGTGCTGACCTTTAAGGCCCTAAATGGCCTCAGGCCTGTATACCTGAAGAAGCGTCTCCACCCCCATCGTTCAGCCTGGACACTGAGGTCCAGCTCCGAGGGCCTTCTGGTGGTTCCCTCCCTGTGAGAAGTACAGGGAACCAGGCAGAGGGCCTTCTCAGTAGTGGTACAGTGGTACCCCGCAAGACGAACGCCTCGCAAGACGGAAAACCCGCTAGACGAAAGGGTTTTCCGTTTTGGAGGCGCTTCGCAAAACGAATTTCCTATGGGCTTGCTTCGCAAGACGACAGCCCATAGGAAATCTCAGGGACAGCGGGAAGCGCAGCGCGTCTTCCCCACTGTCCTCGGCCCTCCGCCGAAGCCGGGCGGCGGGGGGGGGACACCTCCTCCCGCGGCCGCCGGGCTTCGGAAGGCTCCTCCGGCCGGGCGGGGGGAGGGAACACCTGCCGCCGCCGCCCGGCTCGGAACGGTGCCCGGCCGGGCGGGGGGAGGGAACACCTGCCGCCGCCGCCCGGCTTCGGAACGGTGCTCCGAGCCGGGCGGGGGAGGGAAGACCTCCCGCCTCTGCCCGGCTTCGGAACGGTGCTCCGGCCGGGCGGTGGGGAGGGAAGACCTCCCGCCGCCCGGCTTCGGAACGGTGCTCCGGCCGGGCGGGGGGAGGGAAGACCTTCTGAAGGCGGGCGGGGGCGAAAGTCCTTGCTCCCCCTGCCTGCCTGTCCCGGAGGGCTTTTGAAGGCGGGGAGCAAGACTTCGCCCCGCCCGCCTTCAGAAGAGGTCCAGGACCTCTTCTGAAGGCTGGCGGGGGCAAAAGTCTTTGTCCCCCCCTGCCTGCCTTCCCAGGGGCTTTTAAATAGCCCCGGACAGCGGAGAAGTCCTCCGCTGTCCAGGGGTGATTTTAAAATGCCGCCCGCCAGCATTTTAAGATCGCCCGGACAGCGGAGAAGTCCTCCGCTGTCCCGGGTTTTAAAATGCTGGGGATGAGAAGAAAAGCCCTGTCCCCCCAGCCTTCAGAAGAGGTCCGGGGACAGACTGTCCCGGACCTGGTCTGAAGGCGGTTCCCTAGGAACGCATTAATTGATTTTCAATGCATTCCTATGGGAAACCGTGCATCGCAAGACGAGAAACTCGCAAGACGAAGAGACTTGCGGAACGAATTAATTTCGTCTTGCGAGGCACCACTGTACCTACCCTGTGGAACGCCCTCCCATCAGATGTCAAGGAAATAAGCAACTATCTGACTTTTAAAATACTTCTGAAGGCAGCCCTGTTTAGGGAAGTTTTTAACGTTTAATGCTGTGTTGTGTTTTTAACATTTGGTTGGGAGCCGCCCAGAGTGGCTGGGGAAACCCAGTCAGATAGGCGGGATATAAATAATAAATTATTATTACTTATTAATTATAATTATTATTATTATCCTACAAAGCACTCACCTGAAGGGCTTGTTTTGGCTGCGGGGGGAAGTGCTGGCCCCATCAGTTGCAGAGTCCTTGCCTGCTATCTCAGGAATAGGCGAGTCTTCAATGGGGGAGATTATGTTCTCCTGCACAGAGAGAGGGAAGATGGGAGAGGTGAGGCTTACAGGGTCTTGGGCCTTATGATGCCACACCTCTTCTCCCCGAGAAATCAGGACCTGCTGAAGCCAAAGGAGGCCCCAGTCTGGATTTTGTCCGCTTACTTCTACTAATGCCTGCAGAAGCCGCTGGGTCAGAGGTCCAAAGGGGCAGCCGTCCTCAGGCTGTTCATGCTGGGACTCGGACTTCTTCAGCAAAGCGTCAACATCTGGAAAGAGTGGGAACAAAGGAACAGTTGGGTAGCAGGATGGGCCGGCTGGTTTGGCACCTTAGGCAAAAGGGGAACCCCTAGGCAGATGCCCAACTGCATAGGAATGTTCTGTGGTGGAAAGAGTTTGGGCTTTCCCATAATAACCACACAGCCGTAAGGGAAAGCAAACCCTTGGGTGCACCACAACTCAATGGGAAGAACCTTATACCAACCTAGATGAGCAGTCCATCAAGCCGAGGGCCATCAAACCTTAAAGGCACTGCCAGCCTAGGGGTATAATAGCTCAGTTGGCTAGAGCGTGGTGCTGTTAATGCCAAGGTTGCCGGTTCAATCCCCATACGGGACAGCTGCCTATTCCTGCACTGCAGGGGATTGGACTAGATCAGGGTTTCCCAAACTTGGGTCTCCAGCTGTTTTCAAACTACAGTTCCCATCATCCCTAGCTAGCAGGACCGGCGGTCAGGGATGATGGGAACTGCAGTCCAAAAGCAGCTGGTGGCCCAAGTTTGGGAAACTCTGGTCCCTTCAAACTCTATAGTTTTATGATTCTATCCGAAGACTTCCGCCCGTGAATCCTTAGTTAACCGGGAGTCACACCTGCAGGCTGATCTGCATAAAGGAAGGGTGGAGAAGTGCTACATACAATGGTGGATCAATGGCCACATGGAGGGGTCAGGGCTGGCAGTAGGTGTGGTCAGGGCCTGGGTCCTCCCCTTCTCTCTCTCTCTCTCCTGCTCTCACTCACTCCTTGCCTCCCTGCCCACCAATATCCTGCCAACTTTCCCCTCCATCTATGACAGCAATCAATTGCACATTGCTTGCCTCTCCAACTGATTAGTGCTGGGAACAGTTGAGTGGTGCTACCGTGCCAAGTGCAGCAGGAAGCGGGAGGCAAACGACGGGATCTCAGTGATCCTGCCATGTGCCTCCCACCCATGGAAGCCCCATGGGAGCCCTTCTCAGCTGTTCCTAGGGCTAAACAGCTCAGGTGTGGCAGGGAAAGAGACCTGCAGGGCAACACAAAGTTTGACTCAGGGCTGCATGAAGCCCGCGGTATGTCGATACATAAAAGTGTGCGCCGTATTGGTGACATATAAAGCGTGGCCCGTATTAGTGAGCTGCAAACTCCCCCAGAAAAGATGGCACAAGATTCCGCAGAAGGCTCTTGGGTACCTTTAGTGTCCAGCTCTGTCAGGGGCCCCAAAATGCCTTTCTTCTTGTCAGCAGTAACGGCGGCTCGAGCCCCGTCCTTCTGCTCCTCCAGCATGTCTTCTTGGGCCCAGCGCTGGGAGTAATGCTTCCCCAGAGGTGGGATCTATAGGGGCAGGAAAACCGTGCATTCACATTGTGCAATAACAGGGTGGAACAGCGAGTCTAACTCTGCCTCCGCTCATCAATGTCCAGATGTTTTGCTCCCTCCCTCCCCGGATGTAGCTCCACACAAATCCCACTGCCCTACCCTCTACCGTTTCCTCTTCCTGCCTGCTGGTAAAGGTAAAGGGATCCCTGACTGTTAGGACCAGTCACGGATGACTTTGGGGTTGCGGCGCTCATCTCGCTTTATTGGCTGAGGGAGCCGGCGTACAGCTTCCGGGTCATGTGGCCAGCATGACTAAGCCGCTTCTGGCGAACCAGAGCAGCGCACGGAAACGCCGTTTACCTTCCTGCCGCAGCGGTACCTATTTATCTACTTGCACTTGACGTGCTTTCGAACTGCTAGGTGGGCAGGAGCTGGGACCGAGCAACGGGAGCTCACCCTGTCGCGGGGATTCGAACCGCCGACCTTCTGATCGGCAAGCCCCAGGCTCTGTGGTTTAGACCACAGTGCCACCCACATCCCCGGATGTAGCTCCACACGAATCCCATTGCCCTACCCTCTGCCGTTTCCTCCTCCTGCTAGTCCTTGCCTCCATTTCACCATGTGCACTACCTTATTCCCTCCCCCAACAAACCTGCTCCATGCTGAACTCCATTGCGCCCCTCAATGTATCAGGCACCCTCCCTTTTGTTGCTTTTAGTGATATCCCCATCACCTTTCGCTAGGCAACTGAAACAGGCATCGTAGCTAAATGCAGCGGTCAACAGGCAAAGAAGGGAAGAGGAGCACGCAAATTGTCTGCTTGCCACCTAGGACAGTTATCCAACGCGCCCAATGGCAGGTGCAGCCCGCTGAGCAGGCAAAACCACAGAGGAGAGCCATGTAAAGCAGGGGCAGAAGTAACACTGCCCATGCTCAAATGAAATACTGATGCAAGATGGATGCAGAGGAGAGCTCTTTCATCTTGCCAACGCAAGGTGTTACTGAGGGTATGTGTGAAGTTTTATCTCCATTTAGTAAGAGCTGCATGACAGTCTCCCTCCGGAAGTTGTGGATTCTCCTTCTTTGGGGGTTTTTAAGCAGAGGTTGGATGGCTATCTGTCTTGGATGCTTTAGCTGAGATTTCTGCACTGCAGAGGACTGGACGGGGATGACCCTTGAGGTCCCTTCCACCTCTACAATTCTGCGATTCTGTGACTCTCTGATGTTCATTATACACCTTTAGGCACCAGGCAAAAACATGCCTTTTTAACCAGGTCTTTGGTTGATCCGATTTACCTCCTATGCCTTTTTAAAATGTTTTGGGGGTTTTTTTGGGTGGGGGAAGCTATTAGGTTGTTGTTTTTATTTTTATTAGGTATTTTGTGGTTTTATATCTTGATTTTATTCTGTGAACCGCCTTTAGACCCTTAGGGTATATAGGGCAGTATACCAAATCAAAAAATAATAACAATAATGTGACAGCTGTTGTTTAAGCTGGCTTTGGTATTTTATATAACCCCAGCTGTTGCATCTTTTATTCTTCCAATCTTATGGCAGAAGGCCATGTTGAATTCTTGGGTACAAAGGATAGATAAAAGCCTTTCAAGGTAAAATATATAAACGACAAGAGAGGTGTTTCATGAAGCAGGGGAATTTCCGAGGTCAAGAGAGGGAATGTGAACAAGAGGCTGGTTGTGTTATCTGGGAAGCATCAACATGTGACCTTGCCGCTAAAGATAACGGAGGTGGCTCATGTGGGGAGGCACCCGCTGTCTCACATATCTGGCTGGTGTTAAGGCTATAAAAGTTCCATATCCAGCAATAGCCAAGTCTCGAAGATAAGAAGAGAGTTACAGCAACTTCTCTCAATGAGAAGTTGGACTCTGCAGAACTGGCGAAGCTGACAGGAAAAGTCCGAAAACAGGACGATCAAGTATTCCAAAAGGACTGGAGTAAATTTATACGGTATCTGAAAGACTATTGTAAGCAATTAACATCACTTAGCAGGGTTGTCTGACGACTTGAAATGAGAAACTTTCCACCTCTTTATATTTATTTATATTTTGAACCATTATGTAATGAGTGCAATTAGAATTGGATAACGTACAAAATGCAATGATATAAAGGTTAATTTTGAAAGCCATGTGGCAGGAGGGAAGGAAATCGATAGGCTCTAAAGAGCCTGGGCGGTAAAGTAGATAATATGAATGTGAATGTATATGATTAAATCGAAAATAAATTTTAAAATTATTTTTTAAAATAAATAAATAAAAAGGGCTACTTGGTGGACGTCAGGAAACTTGGCTGCGAAGGGGCAGGTAGGCAGGCGGAATGAAGTGTCTCAATCAAGCTGATTTTTACCTTGTAGTGTTCTGCTTCGTCTTCAGGCGGCTTGAGGAGCTCTTCTAAGGTACGCACCTCCTCACTGGTGAGGTCAGCACAGTACGGCTCCACCGAGGCCCAGAACCTGCAAACAAGAGAGCAGGACACTAACACTGAGAAACATACACACCTGTAGCTCAGGTACTCTGGCCAACAAGAGGAAAAGACAACCTAAATTCCTCAGTGGAGTACACTAAAGTACAGTAGTACCTTGGTTTGCAACCGTTTTGGATTACAGCCGCGTCAAATTCGGAAGTGTGTGTCCCTTTTTTGGGATTACAACCCATTTTTTTTTAACCCCCCCGTTTTTTTTGGAGGCCCCATTGGCGAAAGCGTGCCTTGGGTTACAACCAGTTTTGGTTTACAACCGGACCTCCGGAACGGATTATTGTTGTAAACCAAGATACCACTGTAATATAAAACTGATTATCCAGCAATATTCCAACCATATCTTGTGGGGTTTTGTACGGAGATATGTAACGCAACTCATTTCCTTTGATCTGCATACAGCGGGCAAAACAATGGGTTACATCTTCAAATCGACCGCTTTCAAAAATACATTTTCATTGCTGCAGAGGTGTATCTGTTTCAAGGAGGTGCCTTCGCTGTATTCTTTTGGGCTGAAAACAGTCTTGTTTAAACAAGCCTACTCAGATGCTTATAAAGCTCATACAAATTTTAATTGGTTGCAGTATCTTAACTTTTTGTACGTTTTAAAGTATTATTGTAAACTTTTCTTGATTTTCTTGTTTCCTTTTTGTAAACCGCTTTGAGTGTTTTGGGTTTCTTTGCGGTCCAGCAAAGAGAGATAGATAGATAGATAGATAGATAGATAGATTCTCCCTTCAAGAGAGGCAGATTATATGTAACAAAGTATTTTTCATTATTACTGCTGCAGTGGAAATCCCTCCCCTACATACCTATTAGGTGCATCATTTTTGGGGATACGGGGCACATCAATTGGGTCATCTGGGAATTCGTACTCCTGGATTTTGGGCTGCAAGTTCTTGGATTTGGGCCGACCGGGACCCTGCCCTGTGCTGTGACCTCCTTTCCCTTCCAGCTTCTGTTTCTTGGGTTTGCCATGTTTGACAGGAGTGCCCAACTCATGCTCTTTTTTTTCCAGCTTCAGAAACCTCCTGTCCCCTTTCTTGTCTTGCCAATCTGTCAGGATCTGAAAAAAACCAAAACAGCTGCTTTGTTAGTCCCTGTTAGAGAAAAAGGTGATATAGTCATTCATTCAAAGGCTGCTAGGTCACTGCCCCAAACTGCTCCCATCTCCTTGGCCCCAGTGACTCCTGCACTGCATTCTTCTTTTCATAGCACACCTGAGCTGGGGAGGGGGGAATTCAGGGGCTGGAAGATGTTTCGCCAGAGAAAGGTGGCTCCATCACTGGCAATGCCATATGCTAGACAACATTTAGAGGGTAACAAGCACTTTCTTATTGAAATGCACTGTGCTAGAGCAAGATATAAATATATATAAATCCGTATTTAGAATCAGGGAGTGTAGCAGGCATGTGAAAAAGACCTTCTAGATGATGTCCAGCTTCTTTGCACCCATCTCTCACTTCTGCACATCTAGGAGTTGAATTGAGCAAACTAACTGTGCAAGTGGAAGAACTTCTGGTTGCACAACAGAACCTGCCCTCCCTCTGCAGGCTTTCCTGGGCAGATTTTGGGGGGTTGCAGTGTACATCTGGGGATAATGTATGGGGCGAATTCTATTGCAGGAGCAGAAGTCATCCCACTTTCTTGGATACAGCCCTAGGACTCTTGCAAGGCCTTGCCCAATTTAGCTCCATCAATTGCTACTGGTGGAAAGGGTGGAAGAGCCCACAAACAAAACCCGAGTACAAAATGTCCTCAACACTGTCAGGAGCTCGGCCTACACTCGAGTAGGACCCTGGCAGAGACACATGCCTGACTGGCATGTTCTCTCCCTCCTGGTCGATCGTTCAGGAGCCTCAAAAGCTTTCTTCTGCCTGAACATCACAGCAACCAATGCCAACCGACACCGGCACACTTCGGGATCCGCAGAGTTTGCACAGTTGTGTGACAGACCTCAGCAACTCAGCATTTTGACTAATCTACTTTATTTACATATAAACACACACGGAGCACTGCAACATGGCTCCTTCTCTCTCTAGCATCAGACAGCAAAGAGAGAGGGAAAAAGGACAATAGTCCCACTTCACGGAACACAGTAACACAAACATCCAATCTCCGTCACATCCCACTCTGTGGAGTCAAAACATATACCGCCATGTGATAACAATCCCATGACTGCAATCATGGAGCAGGAATTCTAACGGACACTTGTGATTCCCAGCAAGTGTTATTCATAAGCATACGGCCTCCGACAGAAGAGGGAGAACATTTGCTTAACCCCCTTTTGAAATCATCTAAGTCAGTAGCTGTCATTACATCTTGTGGGAGCAAATTCTATTGCTTAACTATGTGCTATGTGAAGAACCACTTCCTTTTGTCTCTCCTGAAACATTCAGCTTCATTGGCCGTCTCAGACTTTTAGTATCAGAAGAGAGGGAGAAATTTCTCTATTTGCTTTCTTCACACCATGTGTAATTTTCTCTCCCTCTCTCATGTCCCTCTTAACAAAACAAAACAAAACAAAAAAATCCCCAAACATTGTCACCTTTCTTCATAGTGGAGTTGTTCCAACACCCCTTTTCTGAATGAGATAAAGGAGGGGTTCCCAACCTGTGGTCCACAGACCACCAGTGGACCGTAATCATTATTCAGGTGGTCTGCAACACATATGTGGATTTGTGGCTGAAGACAGGAGATGCCACAACCGCTGTGTTAAATATTCATATCGATTTTTAATTCTATTTTAACTGCTTATACTGTTTTACAATTTGCATTCTATAAAAAACTGCATTCTAGATGAATAAAACAATGCAATTAAAAGATGCAATTAAATCCAATTAAAAACCATACAGCATCTAGCACAGCACATTAGAATTGCTACAGCAGGCAGCTCCTAAGCAATTTTCAAATCATCCACGCGGGGAAGAAGTTTGGGAACCACGGAAATAAAGCATCTCCATTCTATGGAGCAGCTTGATTTCCATCTGACCTGGGTCTCAGTCTCCAGCACCCGAAGCCGGCGGCTGGCAGAAGACAGCAGCGTTTCGAGCTCCAGCTGCAGGGTGTCGAGTTCTTCAATGCCGATGCCATCATCTTCCGAACGGGCCAGCACAGCTGTGTAGCGAGGGCACACCTTCAGGTGGTCCACAGACTTGAAATCGTGAAACTGAAGGGGACAGTCCTTTAGCTCAGACATGGTGCAGCCAGCTGGGTCTGCAAAAAGAGAAAGTGACATGAAGGAACGGAGCAGCAACAAACGCAGGTGCCAAACGCAGGATCAAAACAAGCAGGGAGTAAAAGCAAAACAAAATACAGTGGTACCTCGGGTTAAGTACTTAATTCGCTCCGGAAATCCGTTCTTAACCTGAAACTGTTCTTAACCTGAAGCACCACTTTAGCTAATGGGGCCTCCTGCTGCCACCGTAGGACGATTTCTGTTCTCATCCTGAAGCAAAGTTCTTAACCCGAGGTACTATTTCTGGGTTAGAGGAGTCTGTAACCTGAAGCGTATGTAACCTGAAGTGTATGTAACCCGAGGTACCACTGTAGAAAAAACGATAACAGTTAACTGGCCAAGTGACACAGGTTAGCACTGAGAATTCTTACCCTATGGATAACCGGAGACAGGGAGGCGGCTCACAACCAGGAAACCTGCATCGATGGAGACATAGTGACAGGTATCATCAGCCGGGCGGGCAAGGAGCCACAGTGAGGGGCAAGTGTTGAAGGGATGGGAGCAAGCAGATTGCAGGTGGAGGAAAAAGAGGAGGAGGAAAAAAGAACGAGAAGGCAAAGCTAGTCTACAGAACATCAGCAGGTGGGAAAGGGACCGCAGAATGGGCAGTGGGAGGGGAGACCCTCTGCAGGGTTAAGGCACAAACGTGCAAGGGAAGAAAAGCACAAAGCAATGAGGGTTTGGAAGGTGGGATGAGCAGCATTGGAAAAAGGGACCCAATGTACAGGATGAAGAAACAGGTGATGAATGAGCGGGGGGGGGGGGAGAGGCCAGGAGGGGGCGCTGGAGGAAGGAGGGGGGAGATTGCTGGGGTAGCTTCCGGTTTCAGGGGCTCCTTCCGGGTTACACTCACCCAAGGCCCGCGCATGCGCACAGGGAAGGGGAGAAGCAGCGCCGCGGGCGGGGCGCCTTCGCGACTGCAAGGCGGGGGAAGGCGAAGGCTATACTGTATAGATAGAGACCGAGCTCTACCCCGCAGGACTGCTTCCTCCTCCTCAGCTCCACTCACTTCCTTCCTGGCCCCTCCTGCGGCGCCTCCCGTTGGCTGGACGCTCCCTCGACCGCCCCGCCCCTATTGGCCGAGAGTCAAGTTCTACAGAGCTTCTTTTTTTTTTTCTTCCTTCCCCTCAGCCTCCTGCTATTGGCCCGTGTCCCCTCCGACCACGCCCACACCTCTCTCGTTCCCAAATATGGAGACGGGGAGGCTTCGGTCGTACCAACTGAGGAACAGGGGTGGGTCAGGAGGGACAGAACGAGGAAAGCAAACGACAAAAGACAAAAAGGGCTGGTTGCGTTCTTTTCCGACACTGTATTAAAAAACACCGACCTCACCTAATTCCAGAAACCGGGCGGGGGCGAGAGGAGCCGGTATTGAGCGCGCGCATCCACCTATCCACCCCCCTCCGCGAAAGATTTTGGAGCGTTCCAGAAACGAGGATCTCTCTCTCTCTCTCTCTCCCCACCCCACCGCGCGCGCCGCCTCCGCGTCTTGGCGGGGGCCACTTCCGCTTCCGTTCCTGGGACCAAGACCCTCGGCTGTTGCCGCTGCCGCCTTTGCTGCCATGGTGAGGGAGTTGGGTGGGCGGGCGAGGGGGTGAGACGGTGGGTCTGGCTGACAGGGCCTGGCTGGGGCAGCGCGAGGCCCGCCGAAAGGGGAAGGGGAGGAGGGTTGTCCGTTGGCGGTAACCGGTCAGGGCAGGAGGGGAGGCGCTGCCGGGCCCGGGGAGGGAGTTAAGGGGGCTCCGAAGGGAAGCTTGGCGCTGAGGGGAGACGCCCAGGCCCGGCTGAAAAGGCCTCTTGCTGCCCAGAGGAGGAGGGGGGTGCGCGGTGACGTCACGGGCGGCGGTTTTAAAGGTGCGACCTAAAGGGGGACCTGTCGAATCTGCTTCCTTGCAGACTGCCACCCTTCGCCCTTATCTCAACGCTGTGCGCGCTACCCTGCAGGCCGCCCTGTGCCTGGAGAACTTCTCGTCCCAGGTGGTGGAGCGGCATAACAAGCCGGAGGTGGAAGTCAGGTGGGTGTCGGTGGTGGTGGGTATTGGGGGCGGGGATGGGGCTGCATAATAAATACTGCTTAAAATAATAATGAGCTTTATTTGGAGGGAGGGGAAAAGGTCTCCTTCGGCCTTGTCGGCACTCCCTGCTTTTTCTTTTCCGATGGCTATGAATTGGTGTCGATTGATGAATGGGTGTTTTTTTTTTTAAAAACCTTTAATACTGGGGATTAAAGCAATGTGCGCGAAGCGAAAGGGCGGCTGATGGAAACGGTCCTTCAAGGGCTCATTGCGGGAAGCAGAGGCAGCAGATGCAGGCAAAAGGCTGGGGGGTAAAAGCCGCATACGGAAGTGCGGAAACCGAGGAGGTGGAGTCGAGGGAGAATGAATGGAAGGGCCTGAAGGTTGCCATGGGGACTGAAAAGTTTCCACATTGCAATGCGCTCCAAAGTGAAATGATAGCTGTCAGGATAGGTTGCTGGTGGAGAGATGGTGTGCATCTTAATTCTGCTACCTTTCTCTCACCACCCATTGTTCAAGGTTTCCCATACCCTAAATACTTTTTTAAAAAAAGAGTTCTACACTGTGGTAATCTGTTTTATCTGTTGTTCTTTGAAATCTTAGAGTTTCAATGTGTTTTGCTGACTTGTAAGCCACCTTTGAAGGGTACAGACCCTAAAAGATAGGGCGGGAAATCAAATAAATTAAAAAGGCTGCAATCCCATTTTTAAAAAATAACTTTTATTTTGTGGAACATTTAAGGCTGCAGTCCTAACCTCATTTACTAGGGAGTAAGCATTACTGAATTAAGTAGAACTTATTTATGAGTAGTCCTCGTGTGTGCTGTTAATTGGTCAGCACAAAAGCTCTTCTTGGTTTTCCAGGGGCTTGCAATTTTAGATTCATTTTTTTGCTGTTTGTATTTTCTCCCCGCTGTCATGACACTAGTGCCCTCTACCTTCTCATTTCTTGACTTCTGCTTATTATTCCCCTTCATCGTATCATATTTTTGTGACTTACAATAACCTTCTTCTTAATTTCCGTGGCCCAAGTATCTGACCACCATGCTATGGATAGTGTTGATCAGTTGGTGATTATTATTATATCTTTTGTTTTATTTTTGTCTTGTTCCTATTCTGCATGTCAACTGTCATGCCACTGCTTCATTCCATTCCATAAGTGGACCATGGTGACTGCAGTTACACAAATTCAGTCTTCCATATATACTGTTCCTCATACTTTTTGAAATTGTGGCTGGCCCGCTTTGATTCAAAGAGCTATGCATGGACTGCAGCATTCAGATATCACCATTCCTTCTACATCCTCTTGGGTGCTCTAACCAAAGACTTCCCTAACCTCCTGGGTCATCTCTGAATAAGTAGCCACAGGCTTGTCTTGACTTCCTTTTTGTACTGTCTTGGGCGGGGAGCAAAAGAAAGATGGCCGTATGAAGAGCAGTAGCAAGGAAAGGAACATTTTGCCATCTCCCTGTAGTTCCTCAGCTGGAAAGTCTGGTTAGCAGCTGAGGGGAAACTGCAGCTGCTTAGATACTCATGGTAAACAGACAGTCCTTCCTGCCCTCCCACTTGAGGGTTTTCCTTGGCTAAGAGGGGGCCTCGCCCAGGAATCATTCTGGTAGAAATCAGTGGAATAAATGCCACTCTACTGACTTGTATTAAGTATGGGAAAGAGGTGGCATGGCCACCAACGAGTGAGGCCTATGCTTGCTCTCTGCTTGCCTCCTCCTGCTGTTTATTCCCTCCCCACTGCCATAAAATCTATGTGAAAGTGTGTAAAGGGAGCCATCTAATTCTGAGCATTAAGAGTCCCTGCAGATATTTCCCTAGTCAAAATGTTACTGAATTATGTGAGTACAGTAATCAGTTTAGAGAAATATTTGAACAAGGTCTTAGCTGTGAAACAAATGGATAATCTTACATTTGCTCAGAAGGCAAATATGACTAATGCATCATGGTTCATATGGGTGCATTAGTTGGCCTGAAATATACAGGTGTAAAATCAATACATTTTATTGTGCCTGTCTTGCAAGCTCCTGGTCCTCATTCTTATGTCCCTATCTTTAGAACAATTGTATTCTGTGTGTTGTATGTACGGTAGTTTACATCAGTACTCTGCAGAAAGGTACTGCGGTGGTGTTAGACGTCTGGCTGAACCTCACCTTGCAGAAAGGGGTTTGCATGGACTTGGTACAGATAGAGTAAGGAACCTCCACATTCCTAGACTATCTCTATGTCTTTGACTTCTAAGTTGACCTCTCTATCCTTTGAAGTCTAGACTGCTTAGACTGCATTCTCTTCAACTTCCATCTCATATTCCCCGTTCAAGATGAGATGTCATCTTGGATCTATCCTCTGAGAACAAAAGAGCAAGCATGGCTGCCTTTGTGTTCTCTACAGTCTAGAATGATCACTTAACTTGGATAGAAGAGTTTCTCTTTCTAAGTTATGTAACTCCTGTAATAAATTATTTTATTGTTTTTACTCTACAAATACTTCTTGCATGTGTGGGATTGCAACAAGTAAGATCTACTTTCTAACTAGAATCACAAACTACACTCCACATACCAAATTTCAATAGGTGGGCTGTGGCAGTGAGTCTATACTGGATAAACAGGATTGATATGTGGTGACCCCTGTCCCAACGCTCTTGTCTGCTGGACCGCCCTTTTGCACTCTGAGTTAATGGATTTCTCGTCCCTTTTAGAAATACTGGGATGGCAATTGAGTTTAGGTACATGGTTCTACTCTCCCACTGCTTCTTACTGAATCCAATATCTTCTGTGTGAGCTAAAGTGCAGTTACACAAGAGGAAGTGCTTGTGGTCTGACTAATGCCAGAAAGGCATTTGCCCACAACTGCCAGACTTGGACCTTCTTCGGTCTTCTGGCAGACTAGCTGCAGGAGCAAATTCTAGAGCTGCCTGGCTCATAGACATTGGATTGCTCACAAAAGGAACAAGATGGTTTAGTAGGTCAAAAGTCTCCCCAAAAGTTGGAAAGTGGATATGATGGAACTTGGAGAGGCACTTCTAATGATGTTTTGTGTAAAGTGTCTTAGCAACTCCCTCTGATTGTGCTCATTTGCATGTTCTACCTCAATTCCTCTGGTCAAGTAGTTGAATGAATCCCTTGTACAGGGTCCTCAGGACAGTGATTGTCAGTGTACAGCTCTGTATCTGGGATGTACCTTACCCAGAACAGCTATCGCATGGCTGAGTTATCATATATCAGCTGCTGGTGGGACAGGCATCAGAGGGCAGATTGCAGCCAGCAGGCCATACATTATTTACATCTGCCAGGCGAAGGTATATGCGCTGGAAGCTAACTTAACACTGATGTCTTGGTCCAAAGAAGAATTGTTTATATGATTTCTTACTCACCGTGAAGTCCCAAATTAAAAAGACAATGTTAAACATATTTAAAACAACTAACAATCATTACAGTAGCGTGGACTCTAAAAAATGTGTCTCAGATGTCAAATGGCTTAGGGTAAAGAGGTGTGCCATCAGCATATGATGATAACAGTACAATTAGGGTGCCAGATGCACCTCTGTGGAGAAGGAATTCCACAACTTTTGGGCACCGCCTCCTGAATTTTAAAAAGCGGTGAAAACTTGCAGAGCTTGCATTTAGGAATACAAGTTCAATGGTTGGGGAGAGGAGAGAACATTGGATTGCGCTATGGCTGGAATCCTTCCGAAGGAGAGACAACATGTGCCTCTCCGTGGTCCCTGACATAGATTTGTCTCTGTGGGTTTGCAGAAGCAGCAAGGAGTTACTGCTGCAGCCAGTGATCATCAGCAGGAATGAGAAAGAAAAGGTCCTAATTGAAGGGTCAATCAACTCTGTGCGAGTCAGCATTGCAGTGAAGCAGGTAAGCCAAGCATGGATGGGAGATGAGGGGTGGGGTGGTCATTGCAACCCAACCTGAAAAACGCTAATGGCTGTCGCTTTTTCCTTCTGCAGGCCGATGAGATTGAGAAGATCCTGTGTCACAAATTTATGCGCTTCATGATGATGAGAGCAGAGAACTTCTTCATTTTACGTCGGAAACCAGTTGAGGTAAGGAGACTTGACCCAGGGTCAGTGGCATGCTACAAAGGGGTTCTTCTGTTGTCTCTTAGCCAAAGCAACAGCATGTGACACAGGCCATTTCTTTGACAGCTGTTGTGGCATATCCCACACCTCACTGCTCTCAGTAATGTGAAGCTCTCTCAGGAGATAAGATGTCTGACTGAGTGGCTTTTATTTTCAAAATGTTGCTTGACTGCCAACATCTTCCACAGTAGTATTAACAGTGACGATGGCTAACAGTGAGCTTGCCCCTTGCAGCATTGGTATGACTCAAAAAAGGGTGTGGTTTCAGCCCTGTGTTGCGCTTGGTCGCTAGAGTCCAAATGACTGAGTTGATGTGAATACCAAAGCCTTGATCTGCATTTTCTTACAGGAGATATGCATGTGTGTGCTCCTATACACTGATGGATGTTAAAATGGCTGCCTCCATAACTGGTGTTGCAGTATCGGCAGACAACAGGGGTTAGGGCCATTACTCCAGTGTGGTCTGTGTGTTCTCCTGATTCTTCTCAGCTGCTGGATTTATTATCATAGAATCTCAGAATTGTAGAGTAGGAAGGGACCCCGAGGGCCATCCAGTCCAACCTTCTGCAATGCAAAAATCTCAACTAAAACATCCATGACAGATGACCATCCAACTTCTGCTTAAAATCATCTAATGAAGGAGAGTCCACCACCTTCCAAGAGTGTCCATTCCACTGCTGAATAGCTCTTAACTTCAGAAAGTTCTTCCTAATGTTTAGTTGGATTCTCCTTTCTTGTAATTTGAATCCATTGGTTTGAGTCCTACCCTCCAGAGCTGGAGAAAACACAGGCGACAGCCCTTTAGATATTTGAAGATGGCTATCATATCTCCCCTCAGTCTCCTCTTGTTTATGCTAAACATATGAAACTCCTTCAACTGTTCCTCATAAGGCTTGGCTTTATTGACTGGGTGGTTAGTATAGCTAGTTCTCACTGTTATATGTAGCCAAGCCCACTACATATATCTGCAAACTGTTTATGGAAGGGAGAAAAAAGCAGGATAATTCCTTTCTCCCCATGCTGAGTTGGTGTCAGAGTGAGTAGGAGGTGTGATTGTTGAATCTTTGCTTAATAGATGCTAATTACATGCTGCTTTCCTTTTATCCCAGGGCTATGACATTAGCTTCCTGATTACAAACTTCCATACAGAGCAGATGTACAAGCACAAGCTGGTGGACTTTGTCATTCATTTCATGGAGGAAATTGACAAGGAAATCAGCGAGATGAAGCTGTCTGTCAATGCCAGAGCTCGCATTGTGGCAGAAGAGTTCCTGAAGAATGTAAGGGTCTGTTAGGCAGAAGTGAAACAAAAATGGTATGCCAAAATTCACCAGTGGTTTGTGGGAGCTTGGTTGGTAAGTCATGTGACTGCCAGCGCCATCTGTAGAAGAGCAATGCCTTCTAAACAAAAAACAAAATTGCGTACATTTTTTCATGTAGCAAGGCACCTTGAGCATGGTTTTAACTATGGAAAGCCAGCATATGACTAAAATGTTGTATGCATGTAAAATTGTTTAGAGATGAAAATGAAGAACTTTATCACAAGTGTTTATGAAGTGTTTTTTAGAAACAGCGGGAAGCCTATGTGATACAAAATTGTCTGTGGGCATATATCAGGGTTCAGATATCTTCTTGACTATATACAGTTCATCACATAGCCTTGAGTAGTAGTAATTGCTCCTTACATTTGTTTGTTACTTGGGAGCACAAAGCCCTCGGTATGGACTGTTCCAATGGGAATCAAATAGCAGCTTGTTTGGATTCTAAGTTCCAAGAGAAGTGATCTGAATTACCTGTTACATGCTGCTAATAGCAATGAAAATGCAAACAAGCCCTTGGAGGTGATAGCAAAAAGGTTGGTAGCAACCTCTTCCAGATGTCTTCCCTTGTAAAGTTCTCGCTAGAGAAGTGAACCGTTCCAGGGTGTTGCAGTGTTTGTGTCATTTTGGTTCATTTAATATTTGTGACACTTCTGTATCTACAAAGTTGATTTTAATATGCCACAAGACAAGGCTTAAGGTTTAGTATTAGTGTACAAAGCCCTTAACACTGCCTTCCCTAACCTATGGCCCTCCAGATGGTGTTGGACTACAACTCCCTTCATCCTTAAACATTGATCATGCCGTCTGGGCTGATGGGAGTTGGAGTCCTAAACATCTGGAGAGCACCAGGTTGGGAAAGGCTGCCTTAACGTCTTAGGAAACCTGAGAACGAAAGTGCCTTATCTCCTATATAACAGTGGCCACCTCAGTCATCGGAGAAGGTGCTTCTTACAGGGCCACATGCCCCTGAGGTGACCTGGGGCCACTGGTTATTAATACATTTTGTTTCTTTTTTGTACGTTGCTTTGAGATTCTTTTTGAATATAAAGAGATTTAAGAAATTTTCTAAATACAGTAAGTTTTCTCAGTATTTCACAAACTTAAAATTTGAGTGTTGTCAAAATTCTAAAATATCTGTACAATATGACATGGAAACCAGCTAAAATGCACTAAAGGGCCCAAGGACATAAAGACTTCACTTAGCCCTGAAAACACCATAATTTAGGCACAAGGCGAGCCTTTTTGGGATAGGTATTCCACAGTAAGGGCACCAACACTGAAAAGGCCCTTTTCTAGCCCATGTATGCGAGTGTTAATAGTGTGTGCCTCTGAGAAGCTGTATTAATCAATTTGAGTAAAGCAACTTTGAATTAATTGACTTCTCTTTCTCTCTTTCCCCCCACAGTTCTAGACTAAGGGCTGGAATCCACAGCTTGGCTTTCTCATTCTCTCTGCACAGCCACCTTGCTGCGGCTTCAGAGAGGGCCACAGTTTGGGAGCAAGATGAGAAGCAGCCAGACCTGCGGGGGCTGTCCCAGCTAAATGTACACCATGCTCGCCAGCGTGCCCAGGGGAGGGGAGGGTGCTTTTTTAAATAATTTTGGAACAAAACTGTGCTTGTTTAAGACTGTGTCAACTTGATATCCTTTTTTTTTTTTTTTTAATGACTGATACTTGCTGTTATTTGTCTACTTGAGTCTCTTAGTGGCCGAGGCCTTGTGGGGGGGGGGGGGGAAGGATCGACTGTTCCAGCAGCCCTCAGAAAGAGTTGTTGCGGGAGTTCATCTCAGTGCTGTGCATGCAAAAAAACACCTCTGACAGATAACACACAAAAGCTGCCTTTCTCTATAAGGTTTGGCCCCAGTAAATGAGGCCTGAAGCATCTCTTTGGACAAACTGGCAGCCTGTCTTGGAACATACAAGGGTACAAGATGTGACTACCTTGGTCCGCCTCCCAAACAGAATCATGAGTTTGCAGGCAAGCCAGGTGCTGAAGATGGCAATCCTCCCCTGTGCCAAGTCATTCCCATTCTCTAGAGAGATCGCCCTCTCTGTAGCCCACTTTCCCTTACTCCCACAGCAATCGGAGCATTCTGAGCACAGCACTGCCTCCTGTTCATTCCCTTTCTATTCCCTTCCACATCTGTGCCAGAGGGAGCTGTGATGGGAGGGGCCAGGCCATGCGTCAGCAAAACGCGACGGAGCTGGAATCTGTAACTCTTGGTTCTTTTTGCTATGGCACTTGCTGTAACTTTCTTACTCTGGGACCTTCCCTATTAAAGCCTTTTTTTTCCTTCTTGCCTCCTGAAGTTAAGCGGTGGTTGCATGGTTTCTCTGTGGCGTGCTAAGTCCTCCCCTACTGAGTCTGGTTATGCTGCCTGGGAAGCACATGGAATTTCTTGTCGTGTCCCAGCAACTAGGATTGACCAATGTTCTGTTTTTCCCCTAAAGCAGGCATAGGCAAACTCAGCCCTCCAGATGTTTTGGGACTACAACTCCCATGATCCCTACCTAACAGGACCAGTGGTCAGGGATGATGGGAATTGTAGTCCCAAAACATCTGGAGGGCCAAGTTTGCCTATGCCTGCCCTAAAGGATGTTTTCAGAGTAGGTCTCTTTCCGCACCTTAGTAGAATGTAGGCTGCATTCTCCCAAGCCAAGGCAAACCGAATTACCATGCTCCCTACAAAGAACATGTTCTATTATGTTATGACGGTATCTCATTGCTTTGTAAAGAACAGCTAATCCTCCCTGAAGTGAAGATAATATTATTGCTGGGTAGATTTGCTCCACCTTTTCTAAAGCTCACATGTACCTATTTTGAAAGGTTTTGATACAAGAGGCATTTAGTTATTAGGTGTGTATATTGTAGGATGTGCACCCATGGTAGAGGTGGCTAACATATGGCCCTCCATACATTCTACCTACACTGAGCCGGACCATTGTTCCATCTACCACACTGCTGTCTATCTACACTGACTGGCACCTGCTCTCCAAGGTTGGGGGCACAAGTCTCCCAGCCTTCCCTGGAGATGCCAGGGTTTGAACCTGGGACCTTCTGTATACAAAGTGTGTGCTCCATCACTGAGCTATGGCCCTTCCCCAGAGGTCCAGTCATTCCTAACATTGGTGCTGATGGGGGTTGGTTAGCCATTCCTTTCCTAAGCCACTGAGGCAGTGTAGTGGGTATTGAAGGTTTTATAAAAGGAAGCAACAGTTTGCTTAAATATGACATTAAATCCTACACTCAACACTGCCTATTCCTCTAGAAAAAGTTGGCAAAATATTCTCTGCCTCAAAGCAGAACATTAATGCCACTTCATTAATTGGCGAAAGGAGAAGAATAACTAAATTTCACAGTTTCTCCTGTCCTTCCCCCTGCACCACCGCAATGTCTCCGCTTTCTTTTTTTAGAAGTTGTAAAGGGCTGTTTTAAGCATTTCCCTTTTTCTTAAGGAGAACAACCATTGCTGGTTCCTCAAGCTCAGCTTCTGCCATTGTGGGCAAGAGCACTGTAGCCTATAAATGGATTTGTGGGCTGCTTCCTGTAGTGTGATTTGATGTTCTTGTGCAGCATAGCAAATCCTCATACTCTTTATGCAGTCACGCACATGCATTTGTCTACACCAAGACTCGGCGGGGGGGGGGGAGTTGAAATGGTCCTGAAGCCGAGCAGCAAGAGAAGTAAAGCATCTGCTAACAGTGGCGAAGACTTGCAAGGCAAAAGGCGATCCAGCAGCTTGGCTATTGCACAGCAAGCACAAACTGCGGAACCATATGAATGTGGGGAAGCAATGAATGACGCTAGATTTCAGAAGACTGCGTGGTTCTGACGACAAAATGTATTTGCGGTGGGGGCTGTTGGTTGCTACCTACTGGACTTGAAACCTAGATAAACCTGACTTGCTAAATCCAGTTCCTCATGTCAAAGAGACCTAAAGAGGCAGTTTTGTTGTCCCTTCTGAACATTGTAGCCAATGAACATGAAGCCCCTTACCTCACGCACCTGCCAAACTCAAGTGTTGCTCATCTGTTCCTGTGTTGATAGTAGCTCTCCACTGCTGAAGAATTCCTAGTTTAGCTAGCTTGTCTTTCAGAGATTGATGGAAGGTTTTTCTTTCCTGCAGTTGATCCCCCTGGGATGGACAAAAAAACAATTCAGATAGCATACACACCTCCGTACAGTCTGTTTTAGAGAAAGGCAACGAAAGAGAGGCAATTACCCCCATCCGCTGTCCATCCTCAGCCAGGAGTGGTTGGTGTGTGATCCTTAAGAAGCCAAGCCAATGGGAGGAAGGAACAGAATCCTGGAATACGATGGTAATTCCACTGCCCTTTGATGTCATAGGTGAGCCATCCTGAGCATTCTCTGCAGGTCTCAAGCAGGTGATATAATACAATGCCATTGGCCCTCTCTTGCAAGGTAGGCCTCAAGCCTAGGGAGGTTGTTTGCTTCTGAGCCACAAACCCTCCCACTGTGCCCAGTCTGGGCTTCGTATACCTGCAGCCGGAAGTAGGCTTTTGCCCACACGTGAATTTTACAGGGTCAAGTGGACACCAAGCACGGGGGGCCAGCCACAAATGTGCATGAGTCATCAGAGGTAGCAGGGAGACAGTATGAGCCGCAACTAAGGTAAATTAGGAATAGTATGTCCCTTTTGGATAGAGCCCGTGTAGATGTGTGTCCCTCAGGCCAGCTAAGGATACTTGTACCTGCAACAGCCTTATTTGTGCTGTTCGTTGCTCAACATGTAGGTCCTTGAACCCTGCTGCCAAAGCCTTACTCCTCCCCCTCTGGAGTCTTATCCTTGATGTAATTTCTCCCATTTGCAGTTTGACTACACAAACCTCTCTTGCGTCCCCTGCCTGGCTGGTTCCTGCTGTTGCCCACATCGCCTTGGATGACTACATCCCTCTATCCTATCAGCCAGAAGTGGTCACCTTAAAAGAGACCCTGCTGCCACAATTCCCTTAATTCAGGGCAAGGGAAATTGGGGCCGTCCAGATGTTGCCGACATACAACTCCCATCAGCGCTAGCCAGCACGGACTGCTATATCCATCCTCCTGCCTGATGGCCAACAGGCGTGAGGCACGTTTGACCAGATGTGGCTGAACCTACAACATCCACCATCCCTGGCCACTGGCCATGCTTACTAGGGCTGATGGGAGTTGTAGTTTGGCAATGTTTGGGAGGCCAAAAGTTCCCCACACCTGATTTTGAGGGGCACAGGATAGCTGCCCAACATCCTTAAGGCAGGGGCAGCCGAACTGGTTCCCCCAAGATGCATGTTGGACTACAGTTCCCATCCTCCATGACCATTGGCTCTGCTGGCTGAGGCTAATGGGAGTTGTAGCTCAGGAACTGGTTAGCAATTTCTACTTTAAGCAGTGCACTGATGAGAGTGCCTTATCTAACCACAAGAAAGAGAGAGAAGGATATAGTAGGCAAGGAGGGTTTGGCAAACCACCTCTGCTGATCGGTTAACATCCCTGTTTTAATTCAGGAAGAAGTTCCTGGAGAGCAGCTTAAAATAGAGGCTTTTGAGATCTCCTTTCTAATTATCCTTATTTTGGCCATTATCTAGTTAACAAGCTTCAGTTGCTCTGGGACAGAATTAATTCTCCTCAAAATACCTTTTGCAAAAGATCTTTCTGAAAGGCCCGGGGTGGGGGAGGGGCACGTGTTTTAACAAAGCAAAACGAAAAGGCCTCTCCTGGAGCACCTGCCGCTCTCCCTGGTTTCCATAGAAACGCCAAACAGCCGCATGGGAGCCTTGCGGAGGAGCTGGGCCCTCGCCGCCGGCGGGAGCGGGAGCCTCGGCTTTTCGGGGGCGAGGAAGGGACTCGGAAACTGCCCGTGGGTTGGGGGGGGGATGCTGGTTGGGGCAGCCGGCCGTGGAGACCAAGCTGTGGGGTAGTAACTTTGTGGGTGGGGAGAGAAGAAGAGCTCCCCATGCAAGAGGAGGAACGGGGTTCGTCTGCCGCGGCTCCCGATGGCCTCGTTACCGCTCGGTGAGAGGAATGCCCTTTGCACATGCACAGAGGTGCTCTCGTCTCCGTTGCGGTGCAAGAGCGCCAACTTGGCCCCGCGACCCGTGGGTGCCCCGGGGACGTGGGTGCCATGCAGCGTGCAGTGACCCTGTGGGTGCTCGGCACCTTCATGGGGCATTTTGTGGGTGCTCAGGGAGTTGGCACCTTTGTTGCGGTGCCAGGTTTTTTGGAGCTCAAAGGCCTGTTTCTTACAGGGTTTATGTTTACCTGGGAATGCTGTGCTTGGTTGGAGGGTGGATAGCGAGGGGAAGCAGCTGGAGGGTATGGGAACTGTTGGTTTAGATTTTGGAAGGGGAAGGGTGCCCAATAGCTTGAATGTGTGTGTGTGTTTGTATGTGTGTATTGATGTGATCAAGCAGTGCTTCCCTGTCTAATGACCTGAGCTGCTTTGTGCCTGGCAGTGAAGGAAAAAGCACTTTAAAAAATGATTTCCAAAATGAAAAGCCCATTTTAAGTTTGCAAAAAGAGCAGAAACGCAGTGCAGGGGCACCTTTGAGTCAGCTCAGCTGTTACTGCGCTGTCCGAACCCAAGTGAGCATCTCTGAAAAGCTTCTGGGAAAAGGTAGGTTTATCAACGGACTCCAACAAGAATAAGCAGTATTGGGTGCAGATCCATCCTGCCCTACTAAAAATTTCCTCCTTGCCATGGGCATGGCAGGGAGGGGCAACTCCCCCCCAATCAATAAAAAAACAATAAAAATACATAGCTAACTGAGGTTCTGCCCCCTAACAACAGGCCTGCCCCCCCCAAAAAAAATCCTGGCTACGTCCAATAAAAGAAAGTGGACAGCTGCCATAGGTTGTATGATGCGGGTGTCTGTCTCCGGATTATATTCTGTCATAAGCTCCTATATGGGATATTGATGTGGAGAGGAGGGCTCTCTAGTTTAGCTACAACAGTGAGCTTGTCACCTTGTCCCTGCAGGTGGCTGTGCGGTGCGCCATGACTGACATACCTGTTCACTGTGAGTTGCTGGACAGGCAGTGGAGCTGGCACCAAGAATATGCAGGTGATTGACCACGGAGCTGCTTATTGGGACAGCCAAGATCCAGATTCTCTGGGAATGTACTGCTTTGCACAAATATATTGTTTCAGCGACCAATATTTTGAAAGGATTTGGAATTCATGTCCCTGACTTGAGGGAATTGAAAGAGGGCAGGATCTGAGGGGTAGATTAACTTGTAGGGTACTATAAAAAGCTAACTAAAGTAGTAACACCTTGCCTCTCTGTTTGTAAGCCCTGCTCACTTCCTCACCAGACTCTGGTAACCACACATTTGCAAGGTTTCTTTTCCAGAGCTATATGGGCTGGGTTTCGAGAAATGGAAGCTGAGTTTGCCAGGACGCCAAATATTCTTCTCAGCGCACAATGCTTGTATAGCAGCCTCCCAGAAATACATGGGATATGTATTCAGTTCAGTTTTGAAGAGGCTGTCATGACCCATAAATGGTGGACATGTTTACTCCAAATTCTCAACTGGTTGCAGACACCACACAGTGGGCAAAGGCTACAGTGACCCCTAAAGGGTGTTTGGGGTAGGGTGGCAGTCAAAGGAATGTAAGTGCTTTGTGGTAGTCTCTGCAGCTGCCATGAGAGGCAAAGCTGATGCTCTCTCACTTCACCACAAGCACACACCTCTCCTGTCCCAAAAATAAATCTAGTATTAAAGAAGAGCAAGACCTAGAACAAGACTGGGGAACCTCATTATGCCCATTCTATTATGCCCTCCCTATTTGGCTGGCCAGGCCACACCCACCTGCTCTACGACACCTGATGTCATATATGAAGTCACTTGTGAGGTATGTAAGCTTGAGGCTTTGTCCAAAGGGTGTTTGCTGGCCTGCAAAGCCCTTTTCAAAGCATAGGGCGAGATAGTGCTTTGAGTGGGGCTTCTGAAAACACACTATTTTCTGCAGCTCTTTGAACAGAGCTTCTGAAGATCCAATAACAAGCTGATTGTCCTAGAAGAAACAGTGGTCACGGGAGTTGCAGATTTGTCAGTGTTAAGAATAAGAATAAGAATAAGAATAAGAATATATTATTTATACCCCGCCCATCTGGCTGAGTTTCCCTAGTCACTCTGGGCAGCTCCCAACAGAATATTAAAAACACGATAAAACATCAAACATTAAAAACTTCCCTAAACAGGGCTGCCTTCAGATGTCTTCTAAAAGTCAGGTAGTTGTTTGTTTCCTTGACATCTGATGGGAGGGCATTCCACAGGGCAGGCGCCACTACCAAGAAGGCCCTCTGCCTGGTTCCCTGTAACCTCACTCGGAGGAGGACCTCAGTGAACGATGAGGGTGGAGACGCTTCTTCAGGTATACAGGACTGAGGACATTTAGGGCTTTAAAGGTCAGCACCAACACTTTGAATTGTGTTCGGAAACATACTGGGAGCCAATGTAGGTCTTTCAGGACCAGTGTTATATGGTCTATGCAGCCACTCCCAGTCACCAGTATAGCTGCCGCATTCCGTTGGACCTTTATTGGGTCATTTTTTGCTGCATTTGCCTTTGGAGTAGGGCAATCCCCTGAAAGTCTTGTGGGGCTACATTCCTTTTGGAGTCCTAGGATCTTTTAACAACCTCAGTGTTTCTTTTGTTCTCTTGCAGTTGGGCCCAAAGTGTAAAGCAGGAGGGGACAGTGACGCTGGAGGGGGCAGAAGAACCAGCAGAGGAGGTAAGGTAGCAGCTACTCCAAGATTTCTGCTCCATGCTTCCTAGGTCCAAGAGGTGCCTTCAGGGCAAAAGGCTGCCTGCAGCAGCCTTTCTCAGCCTCGTGCCCTTCTTCACACAGTGTACAATTGAACTATGGAACTCCCTTCCCACAGGAAGCAGTGATGGCCACCAAGGGATTTAAGAGAGGATTGGGCAAATTCATGGAGGATAAGGCTCCCAATGGCTGCTGGCCATGATGACTTTGCTCTACCTTCATGGTTGTTGTTGTTGTTTAGTCGTTAAGTCATGTCCGACTCTTCATGACCCCATGGACCAGAGCACGCCAGGACCTCCACTGCCTCCCGCAGTTTGGTCAAACTCATGCTGGTAGCTTCGAGAACACTGTCCAACCATCTCGTCCTCTGTTGTCCCCTTCTCCTTGTGCCCTCCATCTTTCCCAACATCAGGGTCTTTTCCAGGGAGTCTTCTCTTCTCATGAGGTGGCCAAAGTATTGGAGCCTCAGCTTCAGGATCTGTCCTTCCAGTGAGCACTCAGGGCTGATTGCCTTAAGAATGGATCTTCTTGCAGTCCATGGGACTCTCAAGAGTCTCCTCCAGCACCATAATTCAAAAGCATCAATTCTTCGGCGATCAGCCTTCTTCATGGTCCAGCTCTCACTTCCATACATCACTACTGGGAAAACCATAGCTTTAACTATACGGACCTTTGTCGGCAAGGTGATGTCTCTGCTTTTTAAGATGCTGTCTAGGTTAGTCCACCTTCATGGTGGAAGGCACAGTAATGCTTTTGAATGCCAGTTGCTGGAAACCACAGGAGGGTAGACTGCCAATCCAGTCAGGACTGGGGCTGGGACATTATCTTAATATTGTTTCAGGCAGCAAAATGTTTTAGGTTAGCCTTAAAGACAAGCGAGGTTGCCCATGCTTAGTACATACTGACAAATATTGTATCCAGTGTTGCACCAGCAGGGTTCCACTGACACAGGGGGGACTTCTGCTTCCTTTCCTCCGCCTGCATGCCCCAAAATCTGCTGGAGGCTCCTCCAACGCTCTGGAACTAATTTTGAGGGTGCACCAGGGGGGCAGGGGACAAAAGAAAAAGAGGAGGCTCTAGATCAGGGGTCAGCAACGTTTTTCAGCCATGGGCCGGTCCTCCGTCCCTTATACCTTGTGGGTAGCCGGACTATATTTTGAAAAAAATAATAATGAACCAATTCCTACGCCCCCACAATAACCCAGAGATGCATTTTAAATAAAAGCACGCATTCTACTCATGTAAAAACACCAGGCAGGTCCCACAAATAACCCAGAGATGCATTTTAAATAAAAGGACACATTCTACTCATGTAAAAACACACTGATTCCCAGACTGTCCGCAGGCCGGACTGAGAAGGCGATTGGGCCGCATCCGGCCCCTGGGCCTTAGTTTGCCTACCCCTGCTCTAGATAGCGCCAATCATTAAATGGGCTTGCTTCGCAAGACGAAAAAACCGCTAGACGAAGACTCTCGCGGAACGGATTAATTTCGTCTTGCGAGGCACCACTGTACAGAAATCTGTTGCACCAACAAAGCTGCAGTGTTGGATACGGCCCTAAGTGAGAGATCCATTGTCTCCTGCCTCTTCCATTCTTAAGTCACAGCAGGAACAAGTCCTGCTTCTTCAGGTGTGTTTTTCTGTATCATAATATGTCTTAGACTAGCCATCTAGTCCCCATATGTGCCATTTGAACCCTTGTTCTTCTAAAAACCAGCTGCACTGGCTCCCGGTGGAGTACAGGATCAGGTTTAAGGTGCTGGTTTTAACCTTCAAAGCCCTATACGGCCTGGGACCCTCCTACCTACGGGACCGCCTCTCCTGGTATGTCCCACGGAGGACCTTACGGTCTTCAAATAAAAACATCTTGGAGGTCCCGGGCCACAGGGAGGTTAGGCTGGCCTCAGCCAGAGCCAGGGCTTTTTCGGCTGTGGCCCTGATCTGGTGGAACACTCTGTCACAAGAGACTAGGGCCCTGCGGGACTTGACATCTTTCTACAGGGCCTGCAAGACAGAGCCTTTGGCCAAGGCACAGTCTGACCCCCTCCTTCTGCAATCCTCATATAACTCTAGCCCAATGGTTGCCATTAATTTGACTCTGAATTGATTTTAGAATGAATTGATTTTTAGAATGAATTGATTTTAGAATGAATTGATTTTAGAATGTATTTCAATTAATTGATTGTGATTTTATGTAAATTGTGTTATTTTTACTGTTGTTAGCCACTCTGAGCTGGCTTCGGCTGGGGAGGGTGGGATATAAATAAAATATTATTATTATTATTAAATGTTCCTCATCCAACTGTGCTCAGTTGGCAGATTGAAGCCTGACGGAGATGCCCCCTCCAACATCGAACGTACACAACTGCACCCCACTCGCCGCCACCCATCCACCGCTCCCAATACCAGCAGGTATAGACAAGAAGGTGAGTTGCCAAGATACTGCCAGGGGTTCTGTGCCGTGGGTAGATGTTCATGTGATTTGCTATCCCCTCTAGATTTGCTTTATTATTTTATTTTGTTTATTGATCCTCTTTGTGTTATTTTCCTTTCTTATTTTTGCAGTTTCTAAGCAGTGCACATAATTTATTTTGAAAAGTATACAACGGGCAAGTTCAATTAAAATTAAACATGGAAACAAAACTTCCTTAAAATGGATGCTGAAGTAGAAAGGTCTTTGTTACATGCCTGACATTCAACAGGGAGAAGGCCTGTCTCATTTCAGCTGGGAGGGAATTCTACGGAATCAGGCCAACAACACCAAATTCATAACGCCTGATGGATATGAGTTGTGCATCCAAGCCATGTTCCCATCAGGCTGCTACAGATTCTTTACCGTTGATAGTGTGTGCTGCCTGTAAATCCTTGCCAAATTGGACTTCCTGGTTGACAGCTGGTACAAAGGTGGGCAATAGAAATTTCAAAGTAATAGTGCCACTGTATTCTGCTCTGGTCAGACCTCACCTGGAGTACTGTGTCCAGTTCTGGGCACCACAGTTCAAGAAGGACACTGACAAACTGGAACGTGTCCAGAGGAGGGCAACCAAAATGGTCAAAGGCCTGGAAACGATGCCTTATGAGGAACGGCTAAGGGAGCTGGGCATGTTTAGCCTGGAGAAGAGGAGGTTAAGGGGTGATATGATAGCCATGTTCCAATATATCAAAGGATGTCACATAGAGGAGGGAGAAAGGTTGTTTTCTGCTGCTCCAGAGAAGCGGACACGGAGCAATGGATCCAAACTACAAGAAAGAAGATTCCACCTAAGCATTAGGAAGAACTTCCTGACAGTAAGAGCTGTTTGACAGTGGAATTTGCTGCCAAGGAGTGTGGTGGAGTCTCCTTCTTTGGAGGTCTTTAAGCAGAGGCTTGACAACCATATGTCAGGAGTGCTCTGATGGTGTTTCCTGCTTGGCAGGGGGTTGGACTCGATGGCCCTTGTGGTCTCTTCCAACTCTATGATTCTATGATTCTATATCTATTGCACACTGGGCAATAGATAGAGGACACAATACAGTGGTACCTCGGTTTAAGAACAGTTCTGTTTACGAATGATTCGGTTTACGAACTCCACAAAACCGAAAGTAGTGTCCCGGTTAGAGAACTTTACTTCGGTGTAAGAATGGAATCCGAAAGGTGGAAGGGCACTGGTGGCGGGAGGCCTCATTAGGGAAAGCGTGCCTTGGTTTAAGAACAGTTTTGGTTTAAGAATGGACTTCTGGTACAGTTTAAGTTCGTAAACCGAGGTCGAACTTAATCCATTCCAGTGATCTGTTCAACTCCCGGAACCATTCAAAAACCAAGGCGCGGTTTCCGATTGGCTGCAGGAGCTCCTGCACTCAATCAGAAGCCGTGGAAGCCGCGTCGGACGTTCAGCTTCCCAAAAACATTCACAAACTGGAACACTCAGTTCCAGGTTTGCGGTGTTTGGGAGCCAATTTGTTCAGGAGCCAAGCCTTTCAACAACCAAGGTACCACTGCTTGGTGTGAGGTAGGTGCTAAGAGGTCACAAAGGTTGGAAAGCCTAGCTTTCTCGTTCCAGGAGATGCAGCCTCTCTGATAGAGGGACGCTCACCTCGCAGCATCAACTTCAACTCTTCCTTCAACCCAGAGCGCCTCAAGCAAGCCAGGCAGTTTGTGGAGAGAGCCATCAAGGTGAGTCGCCTTGGCTCACCTGGTCTCTACCTTTTTAGCCTTCACCCTGCCTGTTTTCCCCTCTTTTGTAGCCTTGGTTGGATGGGTCAACCCAGCCCAATGGGGAGGATATTACTATTATTATTATTATTATTATTATTATTATTATCATCATCATCATCACTGAGGGGCGAGTCCCTGCCTCACCTCCCCGCTGCAGGGCAAAGTTGATAAGCCTCTCCTGTTGCCCCATAGCAAAGGAAGATCTTCATGGTGAACGGCCCTTACCCCGTGATTCGGAGACGGCTGCTTGGCAGGGGCTGGGTGGAGAGAAAGTTTCCCAAGGTGGCTAAAGTAGTGAATAAGCGAGAACGTCCGCCTGATGGGGAGCAGGATGAAGATGGTGATGACAGTGACGGGCCTGAGGACGGTAAGGCCACCAGCCTCTCGCAACTTCTCTTTTAATTTTATTGAACAAAATTTGTATACCGCCTGACTGTATATTTACAAAAGAGGAAACCTTCTAGGCGATTTACAAAAATGTAAAATTAAACATTGAGATTCTCAATTAGAACCACATAAAAAGAGATATTTAATAGAATCGTATCACTGTAGCGTTGGAAGGGACCTCAAGGAGCATCTAGCCCAACCCTCTGCAATGGTATTTAAAAACATTCGAAAGTTTGTTTTGAATTTTGGGAAGAATCTCAGATGTACACGCACCAGATATGTTCATCTGTCCTGCTCCAAATAAACCCATGCATGCTATAAAAACAGGTGCAAAGCTACTAAGAGAGAGACTTAGGTTTGACATGGCATGGGCACTAGCCAATCGGTGCCCATCACAACTGGCTTTCATTTGTTCAGTGTGAAACACTGAAAAGCCAAGCTATATTTTGTCCTAGGATTGGAAATGTGTGTGTATGTGTGTTGAGGGCACTAATAGTACTTTCAAACTACCTCCACCTCTCTTAAAATGTCACCTCTGACTTTACACTGTTTCCTATGGGTTACTTAACCTTCTCAAATGCAGTGAACTGTGTAAAAGTGCTACAAGGAAACACAAGATGGTATTACTATGTTTTCCTAAGCATGAGGTTTGTGTTGGCAACACAGCAAGGGGAAGCACAGCAAAATAGCTACGTTTGTGAAGACTGAAGAAAATAATGTAAAACTTGCAGTAAAAATGGACTATATTAGGTTAGGTGGAAAAAACGCTCTTAGATTTCACTTGGCATTTTTGTAACAAGAAAAAGATGTAACTGATGTAAATATTGCTCCAGGTTTTGGAAGGAAACCACTGGCAACCCAAGATCTGTATACATTTGCTAATAAAATAGCACTCTGCACTATTTTCCTAATTTAGCCTCTTCAGAGTGTGCATTCTACAACTTAAATTTATAAAATTAAGTGTGAATAAGTATCATTAGGTGTGTCTCTGCTATTCTGCATTTAACATTTATGTGTGTATATAGATCTATAAAATTAAAACCCATGCTGCCTTTCTATCAATGATTTGAAGGTGGTTATCAATTTCAAAGTGGTTTACAAAAATAACAAAATAATTAAATATATGGATGAGCACCCATATTTTTATGGTCTTACCCACTGTAATAAGCACTTTAAATACAGTTTCAGTGTGTCCAAGAAGGAGACTGCTCCCTGGTAATGACTGTGAGTGACCCTTGACTCCGCTGTTTTCCGTTTCCTTCACAGATGAGGAGGAAGAAGGGGAAGATGATCAGGATGATTCCATTGATAGTACCTATAGCCTGATGGTTAGTTTGATGTGATGGTGAACTTACCCCTAAATGCTTCCTTCAAGCAGCTAAACCTTTCCCTCCACAATTCTGGTTCCTGCAAAAGCCTGTTGAGGACTGCACAAACACACAGGGCAGTTTAAAGTGGATTTGATGCATGCTTTTCATGCCTTCCGCACCACCTTGTCCTCATCCAGGTTGCAGCCCACGGTCCCCTCACCTCCATCTAATTCAGATTTCCCCAATATCAGTAGATCCATACTAAGGCAATAGAGGCCAACCAAATGTGACAAGGCAGTGTGCAAGCTTTCCAGGTTCTATTGTTAATAGCATGCACACTATTCTGTGACGTTTTGGTTGGCCTTATACAGTGGTACCTCGGTTTTCGAGCATCTCAGAAGCCGAATGATTCAGAACCCAGACACTGAAAACCTGGAAGTAATTGCTTCCATTTTCAAACACGCCTCGGAAGTCGAATGGCTTCTGAGGCGTGTTTCTCCATTTATTCAATGGATTTTGCCAACGGCCCATTGATCCTCGGCTTTTGAACATTTGAGAAGTCGAACGGTCTTCCAGAACGGGTTACATTCAAAATCCGAGGTTCCACTGTATACAGTTCAATTTCAAACACTCGTGTTGTTGTTCATGGACAAAAACACACATGGAAAAATCGGATATGTGTGCAACAAAAGAACAGTGGCTAGAGAAACTGATGAGCTATGCGGAATTGGCCAAGTTGACATATAAACTGTGTGACGAGGACAATCGTGACTTCAAGGTAGAATGGGAACCTTTTACAAATTATCTAAAAAGACAACAAAATGATCTGGACTCCTTGGCAGGCCTTGAATAAACATCCACAAATTTATTAGTTGAATATATGATAGATAAGGCAATGATACGTACAATTCTACAATATGTAGAGAACAATATGTGCAAAGAAACCAGAGAGAGGAGCTGAGGGAAGTCCTGGGGGGGAGGAAGGGAAAAATAGTAGCTAGTGACTGGACCAAGGTGACCCAGTGAGCTATATGGCTTTGTAGAGATGTGAATCTGGGTCTCCTCAATCCTAATCAGACTTTCTAACCGCTGCAATACACATGCTGTCTGTTTGATCATCATAGACCCCCTCCTTGTGTTCTTCAGCATCACCTAGATTTATTCAGGATTTGGGTTTTTTCCATTTATACATCATTTCTCAAATAGAAAAAGGTCCTTAAGTGAATGACAGTCAAATGAAAACAAAAAACAAAAACAGTAATATGAGAATTATTTTAAAAATATTTAACAGTGCAACACCATATTGTGAGATCTGCCCAAATGCTTTGGGGGGAAATGTCTTCACCTGGTGCCAAAAAAGATGACGAGGTTAATACCAGGTGGGCCTCCCTAGAGAGAACAGAAAAGACCTGTCTGGCCATTGGCACCCTCCAGACCTCCCTTGGAGGTGGCATGCAGAGAAGGGCTTCAGATGATGATCTCAGGGTGTCAGTTTTTAGGTATAATGGTCCTGAACCATATAAGGCCATATAACGGTCAAAACCAGGACTTTGAATTGGGTCTGGACCAAAATTGGAAGCCAGTGCTGTTGGGCCACCATCATGCCACCTTGTTCCAGTCAATAATTTAGCTGCCTGTTCATATTTCACCTTTCCCAAGAACAGATCTGTCACCTGCACCCAGTTCCCCCCCACCTTGTTGTTGTTGTTTGTTGTTGTTGTTTGTTGTTGTTTTAACCAGCTTCTGTGCTGTTTCACTAGGCTTCCACGTTTACTTTTCACCCTTCCTCTTTCCCTGGCAGTCAAGGTTGGTTCGCAATCAGATCCCCTATTTCATCTGGACCAACCGGCGTGATGTCATTGACTGCCGCCTCCTGCGCAAAGATCAGATGATGAACCACTATGCCAAGGCGGGCACCTTCACCACCAAGGTGGGCAGAGTTTTTGCTTCCTGAACGTCTGGGCCACGCTAGCAGACTGCGAATGGCGCTTTGAGTTGGGAAAAGGAATCTGCAGGATCTGGGCCCAACCGGCTTGTGTATGTGTGCTGTGGGGACTTGGGAAATTAAGCCGCTGCAAAGGCATCCATCCCTTCTTTCTCAGGTAGGGCTGTGTCTGAACCTGCGAAACCTGCCATGGTTTGATCAGGCTGATGCCGATACCTTTTTCCCACGTTGTTACCGCCTTGGAGCTGAAGATGAAAAGCATGCCTTTATTGGTGAGAACTGTTCACAATGCTCTCCTTCGGTGGGGTGGGGAAGAGAAGGAAACTCCATGACTCTAGCACAATGGGCACAATGGGATGAGAGATGCCTTATACCAGTGTAAAGGACCACCATGTTTTGGGATATACTTTCTACTTTGATGGTTTGTCTTAGTGCAGTAGGAAGTCTTGTCAAGGTGTTTAGCTAATCTCAGTAGGGGCCATGCAGTATTCTCCAAGATAGCAAACAAATGAACAAATTTGTTTCCCTAAATGGTTTCACTTTTCTACTTAAAGCAGCGGAGCTCTCAGTTTTTGCCCCAAAGTTGATTATCCCCCTTCGTTAGATGACGGATTCTCAGTCTCTTCCTTGGAGGATCTGGGAGGGATTATAGCTGCTACTTTCAAGAGCCTAATAAAGTCAAGAAAACACATGTTTGACCCTCCTTTTTTTGGGGGGGGGTATTTATAATAACAGCAACATCCTCAGAGATACTTAATTTGGTTTCATGATCAGTAAGGAAAGTAAAGGTAAAGGTAAAGGTACCCCTGACCGTTAGGTCCAGTCACAGATAACTCTGGGGTTGTGGACTTATCTCACTCTATAGACCGAGGGAGCCGGCGTTCGTCTGCAGACAGTTTCCGGGTCATGTGGCCAGCATGACTAAGCCGCTTCTGGCGAACCAGAGCAGTGCACGGAAACAGTTTACCTTCCCGCCGGAGCAGTACCTATTTATCTACTTGCACTTTGGCGTGCTTTTGAACTGCTTGGTTGGCAGGAGCAGGGACTGAACGGGAGCTCACCCTATCATGGGGATTCGAACCGCCGACCCTCTGATTGGCAAGCCCTAGGCTCTGTGGTTTAGACCACAGCGCCCCCCATGTCCCAAGTAAGGAAAGCATTAGACCCCAATTCACACTGCAATTCTGAAAGAAAGGCATAAATAAAGGAGTAGAGCAGGGTGGATAATATTTATTCTTCACAGGAGACTGTGGAGACACACTTTGTATAGTTACAGGCACAAATCTTTCCCACAGTTTATTTCCTCCTTCCCACCCAGTTGCTTTCCCATTGGTTAGAGTAACTTCAGTTTCTATCCTACCTCAAGGCAATAGTTTTAAAATACTGTACAAAAAAAGCTGAATTAATTGGCCAATTAAAAATAGGTTATGCAAGCTAACACATATCAGGTTGCTTCTGTTGTTATTGTTGCTGTTACTATATGTGGCACTTTTCAGAGTGTCTTAAGAAAAAAACCACCCTGTCCTCATGGAGCTTACAATCTAAATGTTGACAGGACAGGAAACTAAGGAGAGGGGAGGCAAGTAAAGAAAGGGCAATACCTACCACCATAGTGTAGGATCCTGCCCAGGTAAATGGCTCCCATGCCATTAGTAGAAAGTGTGACTGGATCGTGAATGGATGTTTCCCCAGAAACATTGCAAGTTCTTGTTTGGCTTACTTTTAAATGAGTAAGATTAATCCCTGTGAAAGAGTCTTTAATAAGCTTGTAAAAAAGAAAGGAATGTTATTCAGCTCTGTGTAAATTATGTCCCATTTAAATGGTTACCCATCATGAGTCCTTAGGATGGGGTGAAATAGAAATGAAAACAAATACCGTATTTTTCGCTCTATAAGACGCACCAGACCACAAGACGCACCTTGGTTTTGGAGGAGGAAAACAAGAAAAAAAATATTCTGAATCCCAGAAGCCAGAAGAGCAAGAGGGATCGCTGCGCAGTGAAAGCAGCAACCCCCTCTTGCTGTTCTGGCTTCTGTGATAGCTGCGCAGCCTGCATTCGCTCCATAAGACGCACACACATTTCACCTTACTTTTTAGGAGGGAAAAAGTGAGTCTTATAGAGCAAAAAATACGGTACTTCCCCCCTCTGGATTCTCACCAGAGAATTATGTGTCCTTCCTCCCTTTTATGGTAGAGGATTTCCAGCTCACTGCAGCCAGGAGCCTTCTCAAAGTGGTGGTGAAACGATACTGGAATGAACCCAACATGACAAGACTGGATGCTAATCAGAATGAGCCCCCAAATTTCCCAGAGACTCCAGGTAAGCGGTAGGAGCTGTGTGTTCAAAAAAAGGAACAGCCACAGAGATTTCTCTACCGCCGTCTCCAGCGAGTACCTGGAGAAGGTCCTGGATGGGAGAGCAGAACATGTGATAAATTGCCTTTCTCTTGATATTTTTGCTAATGCCATCAGTTGTGTTCTAGGGGAGACTATTGAGAAGTGGCTATGGACTACTTCCAAAAGTGTAGCCCCCTGGCTTTTTCTCTTAAGATATTTTTCACAGCTGAGTGATCCTTCTCTTGTCTATGGTTGAGTTGGTCTTCTCTGTTTAAGAAGAGAGAATGGGGTAGAGGTGTTTGACATGCAAATGAACTTTCTTTTCAATGGAGATTAGATAAGAAACTAATTGAAGCATGAGCTTGCTTCAAGTCTTCCATGTGAAAATGTCCTAAGAAAGAAGTGCTATGGAGTTCTTTATCTGAAGTGAGCTGGGTGGGTAGGTCTAGCTTTTAGGCTCTCCCAGATCACTGATCACTTTTTCCAAGTCATTTTCCAACCACCACTCCTCAGTGTCCAGCCAGACCCTGACAACTGGGAATCTGTTTGTTTGTAAAAAAAAGACCTAGGTCTCTGTTTGTGACTGGTTTTGTGTGTGTTGCTTTGATTTCAGCCACTCCAAGTGTCCCTATTTTTCAGGGACAGTCCTGGATTTATGGAAACCATCCTGCTTTCTGATTTGATCCTGAAACGTCCCACTTTTCTTTAGGATGTCCCTATATTCATCAGAGAAATGTTAGAGGATATGGAGTTATGTGACTCCTGAACTGTCTGACGGCAGCCCTGTATAGGGAAGTTTGTGTGTGTGTGTGTGTGTGTGTGTGTGTAAATGTTGGAAGCCACCCAGAGTGGCTTGGGCAACCCAGTCAGACAGGTGGGGTATAAATAGTAAAATTATTATTATAATTGAATAGAATGTCCCTATTTTCATGAGAGAAATGTTGGAAGGTCTGAGATTTACAGGGAGCAGCATAAACAGTATCTCAGGCAGTCTTGCTTTCTGTGCCTTGCATAACTGGCTCAACAACCCTTCGTTTTCCAAAGTCAAGCAGTACACCAGCCGGAAGAAAGGGGTCCTGCTCTCATCCCAGCTGATTGAGACTGCGATACATGCCTGCGAGGAACACATGAGCAGCTTGAGGCACCAGGACATTGACAGAGAATCTGGTTCTCCTTTGCTAATGAAAAAGTCACACTGGGAAAAGTTTCTACATGGCTACTACCAGCTAGCCCAGTAAGTATAGGAGATGCTGGAATATACCACACAGCAAAACCATCTGTTCTTGAACCCAGAAAGCCCCAATTTCAGAACTGGATCTTTGTGCAAATTTGTGTCCATTTGCATAGAGTGGAATCCACCAAGTCGACTTTAACTTGGGCAAGGAGACTGCATCTTCCGCTCGTCTCTCCACCCGGCTCTCAAAGCCCCCCCCAAAAAAAACTTTCTTTGAGGGTATTCTGAAGGCTGGAGGTAGGCAGTGGGAGCTGAAATAATGTTGCACAAGTGGAAGTCCATTCTGTTTATGGACAGCAGCTGGGTGCAACCTGTTCTGTGTGTATGTGCTCATTTCCCTTTAGCAATATTTGTCGCCCCTCTTAATTTTTTGCAGAATCATTTTAGGAAAGAAGGTTTGACGCACATACAGATTTTGCGTTTAGGGCGCTTGGTTTTGTAGCTTGCCCCTGACAAAAGAGGACACACTGGGCAGGACTGAACCACAAACTTTGTGTCGTTATCTTCTCTGCAGCCCCTGCCTTTCTCCTTCCTCCTTGCTCTCTTCCTGCCCTTCCTCCCCCCTCTGATCATCCTTGGGAATTGGGGTCATGTGATCACGATGGCACGAGGGCAGCCTACATAAACTCTGAAGGGACAATCTTCTAACACAAACAGGGGAATAAACTACACCTATCAGGATTACAGCAACTGGGTATGTAGAGGAAGATACAGGGACTTAAAGGGGAACTTGAGGGAAGGACTGGGGTTTGTATTGTGTAAAGAAATTTTTACTCCCTGACTACTGGAAGGTCCTGCCAGATTAAACCGGGATTTTTTCTAGGGGCATTGAGTAGAAACTCCTTGAACACCTTTCATTTCCTTCACAATTGTGAGCCAGTGTGGTGTAGTGGTTAAGAGCGGTAGACTCGTAATCTGGTGAACCGGGTTCGATTCCCCACTCCTCCACATGCAGCTGCTGGGTGACCTTGGGCCAGTCACACTTCTTTGAAGTCTCTCAGCCCCACTCACCTCACAGAGTGTTTGTTGTGGGGGAGGAAGGGAAAGGAGAATGTTCGCCGCTTTGAGACTCCTTCGGGTAGTGATAAAATGGGATATCAAATCCAAACTCCTCCTCCTCCACAATTGTGAGAGCTGGAAATGTTGCTCTATTTTCAAACAAAATTTTGCAGGAATCAGCAGACTGAGAAGTGTCCATGCAGAAATTGGTTATGTGAATTGTGTTACGTGAATTAGGCAGTTTTGCTCATCTTTACATGCTTATGCTCTTAATCTCTCTCTCTTTTTGTTTTTGCTTTGTTTTTAATCATCAAAAACTGGGGACGATAAATTTGAGGGCTATGTCTGAAAGACTGAAGGGAAATGACTGTCGGACCTGAGTATGAAGGCCCTAGGCATGGGAAACAATGGAGAGAGGAAAGGATTGCCGTTGGGTACTGAAATCTGAGCCACCTGGAAGGTTCTCCCAGGTGCTCTATAGCACCTGAGATGTTGTGGTTGAAAATGCTCACGTATCCCAAGCCCAGGGATGGGGAACCTACAGCCTACTTTATGTTGTTAGGCTAAACGCCTATGAGGTGGTATCCCATTGAAGTAGTTCCATCAGCACAAGGACTTTCTTCTTTTCTTTTTTTTAATATTTATTAAAGTTTCAAAAAATACAAAAAATACAGAATACAAAAAGAAGAAGAATAAAGATTTTTTTTTTTAATATAACCAAAAAAAGTAAAAAAATATATATATAAAAAGAAACATACCAAATAAACAGTTAAAAAGACATTAATTTTCCATAACCTATCTTCCCTATACTTATTTCCCCGGACCTCCTCATACCTCCCTTTTTTGTATTCCAGTTCAATTTGTTAGTTCAGCAAATCCTTACCATTAAAATTACCCAGTTGCAAACCTTCTTTCATATCTCTTAAAGTATTACAGCTAAAAACCTCTTAGTTTCTATCCAACATCCTTCTAAAATTCCTTAATTTTACAATATCTCTGTAAATAGTCTTTAAATTTCTTCCAGTCTTCTTTCACCGACTCTTCTCTCTGGTCTTGGATTCTGCCAGTCATTTCCGCCAGTTCCATGTAGTCAATCACCTTCATCTGCCATTCTTCCCAGCACAAGGACTTTCTCTCCTCTCCTGCTTCCACACTGTCTCCACATATCCTCCAGAGGGTCGGGATAACCCCAAGAACAGATTTAGGGGGTGCATAGGGGAAGGGGGGGAGTTCATGATGCAGCCAGAAGTTCTTACGCAAATGGAACTATGTTGTTGGATACTGCCCACAATCCCTCGACATGTTGGCCATGCTGGCTGTGGCTGATCGGCGTTAGAGTCTAATAATATCTAGAGAGCCATGAGTTCCCTCTGCGACTGCAAGGGCTGTAAATCTGTTAATGGTGAAATGGTCTATTAGGAGGCCATATTCTGAGATTTACCACTCGGTCATAACCGTGCCAATTTCTAAATAAAGCTGTGGTTGAGTCCGATATACAGCTTGTTTCTAGAATAGTTGCCTGTCCCAACCAAACAGATGGTGCTGGCAGGAGAATGGGTGGGGTCCTTGCCCTGAGTGTTTGTGTTTGCAGCGAGGGGGCACAGATGGTGCAGACGGGTGCCCACGTCGAGCGGTGCGAAGACGTCCTTCAGCGACTGTCCAAGGTCGTCCCGCAGCTGGACATGGAAGGGGACAGGAACATATGGATTGTGAAGCCAGGAGCCAAGTCCCGGGGCAGAGGTGAGAGAAGTGGTGCTTTGATAATCCAAAAGAGCATATAAGGGGGAGCCTGGGGAAAGGGCTTGTTCACGCTGGGCTTCTTCCTGAGCAGCGGCACCCTGACCACATCCCTATTGTGCCCTTCTTGAGTTTGCTGTTCTTAAAAAATCTGGGTTGCTAAGGCACTGTGCACAACTGGTGCAGCCCTCACCCAGCAGGCTTAGAGAGGAGAGGGTGTGCTTTCTTGACACCCAGCAGCTGAAACGTGAGGAGGGCTTTTTCGGCCTCTCTATTGAGTTCACACAATCAAATGAGACAGTGAAGGCCGACTGAGAAGGGACTTGCTTACTGCAGTGAATGCAGCCTGTCCTAGTGGCAGATTGAGGTTGCTCAGAATTAACCCCCAGCTATGAATCAGCCTTATAGGGCGAGAGCCAAAGGGTTTGTTTACTCCCCCCCCCTTTTTCACTCCAAAATGCTTTTCTTTTTTGTGTTGTGACTTTCAGATCGTAAGCCCAAAGGCAGATCCTTTCCTATCGTTGACATTTGTTAGCCTTTCTTAGGGTTGCCATACATCCAGATTTCCTGGACATAGCCAGTATTCAGCCCTCAAGTGGAAATGGCAGCCCGTGTCAGTAGTGTAGATTTTGGTGATTTTCACCGGTGTGGTGTAGTGGTTAAGAGCAGTGGACTCGTAATCTGGGGAACCGGGTTCGTGTCTCCGCTCCTCCACATGCAGCTGCTGGGTGACCTTGGGCCAGTCACACTTCTCTGAAGCCTCTCAGCCTCACTCACCTCACAGAGTGTTTGTTGTGGGGGAGGAAGGGAAAGGAGAGGAGAATGTTAGCCGCTTTGAGACTCCTTCGGGTAGTGATAAAGCGGGATATTAAATCCAAACTCCTCCTCCTCTTCTTCTTCTTCTTTTTCATTAAACTTTTGTGTCCAGATTTTCACTTTTTTAAATAAGGCAACCCTAGGCCCTTTCTGGAACCGTTTTTTGTTGTTGCTGCCAAAGATAAAAATGCATTATGTTAGTCCTGCCATGACAACCTGATGACCACCTGGTTATGCAGGGCTCCTGATCCTGGCATGATATGACTGCCACCTTTGTGAGTTTCACAGCTACCCTAGAAGTTCTCTTTGTTGAGTGGAGGTTGGACACCAGTAACACAAAACATGCACTTTGTGTCTCTTGCCATCCCCGCTGCATCGGCTGTGGAAAGGGTGTTGTCTACCTAGCTTGGCTTCTGCAGAAAGGGTGCCTGAGCTTTTCGCTTTGCTCTGAACTGCTCTGATAGCAAGGATGTGGGGATGGAACGGACGTGGGTCTGTCATGACCATGAGGGCTTTTGTTTCTTTCCCAACAGGCATCATGTGCATGGACCGCTTGGAGGACATAGTGAAGCTAGTGGACTGCGACCCCATGATCGTAAAGGACGGCAAGTGGGTGGTGCAGAAATACATTGAGACGCCCCTGCTCATCTTTGGCACCAAGTTTGATCTGCGCCAGTGGTTCCTGGTGACCGACTGGAACCCACTGACCATCTGGTTCTACCAGCATAGCTACATCCGCTTCTCCACGCAGCCCTTTTCCCTGCACAAACTGGACACGTGAGTGTTGCATTGCTTATCTTCTCCACAGCTGGATATAGCTTTATGTTTGTGGTTAGTGTGTGTGTGTGTGTGAGAGAGAGAGAGAGAGAGATAGAGGGATGCTGCTGCTTTGTGAAGACTTTGTTCTGTGCATGCCACTCACAGTCTTAAATAGTCTCGTCGATGTCCCATGAGGACCGCAGAGCCACAGAAGAGCATCTGCCTTGCATGCAGAATGGTCTCAGGCTTATGCACTGGCATCTCCAGGTAGGACTGAGGATCTCTCCAGCCTGAATCCCTGGAGAGCTGCTGCCAGTCTGTGCTGACAATACTGAGCTAGGTGGACCTAGGACTCTGACAAACTGGAACGTGTCCAGAGGAGGGCAACCAAAATGGTCAAAGGCCTGGAAACGATGCCTTATGAGGAACAGCTAAGGGAGCTGGGCATGTTTAGCCTGGAGAAGAAGAGGTTAAGGGGTGATATGATAGCCATGTTCAAATATATAAAAGGATGTCACATAGAGGAGGGAGAAAGGTTGTTTTCTGCTGCTCCAGAGAAGCGGACACGGAGCAATGGATCCAAACTACAAGAAAGAAGATTCCACCTAAACATTAGGAAGAACTTCCTGACAGTAAGAGCTGTTCGACAGTGGAATTTGCTGCCAAGGAGTGTGGTGGAGTCTCCTTCTTTGGAGGTCTTTAAGCAGAGGCTTGACAACCATATGTCAGGAGTGCTCTGATGGTGTTTCCTGCTTGGCAGGGGGTTGGACTCGATGGCCCTTGTGGTCTCTTTCAACTCTATGATTCTATGATTCTATGATTCTATGACCATAGGCGCTCTTCTAAATTCTGCAGGATCATCCCAGTTACAGTGGTACCTCAGGTTACATACGCTTCAGGTTACAGACTCCGCTAACCCAGAAATAGTGCTTCAGGTTAAGAACTTTGCTTCAGGATGAGAACAGAAATCGGGCTCCGGCGGCGCGGCAGCAGCGGGAGGCCCCATTAGCTAAAGTGGTGCTTCAGGTTAAGAACAGTTTCAGGTTAAGTACGGACCTCCGGAACCAATTAAGTACTTAACTTGAGGTACCACTGTATTATTCCCGGGTAAATAGTTTGTGAACTACAGCTCTGACCATTTAAGCAGATTACAGACCTGCCTGAAACCTTGCGAAGCTCCATATATGTTTTCTATGTGGGAGTTTTAATTCTCTCTTGATAAGGCACCTTTTGAGGGCAATGTGCCCTGACAAGCAGGTGAGAAATCTGTTGCGTGAAATTAAATAAATCAGCGCTCTCGTGCAGACCAGCGTGCTCTGTAAACATTGCCAAAGCAACTTGACCAGCTTAATGTAACCGGGGAAAGGCATCTGACGGTAGCTGGCCGCTGAATATCTTGGAGAGCCCCAAGAGAGGGCAGCTGAGGGTGGAGAAGAAATGGAGGGTGGGAGAAAGGAAAAAAGAACTGGTGGTGGAGGAGTGAATATCTTGTATGAGCATGAAAAAGGAGTTGGGAGCCCGGGTGTGGTTGTAGTAATAAGGAGAGAGTGTTTCGGGGAGGGATGAAGATAGGACTTGTTCAGAGAGCCACAAGGGCGCTGTGGGGCTAAAGTAGAGGGAGATGAGGTTTTTGGGGAAGGGAGAATGCAGAGCAAAGCAGAGCAGTCATGCCTTGAGCTTTGCTGGAGCCTAGCAGGGGAGAAATGCCCAAGAAGTACTGTGGTTACCACACTGGTAAGTCAGCCGTCGTGGGCAGAGCTCTTGTGAACAGGGCTTCTTTAGAATGCAGAATGAGGCTTCTTGACAGCAGCACGTACAGGGAAGAAGTATCTGAAATATACTCGGAGTCGAGAGTGGATTTCATTGCTCTTTATTCAGCTCATAGTGGGAGGAGGAATGAAAGTTCTCCCAAAGTATCTGCTTTATATATATTCTTTACACAATGGGCTGCACATGCTTGGCTAATTCCGGAATTCTCCTGTAGGCCAATCAGGTTGCAGATTCACTTCCACCTGGAGCTGGATTGGGTGGCTCCTGCAGACCAATCATACTGCTGCATTGTTCTAGGACCAATCAGACTGCTGCATTCTGAATCCTATTTTTCTAGGACCAATCAGACTGCTGCATTTTGGATCCTATTGTTCTAGGACCAATCAGACTGCTGCATTTTGGATCCTATTCAACTCAGTACATAACAGTATCCCTGATCACCATAGATGGGAAGGAGTTCAGAATGGGGAGCAGCTCAGTGGGCAAGCCTCTGTTTTGCATGAAGAAGGTGCCATGTTCAGTCCCCAGAATCTCCTGGTAAGGCTGGGAAAGCCTCCTTTCCAAAATCCTTGAGTGCCACTGCACTCTTGCCCCTATAGATGACGCTGAGCTAGATGGGCTGATTTCCTGTGTTCCTATTGTGGCTTAGCAGGGATGGAACACACACCTCCCGGGTCCCAATCCTGTATTGTTGCCCGATGCACCTAACCTCTGCCCCTTGTGGACTGATCTTACCCTCCTCTCCAACCCAGCTCCATCCACCTGTGCAACAACTCCATCCAGAAGCACTACGAGAACTCGTTGAACCGCCACTCTGAGCTCCCCCGCGACAACATGTGGTCGTCCGAGCAGTTCCAGGCCCACCTGCGACAGATGGGAGCCCCCGAGGCGTGGTCCACAGTGATTGTGCCCGGCATGAAGGCCGCGATCATTCACGCCATGCAGACCTCGCAGGACTTGGTGGAATTCCGCAAAAACAGCTTTGAGCTCTACGGCGCAGACTTCCTCTTTGGAGAAGATTACCAGCCGTGGCTGATTGAGATCAATGCCAGCCCCACCATGGCAGCCTCCACTGCCATCACTACCCGCCTTTGCGCCAGCGTGCAGGAGGACACCTTGCGTGTGGTCATCGATCGCAAGTACGACCGCAACTGCAACACGGGAGATTTTGAGCTCATCTACAAACAGGTTAGTGCACAGGGCCCAGCTGCCTTAGCCTCAGGGACTGGGATTAGCTGCTTGGATAAAGCATCTCCCCAGTCTGCCTTATTTGCCTTGCACTGGCTCTGCCCCCCTTTCCTTTGGGTTCTTGCTCTGCCACCATCTGGTGGCCTTCAATGCAGATGGCTCATCCTTTCTGCACTGAGGGTTTGCAGGCTGATTAGGTGCCTGAGGAGCCAGCTGGCAGGAATGGCCAACAGAAAGCTAAGGGCGCTCATTCAGAGCTGTCTCCAGTGCCTCATGGAATGGGACAGGACCTCAAAGCAGGCCTGAGTTTCTTCTCTATGGAGTGTGCCTTGATTGGTTGGGAGGTGGCACCACACACAGACTTCTCCTTTCTTCCTATATATATAGAAACCTAAGGCTGTTGTCATGCTTTGCAGTTCACGTGGCCACCAGGAGGTGACCATGCCAACTCCAGTATGACGAACACAGGCAGGAGAGCAAGGAAGCACTGCTGGTGGCAGCTCAGGAAGGAAGGAGAGGCACTTCACAGAGCGGTTTAGCAAGCTGTTATGAAGCATCTCTTGCCCTCTGTTGAAAGGCGTTTGGGGTTGGGATGCACTGTGAGGGGAGGAGCAGTGTAAAGAGAGTGGGGCTTGGTCAGGTGTGGAAGAAGGGCAGCTGGCAAAGGGGTTGGTGGACAGGCCGGGTGAGTGGAGTTGCTAGTCTAGTTGCTAGTCCAACCCCCTGCAGTGCAGAAATCTCATGCTCTTCCTACTGAGCCTTCCAGATTGGAAGCAGACACTGTTCTGAATGCACCTCCTGCAGAACTGCAGTGGATGGTCTCCTCTGGGTCATTCTGGTGTGGCTTTGCATCAGGTGGAGTTGGATCATTCCTACACTCTGGTGCAGAAACGCTCCAGAATTACCTATTCCTGGAGGGGGCTTATGGGAAGGAGCATCACAGAACCCTTTTTAACAATTCGGTTTTTTGAAAGCACCCTAGTGGTTCTCTGGAGACACGCTGTAGCATGTATGCAGGCACAATTTAGGAACAGCTTCTTTGGGCCTCCTCTGCACCAGACACAGATGGATCCTGGGGACCATTTCTGCTTGATAACAACAACAACAACAATTTATTATTTATACCCATAGCTGTCAACTTTTCCCTTTTCTTGCAAAGTATCCTATTCGGAATAAGGGAATTTCCCTTACAAAAAGGGAAAAGTTGACAGCTATGTTTATACCCTGCCCATCTGGCTGAGTTTCCCCAGCCACTCTGGGCGGCTCCCAACAGAATATTAAAAACACAATAAAACATCAAACATTAACAACTTCCCTAAACAGGGCTGCCTTCAGATGTCTTCTAAAAGCTAGATAGTTGTTGTATTTCCTTGACATCTGATGGGAGGATGTTCCACAGGGCGGGCACCACTATCGAGAAGGCCCTCTGCCTGGTTCCCTGTAACCTCTCTTCTCGCAGTGAGGGAACCACCAGAAGGCCCTCGGAGCTGGACCTCAGTGTCCAGTGATGAAACCATATCCCCGAAGCCCCGTCTCAGGATATCTCTCCAGCCTTGTGGCAGCTTTGCAAGCCAGGGCCGACGAGAATCCCTGCTGCCCTGCCCCTCTGAGCTCGAGGGGTGCTCAGCAGCCTCACCCTGTTTCCCTCATCTCCCCACAGGCAGCTGTGGAAATCCCTCAGTACGTTGGCACTAGCCTTTTGGTAGAAGGCTCCACCGTCAAGAGGCCTCCGCTCCAGAGAAGCCCCGTGCCCAGCGACGCCAGGAACAGCAGTGGGCTGCAGCCACCCAAGCCCAAGCTGATTTACCGGCGCAGTAACCAGGATACTCCACGAGCCCCCACCCCGTGCTGGGCGTCCGCCAACGGCAAGGCGACCGAGCCTGCGGCTCCTGGGAAGGAGAACAAAGCCCGGGAGAAGGCGCCCGGCAGCAAGGTCCCCGATTCGACGTCCGCAAGGTTCAAGCTGCCCAGCAAGCTCAACGTAGACCCCCGCAACCGGAAAGTGCTGATGGCCCATGGCATGGCTACCACCACGGTCGTCCCGGGGGGCAAGTTGTCCGGCCCGGCTCAGCTCTGTGCCACGTCCAGCTCCCAGAGCCTAGCTCCCCAGGAGACCGCCCTCCACCAGGCCAAGGATCCCAAAGGCGCCGTCGCGGTGGCTCCGGTGCCCAGCAAGGCAGCCCCGATGCCAGGTAGGGAGCTGTGGCTGAAGATGCGGTCGCAGGAAATGGGTTCTCTCCCCCTCTCTCCTGACCTGGCGGCCTCTCGCGCTCCCTTCTCTGCCACCCACCCCGTGAGGCTCAGGGTGCAGCAGCACCTGCGGAACTTGATGCACAGCATACCTGTGCCCCCAAATCCCCCGTCCCCCCCGGGCATGGATTTAGCTTCGGCCACCGAACTCACTGCCATCAGAGCGTCTATGATCAGGAGGCGGCAGCAGAGGGAGGGCAGGAGCCCCCATTGACCCAGGAGCAGCCCTCGTTCGGGGCTTGTCGCCGCAGGCAGGAATCATGCTACATATATATAAATAGATATATATATTTATAGGGTCTGGGCAGCACTTCTCAACGTGGGGTTGTATGGAGAGGGAATCATGTTTTCTTAAGAGCTAGACTCTCCATTCCAATAAAGGACTTTAAAGGAACGTTGGCCACAGTGTGTGATGGCAGGGAGTGGGCCAGAGGAGGAGGTCGGATGAACCGCCTTTGGCATTTGTGTGGAGGGCAAAACTAAGGCTCCGTTTGCTAGGGGCAAGGCGGGCAGGGAAGTGCTAGGAGTCAAGAGCAACGCAGGGACTAAGGGAGGTGGAGAGAAACCATGATACAAAGGGAAGAACTTTGTATCCTGGTTCTCAGAACCTTCTTTGCCTCTCGGGTGTCCTTGGAATCAAACAGTTTCCCACGAGTGTACAGTGGTACCTTGGAAGTCAAACAGAATCCGTTCTGGAAGTCCGTTCGACTTCCAAAACATTCAGAAACCAAAGCGTGGCAGCCAATCAGAAGCCCCATCGGACGTTCAGGTTCCAAAGAACATTTGCAAAGCAGAACACTCACTTCTGGGTTTCTGGTGTTTGGGAGCCATAATGTCCGAGTACCAAGGCGTTTGGGATCTAAGGTACGACTGTATTTAGGATCATTTGCCTTCTTTGAAATGGATGTTTTGGGACGGGCCATACCCACAATGGCAGCCATTTGGCAAATGGGTCCTCCCCTTACCCCCCTGTCGGCAGCCATCTTGTTTCTTTCTCAGTACATTCCCAATGTGCCCCCCAGAACCCAAAAGTTGGCGACCCCTGATGTAGGGATTGCTTGGTTCCAAGCCCACTGGAACAGAGCGGGCTGAATCTCAGACAGAGGAAATTATGTGACTCGAGAGATCAGAAGCATGTGGGATTTAGGCAAGGAGGTCCAAAAGGCTAGCCTATGGGCATGCAAGCAGGTTGCCCAAACAGCCAGTTGAACAACCCTGCCTTGTGATCCACAGCCAAGCTCTGCAGTATACGACATATACTCCTCCCAAGTCTCTGCCTGGCTAGCCGTCCTCCCTACCTTGCTACTGATTTGTCTGCTACTGTGCTGTTGTTTTTGTCCCTGCCATTTGGGTGGCATTGTGAAACAACGGAGGAGGAGGAGGAGTGGTACTTGACTCCCCTCCTCCCTGTGGTTCTTTGTCTTCATTCTCAATGCATCAGCACACTTCTTGCCCGTTCGTCAAACTTTTATGGTCAAGGAACCACCCATCTGGTTGAATTTAGTAGGAATGTACAACAGTATATACCAAATATTTCTTCAAGGACTGAAGCAGAATGCATGAATAAGCCACTGACTAGCAAAATTCAGGTGACCAAACTGAGGTGGTATGGGAACAGAATGCTGAACTTAGATGGGCCCCGATCCAGCAGGCTCCTCTTGTGTTCATAAGCTAAGCACGGGTGCAAGGTATTCCATTAACATGATCCTAAATATCATTCATGGTTAGGGATGCTCTTTAATGCAAAAAAAAATAAAAAAATAAAAATAAAGCTGGCCCTTTTCACTCTAATGAAATTCCTTATCATCACAATGGACTCCTGCTTCTGAATTCTCCCCCCAGCATATCCTTCTTGAGGCATTCATTGTTTTTGTGTGTTACAATCATGAAAGATACATGCAAGCCCCTCTCCCTGCTGGAAGTCACAGTCCTCTTATCAATAGCCCTCCATGAGTTAAAGGATATTTTCCAGAAGCAGGCAGTTCGCCATATAAAAACTGGGGGTTGTATTAAACTTTTACTTAAAAGTTGGGCTGGATCCAACTAAGTAGCTCTGCTATTGATAGCCAGTGCAAGGACTCCGGCTAGCACATTGGGACTCCCCCCACAACCCTCCCCCAGCAAAATCAGCTGGGGGTGTGTTTGGTTGGGACCACCCCAGAACAGCACATGGGGGGGGGGGGAGTCATTCTGTCAAGCAAACAGAAATGTTTGCACTTCCAAAAGGTTTGTTTTAGCGTGATGTTGAATTCCTCCCATTGAAATTAATGGCCATTGCTAATGTAGGTCCGTTAATTTCAATGGATCCACTCTGAGTATAATTGAGTATAACGCACAGAACTGGAATGTACTGGAAAGGGTAGAGTTTGCCATTGGGCCCTCGTAGCCTCTTAAAATAATCGGTCAAATAGGTTTTGTGCCTCCGAGGCCATTGTAGGCTTGCCAGTCTTCTTTAAAAATACCCTTTGCCTTTAACACTTGTATGATGGACTGAATCCAACAGGTGAAACTTGCCTTGTCACTGAATTTCCATTCCAAGGGAATGCCTGTGTCTTTAACAGTTGCATGACAGGCCAGAACTGATAACAGTATACAGCACTGGTGTGTACAAAGTACACACCCACTATTCTTCATGTGCACAACAGAGAGGTGTGAGCAGACCTGGAACACAGGGGAATGTTAAGGTTTGCAAACATGCAAAAAATTATATATGTAGCTTTGCTCAGCCCATAAAACACCATGGAGACAGTTGGACTCTCTCGTTTTCATCAGACGCCAGCCTCCTTCAAAGCTCTTGCCAAAAGTATTGCTTCCTTTCACCGTGTGTTGTGCATTTAAGCTCATTAGTGGCCTAGATTCGAGGCAATTCATCCCTGAGGAGGGCTCAAGGCTCACAGGTTGAGATGAGTGTGTCTTTCAGCCCACAGGTTCTCAGTCAGGTGCCTGTCCACTGTGGTGGGCCTCTTCCATGGTGTATATGGTATGTTGTGGCATGTCCATGTCTCCCTGCATTGACTGCTGCTTCTTGAGCCTTGGCTTTGGGGCCTGCGAGTGGCTGTTGGGGTTAAAGTGCCGTGAGTTTTGCATGGGCTCGTTTCTTCCCTTCCTTTCCCCTGCTGTTGCAAAAGGAGCTGGGCCAGGGCTTTCCTCTCATTTTGGAGGCCGTTGCACAATTCTGTTTTGGGTTGTTGTTGTTTTTGCTTTCTGCCAATGGCTAAAAAGCGGCCATCCGTCTGCGCGGAAGGGGCGCTCTTTTTAGAACGTTTTAGAGCTTTCCGGGGTCTCTCAGCATCAAGGCAACGTGCTCTATTATTGGTTCCTCCCCAGGCCTGGCTGCAATTCACAAGCTCCCCCGCCTCTTCTGCAACGGAAAGGCCATGGCAAGTTGGCAAGTGCTGTGCGGCTCCAGAGCTGGGCCTCGGCGGCGGCTTCCCAGAACTCCCAAATTCTTCTACCGCAAGGTGGTCATCTCATGCCAGGCTCAGGTATACACCGAGTCCCTGAGTGCTCACGGGACCACACTCCTGCCCCGAGAAGCCCCACTGACCAGCATCGCCCCTCTCTGCCTGCTTCCTTCTGCATCTCCATCCTTGGAGGCTGTCGAAAGCTGCTTCCCTCTGTAGAACACATCTTGCAGCTTTGAGCAGGAGCCAAGAGGTCACCCCACACACCCCACACCTCCTCTTTGGACATGCTTCCCCCCTCCCAGTCCAGTAACCACTGATCCTTCCCTCACCCATATGTCTAGGATGTGCAACACCTGCCACCCCAGGTACCAGCTTTTGAAAATCAGATGTCTGTATTGCCTCCAGTGGGGGAAAAAGGAGACTATGAAACCACATGCAATAACTCCGCCGCGGCAGGCGACTCGATGCCGTCGGGCTTGGTAAAAATTTGAGGAGGAACTCTGGGAGAGTTGCACGTAGAAATCCACTTTGGGCTTGGAACTTTGAGAAGACCTCTAGTGGGTCGTGCGGCGCCCGAATCAATTGTCTATAGATTCTAAAGACGACCGGGTCTCTCTTCTGCTTCCCCGAAACAACCGCCAGGCTGCAGAATTAGGTTGCTCCTAGGCTCTTCCCCATCACACGATTGATAACTTTTGGAAATCTTCCAACCATTGATGTGAAAAATGGAGCACCCTGGGAGACCCAGCAGAAGGCGAGAGTTGCAAAGCCATGGAGAAAGAAGATCAAAACTGCTGAGAGCAAAAGAGACCCATTAGGTCATTGGAGGGCTCTATCTCACATGCTAAAACAAAGAACCATGCTTGCTGCCCTCTGCCTTTGTCAGTCCTTAACCCAGGGATCAGCATCCGGTGTGTCCGGAGCACAACAGGGCTCCCTGAATCTGACCACTAACCAGCGCCCACGGCTGCCTATTCGGAGGCAAGAGTATATGTGCAGAGGAATTTAAGGTTCACGAAGCTGGGGGACAGCTAGGTACCATCTATCATGTCCTCAAAATAGCTTCCCAGTAAATACTAATTGCTAACCAGGGCATTAAACATGGATGATAACCTGGCCAGCTTTTAAGTAACCAGCCTGTAAATGCACAATTGTCTCTGACAATGAGAGATTCGGTGTAAAAATAGGTGGTGGAGAAACAAGAGAAATATTGGCTTTAATACCAGTACAGTCGTACCTTGGAAGTTGAACGGAATCCGTTCCGGAAGTCGGTTCGACTTCCAAAGCGCGGCTTCTGATTGGCTGCAGGAGCGTCCTGCAGACAATCGGAAGCCGCGCCAGATGTTCGGCTTCTGAAAATCGTTCGAAAACCGGAACAATCACTTCCAGGTTTTCGATTGTTCGGGAGCCGAAACGTTCGAGTTCAAAGGCATTCAGCTTCCGAGGTTCCACTGTATAGGAATTTCCAGTGCTATTTTTCTAGAAAAAAGAGGTGCCGGAACTTACCATGAATGCCTCCATTGTTCTCTTAGAAAGGCAATGGTGAGAGGTGCTGGAACCAGGTTCCAGCGAGTTCATGCTGAAAAAAAGCCCTGAAAATTTCTTTGGAAATTTCTTTAAAAAAGGCTTCTAGGAACGGATGCTGGGTGCTGGGTTATGTTTTTAGCATTTAAATACATACATTTTGTGTGAAATTACTGATCTAGGGCACAGGTTCCCATAGGCCCCATTATAAAAGTAATAATCTTGCAGTAGGTTTCAGGTAAGATTGTCAATTGTGACTCTTCCAACACCAGTGGTGCTCGTGTGATTTTTACAGCTACCAGACCATCAAATTCAGCAGATGGTACTCCCGTCCCCCAATCAGTGAAATTTAAAAAACAAAAATGAGCTCTGCTGGATCATACCAAAGGCCTGTCTAGTCCAGCATTCTGTTCTCACTGTGGCAAACCAGTTGCCACCAACCCAAACAAGACACGAGGGCAACAGCCCATCTCCAGCTTGCAGTCAGTGGCAACTGGTACTCAGAGACACAGAGCTAGCGAGACCATCCATCAATTTGTCTCATCACATTAATCCAGAGAAACTTTCTCCTCTTGAATTCTTGCTAGTCAGACAGGGTGGGGGGAGGCAAACCCAACCTTTGGCTAAAAGATGCTCTGTTTAACATACCAGGTTTTGGAAATTCTTCCCTGACAGAAGGCAGAAACAAGAGAGATAGTCATAATTTGTGTGTCGAGTCTACTGTGGAAGCAAGCACCGCATTTCAGACAAATGTACAGGCCTCTTGTTCCTTACGTTTGCACTAGGCGTTAGATCGGTACAGCACCGCCTGGTTGGTTCTTGTGTAGATTAGCAAAACCGCCACCCTACATTTTTAGAGCAATCAAACTGCTGCATTAGCCACACCAAAGTGGTTTCCCTGGGGTACAAGCCTGGGCAGTGAATATGGAGGTTCTGGGCTGCCAGACAAACAGGACTCCATCCTTGGCCACGCTGATGCGTTCCAAAGGAAAGCAGAGCCGTACATTGGCACCAGCTTGGCTGCAAGAGTTACCAGAAGGTGTTGTACAAGGCACCACCCAACCCACTTAGGGACTTCACTCTGGATTTGTGTAGGGTTTACTCCTTAGCCTTTTCTTCTCCTAAAGATATCCCGCCAGGCAGAGGTGGTTTAGGTTCAGTGTTTTCCTTCTCCTAGATGGGCTGCCTTCAGGGTTCAAGAACAACCCCACCCAAGAGAACAGAGGCTCTTCTGGGCTGCCAATAGCAGCCTGAATCTTTTTTTAAAAAAAATAAATAAATCCTGGCTGTAGAAAAAGGAAATAGCTATTTTATAGGATTAGGAGGCATTTCATACTTGGCTTGGCGGTGCAGAGAGGGCAATATGCTTCTCTACTGATGCCCTGCCTTCTTTCCTCTCCGCTCATAAAACTCTCTGGCCAGTCTTTGCTTCACTTCCTGAAATTCAGTTCCCCGCGTGGTTTTTTAGAGTCACACTGGGGCATTAACAAGGAGGCAAAATTCAGGACTGTTATCTTTATATATAAAAATCATGGTGAGCGTACTGCTAGTGAAATTTGAGGTGTGGATTTGGGACTGGGTCCAGCCTTTGTTCTTCCTGTGCACCCCACCTGAACTTACCGTAGCTCCTGCTTTTGTTCCCTCCTTCCTCTCCACAAAACATTGCTGCCACCTCCACAATCTCCTTACCCTGCCACCAGGCTTTAGGAGCAACAAAATGGTGCCTGGCAGCTGGCGGATTCACATTCGTTTCTTCAGAGGGGATAAAACTGTTGGTGCCACCGTGACTCTTCTGTTCCGGAAAACGGGGCATTAACCCCCCCCCCTTCCGCTCCTGGAATTCCCAATGTCGGTTTTTACCCAATTAACTGTGTTCCAGGTTGCAGCCCAGTTACATTCGTCATATAGAACTCAGTGGGAAAATTCAAAGCCGGCTCTCTTTCCCTGCTGGGTTCTGCTAAATACAGTGCAACACAATTCTGGGAACTGACATGCGGAGGGAGGAAAAGCCAAGAGCGGCACTTCAGCCTATCACTCCCATGGCCAATGCAAAGCACCTGAAAGCTCATTAATTTACCGCGTAGTACCAATGCAGGCTTTGTTAAATGCCTGCCTTTGAGGGGGGTGGGGAATAGGTGTGTTAGATGGCTCGTGGATTCTGGGTGTATGTGCAAAAGGAAATGTTTTAATAACCACACAGTTTGAGTTTATAGATCCCATAGCCTTCTAGCAGGTCTCTCCCATGGTTTCAGCTCGAAGTGGCGCTAGAAATGAAGACATTAGTTCCTTGTTCTAGGAAAGGGGTGACTGATTCCAGCGGCTGCAGTCCATCAATTCACATCACAGTGGCCATGCCAGCTGGGCTCCAACATCGGGAGAGCCACAGATTCCCTGTTCTAGGACGTGGCTTGGCTCCTTATGGCCTCTCCTCCATGCTGAGGTTCCATCCTCCTGTATGAAGCTCTACACAACAGACCGCCTCTGCTCATGCCATGACGGTCTCAGTGAGCAGGTTTGGAGCAGCTGCTGGCTAGCATTGTTCTTGTATTAAAAGGAGATGGGAGAGAAAGGGAAGGAGACCACAGCTTAGTGGCAAAACATATGCTTGGCATGCAGAATGCCCCATGTTCAATCCCTAGCATTGCTAGTTAAGGGATTTCAAGTAGAAAGGTTGGGGTCAGATTTTTCTTGAGACCTTGAAGAGTCATTGACAGTCACCATAGTCAGTATTGGGCTAGATGAACAGATTTAGTTTGACTTTGAAATAAAGGAATCTTCCTATGAGAGTATTCTGGGTGGCTCTCCTCTGGAAATCCACCTGAATCTTACCACCTTCTGGAAGATTTTTTTTAAAAATTACTTTTATTATTCCATATATTTATCTAGGCTTTGGTTATCTAGTTGTGCCGTATCTTTTTGTTACAATACAAAAGCATGCTATAATTTGTTTTTACCTTGTTCTTACTCAAGCTTAAGGTTTTCATTTAAACAAACAAAAACACAGCCCTGTTCCCATACTTGCCAGCAGCCTGAGACAGAGTCATGTAGCACGTAAACCTTTTTCTCATATACAGAGGGGCAGGAAAAGCTCCATCTGTTATATTTCAATATGTCAGACGGCCATTAAAGCAAGCATGGGGAAATATGTGGTCCTCCAAATGTTATGACTTCAGCTCCCATAAGCCCCAGCCATAGTAGCCAATGGTTGAGGGTGATGGGAGCTGGAGTCTACCAAATTCTCCGGGGCCACAGATTCCTTCTCAACCCCACTGCTACTCCTGCCATTAAGGGGCAATGACAGTAAAAAAGCGAGTGGCAATTCCATCCACTCTCCAAACGCAATGATTAAAGGCAGGAAGTGGAAGCTTTGATGCATCTCTTTTGTTACTCATTGTTCCTAAACCACTGAAGAGAACCAAGAATACAAGTTTTGTGCAGTTGTGTTTGACATTTGTACAGCTTTCCTTGGCGAGTCTGTTTTTAAAAAAATATTCTTTACGTCGATGGTATCTTGCTGGTGGAGTGGGTTTGTGGATTGCAGTTTGTGAAAGAGAAATAAAACTTCTACCTTTGGAGTCTGATCTTTGTAGAATTCAGTTTTTCACGTTCTGATCAAAGGGGCTGGGGATTGATTTGTTTTCTTTAAAATGGAGGACACTGAGAAGTCTGTCATTTATACGGAATGGTAAAATCTGAAACTTGACCACGTTACAAAGAAACCACCAAACAGTCTTGGCAGGCTTTGCTTGTGCTAGTATGAGATTTTACTGGAATGGGAGTAAGGCTCATTTACGGCACCAGTGGTGCTCAGGGCCGTAGTGTAAGAGAAGAGAACATGTTCTTCATGCAGTAGAGACCAGGTTCAGCCTCTAACAACTCCAGGCTGAGCCCAGGAACACTTCTATCTGAAACCCTGCAAAGGCTCTGCCAGCCTCTGGGCACAATACTCAACTAGATGGACCAGTGATCTATCTGACTCTGTAAAAAGGAGCTTCCTAGACTCCAGTCTCTCCCTACTGCTGGCACTATTCCCTTCTTCAAAAAGAAGTACTTTGCTAATTTGTATTAATTATTATTATTATTATTATTAGGCTCTTCAAAAAGGATTTAAGGGTGATGTCATAACCCAAATGAGATAAAAAGGATGGTCCAAGTCCAACCAGAGGCTTTTCGAGCCATAATTTTCTACCAAGGGCTGATAAACTCCTCACTGGTTAAATGTACAAGTAGTCCCTTACCCAGGCCAAATACCAAAACCTTTAACATCACTTTGTAGTACCTGGAGTTTCCTCTCCCAACCCTTTAATGTATTTTTATTTTGCAGGGAAACCCTTGTCACATTTGAAAACGTTCTTTGATGCCTTAATGTATCTAAATGGCCCCTCTTGCTTTCCACTCCATGCATTAAGATTCTTCCATTCTGGCCTCTCTAGCTGACCAATAGGCCTGTAAACGTATCCCAGCGGTAGCATTTGTTTTATAGCTACATAGTGGACAACAGGGGAGATCACAGCCTGCTGCAGCCCTCCAGCACGAGACACAATCATGCACACAGCTAAGAAGTCTCTTTCCACTTCCTACACACACTTTGGCGATGCTCTGCTGCAGCCTGGCTCCAGATGGCAGCAAGCGCCAAAATGCAAGCAAGGCTGTGCACACGTTTTCCAGTCGCTCTTCTTCGTTCTTCCCAAAGCAGCCTAACTGCAGGTAGCACTCTTGACACTTACATGCTGCACAACAAACCATAAGCTGCATTCTTTTAACATGATTGGTGGGGATGGGTGGAACAAGGGGAGAGAGAGGAGGAGGAAAGGGGGGAAATTATGTAGTTCTTGATTTTGTTTGGGACAAATGCTGGCCTTTCCATCCTTTAAAGAAGAATAAGCTGTAGGTTTTTAAACAGCAATCCTCATTCTGAAGGAAGTAAACAATGCTTGTTTCCTATTATTAGTGTGTGTATGTTTGCCAACGGGACGCAGGTGGCACTGTGGGTTAAACCACAGAGCCTAGGACTTGCCGATCAGAAGGTCGGCAGTTCGAATCCCTGCGACGGGGTGAGCTCCCGTTGCTTGGTCCCTGCTCCTGCCAACTTAGCAGTTCAAAAGCACAAAGTGCAAGTAGATAAATAGGTACCGCTCCAGCGGGAAGGTAAACGGCGTTTCCGTGTGCTGCTCTGGTTCGCCAAAAGCGGCTTAGTCATGCTGGCCACATGACCCGGAAGCTGTACGCCGCAACCCCAGAGTCGGCCACAACTGGACCTAATGGTCAGGGGTCCCTTTACCTTTATGTCTGCCAACAAGAGCCCTGATTCTGCCTCTCGTAAGTTTCACTTGCTGCTGCTGCTAGAAAGCAGGAATCTCTGGCCCACGGCCCTTGCAGGAGACTGCTCTAGACCCCTCTGCAGCCACCCTCTTTAGAAGAAAAGGAAAAAGTGGCCAATTAATATGGTAGTGCCCAGGTCTGCAAACTCTCTCAAGTGGCCTGGACCTATGTGTATAACACAAAACTAGATTCACCCCACCTCATAAACATTCCTCTAGTCTGAACTCAGTTTGCACCTCTGCACCATAATACAGCCTGAAAACAGGATGAACTTGATGCCTGCAATCTTATGCCAGTTATCTCACTGCAGTAACTCAACAAGGCTCTCCGGTTACCCTGTTGACAGAAAGCCATTGTAAAGATAACCATCTGCCACTACTAAGAGCATTTGTTCCAACTCTATGCCTCTTGCCCTAAGTTAAACGGCACCAGTCCAGCGGTTATCAAATCAATCTTACTACTAAATTACTAGGCATGAAAACAAGGAAGGTACACCTTTATCGGATCAATTCGTATCAGCAGAGAAGAGGACAAGCTTTCAGATCACACAAAGCCGCTTCAGATAAGACGGGAGGAGGAGCTGGCTGCCAGCTGTAGAAAACATTTTAAACCAGCATTACAACTAAAACCTTGCACACTCATGCCCCCACATCCTGGCATCATGGATAATGCCAGCTGGTGACTGGGGTGGGGGTGGGGCCTCCTCAGCAGTGGCACCTTGCTTATGGGACCCTCTGTCCAGGGAGGCTCCCATGACGCCTGCCCTTCAGTCTGTCCATCACTCGGGGAAAGCCTTTGTCTTTTCCCCAGGCTTTCCTTAAAACAGATTTTTATAAATTGCTGCCACTTTGGAAGCTGCGTTTTCATCTTATTGCCATTTAGTTATTTATTTAATCACATAAAAGTTACCCTGAGAATATTTATATGGAAGGGTGGCCTGGACGGTTTTAAAAATCACTCTCAGTTCAATAGAAGACACAGAATAAGCAAAGGGATCCTTATCTGAAACCCATTCAGCAACAGCTGTTTATGCTTAAAGGTTCTGATTTTATATATATATATACAGTGGTACCTCGGTTTACGAACTTAATCCGTTCCGGAAGTCCGTTCTTAAACCAAATTGGTTCTTAAACCGAGGCACGCTTTCCCTAATGAGGCCTCCCACTGCCGGTGCCCTTCCACCGTTCGGCTTCCGTTGTTAGACCGAGGTAAAGTTCGCAAACCAGGACACTACTTCCAGTTTTGTGGAGTACGTAAACCGAATAGTTCGTAAACAGGGCTGTTCTTAAACCGAGGTACCACTATATATGTGTGTGTGTGTGTGTGTAGAAAAGCAATAGTGAAAAGTCAAAGCACATTTTTTTCATTAGTCATTTGTGTTTCATAGATATACGGATTAAAGGAGAGAATCCTACGCTGCTTTACCCCCCAGAAGAGTGCCATTATCTTGAGTGCCAGAGGCAACCATTGGCAAGCAATTGCTTAGTGCTGCAAGGAGCATAAGCCACACAGCATGAGGAGCGCATGCATCCCATTGGAGTTAATGGGACTGCAACACTCCCGCCGATTTCAGTAGGAGTTGGGTGTGCCTAAGCTTTTTCCGGCCTGGACCTCAAGCCAGCCACTGACTCGCGTTGCCATGGCGCAACCATGTGTACACAATTGGCCTGCTGGTTCAGAGCCTGTGGAGGCTGCATTTATCAGGGCAAATTTACCCAGGTTTCCCTCGCTGCTACCTTCGTTGCTGCACGGCACAAAGAGTTCCAAAAATTGCTTTTGCTGCCCTGTTAAGACCGCAGGAGGTATAAAGGAAGCCTCTCCCTTTCACGTCCTTCAGCAGCAGCTCTGTGAGCATCCGGCCAGTAGGAGACGAGACGCTTCTACCCGCAGCAAGAACCTGGCAGAGACCTGCTTCTGGCTGTCAAAAGCCATCACTTCCACTTGACCAGGGCAGGCGGTACCTGCTGAGCTGAGGCAAACGCTTCGGATGCCTTGTCACTGCTTGTTTTTGTCCTGCGGCAAGGCGAGGCCCAGAAGACGAAGGGTCTTCAGGAAAAAAGGTGGCGGAGGAGCCGTGAGCACAGTGCGGGAGGAAGGGGAGCCGGCGGCCGGGAGAAGGAGCTGGTGCAGGTGCAGGTGGAGAGGCAATCGGTGCGCCAGTTGCTGCTGCAGGCGCAGCTTCTTCAGCAAAGCATCTTCTAGGACCTGTCAAGAGGGTGGGAGGGGAAGGCGTCATCATTACAACTTTCTACAGGAAAGTGCGTAACAGTCATTATTATACTTTGGGGGCGGGGAGCTTTTTGTCTAGCCCAGGCTTCCTCCAACTCGGCCCACCGTATGTTTTTGGCCTACAACTCCCATCATCCCCAAGCTAGCAGGACCAGTGGTCAGGGACGATGGGAATTGTAGTCTCAAAACATCTGGAGCGCCAAGGTTGAGGAAGCCTGCTCTAGCCCAAGAGAGGGCGCCAAGTCTCATTTTTATCCTTGCCAAGCTTGGACGGTTCATTACAGAATAGTGACTTCTTTGCTGAGCAGGACCTGGAGCTTGGAAGGTTCTCATGTCCAAGCACAGTAGGAAGATCAAGTGAGCTCCAAATCAGATGTGGTGTGGAAGATCTTACAGTCTGGTTCTCTCTTTGATTTTTTTTTTTTTTTAAATACCTTTACACCACCCCCATTCAGTTGCTTTGAAGTTCATTTTATTCTGTGAACCGCCCTGAGATCTTATGAAGGGCAGTATATATATCAAATAAATAAATAAGGAATTAGACCTGTGTGGTACCCGTCTGCCCCTGTTAAGTTAGTAACAGCTTGGGGAGTTGCGAGGTCTGGGGGGAAAGCATGGAAGCAAAGAGTTCATTTTGTTTTATTTAATAGATTTTTATACCGCTCTTCAAGGATCACAGGGTGGTTTACAATAAATAATAATAATAATAATGCATACCATCCTAATAAACAAAAAGGAGGCCCTACTCCAGGCATGTCCCTGCCACCAGAAGTTAGGAGGGAGCTGGAGCAATGGAGCAGTTAGAGTGTTTGACTAGGATTGGGGAGAAACAGATTCGTTTCCATTGGGCCCCATTTTACAAGGAAAGGCTCCTGCAGCACAAAGAGAAGTTGGAAGGCTGTAGCCAGGAATGTCAGCTACTTGTATGGCCATAAAGCAGAGATGAGGAGCCACATGTTGTTGGACTCCCATCAGCCCCAGTCAGCACAGTCAATGGTCAGGGATGTTGGGAGCTGTACATCTGCAGGGCAAAAGGTTCCCCAATGGATGTAAAACTTGATTGCTGCTGCTATCTCCCAAGTGGTATAGCCTTGGGTTGTGGAGACATAGATTTGACTGTGCCAAGGCACTGCTCAGTCAGGTTCCTTCCTCCTATCCTGCTACATCGCTCTGTAGATCCCCGACACCAAGATAGGAGGCAGCATCAGAGCAGTTTGGTACCTGTGTGCGAGGCAGGGTACTCTCAGCTGGCAAGAGGAAGGGCTCCCCCAGGACAGACCCCACACAGGAGGAATACACGTGGTCCCCTAGCGCAGGGCTCAGCAGCAGTATCAGGCTGACCAGGAGTTGGTTAGTGAAGGCTGCCAAAAGGACAAAGGAGAGATGAATAGGGGGCCTCAGTGTAGACTTTCCCAACAATGCTTGGATTGGATCCTCGCAATCCAAGCTCTTTTAAAAACCCGAGTAAGACAAATGGACAGCGTCAAAAAACAAGAACTATGATAGCCTGATCTTGTACCCAAGGAACCCAGATTTCTGCAGTCCAAAATAAGGAAAGGAGGCAAAAGGGCAGAACCCTAGACTGCAGAGGTTTGCTCCGTATTACCGTAATTTGCAAAACAAAACACTTTAAATGTGCAAAAAGGGGGGGAAAGGGCAGGCAAGCATTTCTGGGGGGCAAGGCTAAGATGGTAAGAGGAAAGGAAGAGAAAGAGCCTTAAAATAAGAGAAGGAAAAGGGAAGGCAGAGAGGGACAGGGAAATCAACTGGTCATGAACACCCCATCGCCTAATTATAAAAGGACCTAACCCAGTTCCATTTGGCTTCCGGCCCGTCAAGTAAACAACTACGCAGTAATGTACAGGAGAGGTTTCTCTACAGTCATGAGAGCTAGAAACCTGATCAACTGTAAAAAGAAGAGGTGGCTAAGGGTTTGCTATCTCAGGTTCCAAAGTGTATGCTGGGCTACCTGGAGAGGTTTTTGATCAAAAAGTTTATACATTTTATAAATGGAAAAAATCTTGGGGGAGTAGCTGTAACTGAGGGAACTTGTGTCAGGTTCTCAGCTTGCTTTCCATATCACAGCGCCCCTTTCCAGTTATTCCTGCGACTGTCTCTGTGCCACGGGGCCTCCGTCACGCACCTGTCAGTGGCTGTAGCTGCACCAAGGCGCAGCCTTCGCGGGAGTCCAGCACCTTATAGAGTGTCTGTGTTTTTCTAACCTCCTTCCTCTGGAGGCTGCCTCGAGAAGGGGAAGCCACTGGCACCACCTGCAACCCACACAGAAGCCCGGAGTCAGTGTGTTTCCTGAGGGCCAATGGTAACTTCAGCAGCTAAAGTAATCCCTGCGCCCAGTCCAGGCAACCGGATCCCAGAGGAAGCGAGACCAAACTTTTCAGGCCCTGAAAGGACTCCACTGAACGAGCTGCCCGCAGCAGCAGGCAAATTCTCTAGAGTCAAATCCTCTCCTCCCTCCCTGTTAAAAACCTATCCTCACCAGCTTATGGTGTTCGACCTGTATCAGTTTGAGACATGTACGAATTTCCCCGTCCGAGGCTGCAGGGATCCTGGTAGTGACAGCACTGCAAAGAGAAGGTTTTCTGTCAGGCCACACACACACACCAAACTGGGCCTACAACGCTTTGAAGGAAATGGGGAAGGCAGAATGGGAACCTAAAGTCTTTTTGCTGAGGGATCCCCACCCTACCATGGAAACGGGAAGCGATTAGGAAGTCTTCATCTCACCAGTAGGTAGCGGCTGGATCTCCTGCTCTCCTACATCGGGCATAAAAATCCTGGAGGCGCTGGGTGGTGCTCGGGCAACCTGAGAGCAGAACAAGTCCAGAACTCTCCCTAGGGAGAGGCAAAATCCTTTATTATCTTTGATTCTCTGACACAGGCCATGAGTAAGTAATCCCGTGGACAGAATAGTGCCTTGCTTAAAACCATGCAAGGTGGCATCAATGGCCAAAGGTCACAACAGCTACAAGTTCCCGCCAGTATCTGAGGCTATTTTATATACCTCTGTCATGTCTCCCCACCCTGTTGTCCTTTTTTCCTTCTCCCCCTCGCAATAATTTTTATTAAGTTTTCTACAATTATAACAAATAGTGCAACAAACGTTGCACAACCATGAAACAAACCAAAGCAAAAACAAAAACAAAAAAATACATCTATGAAAAACAACAACAAACAAATATACAACACAAACTTAATTATTTAAAAATCCAACCTTATATTACTTGACTTCCTCTAGTCCCTCCCTTCTGAATTTCCTTGTGTCTGAATGTAACAGCTTTCCAATATCATTATTAAACAACAATATTCCAATTATAATCAAATTTATTCACTTTCCTTAGTGTTCTAAATCCCATTTATTTAAATAAATCCTAATTTAATCCTAGGCCTATTTGGTACTTTCAAGTAATTTCTAATTTTTAATATTACAATATTTATTCAAATAGTCCTTGACTGTTGCCCCTTTTTCTAAGCGAGTAATCTCCAAGTGTTATATAACCTCCCTTATAGGGAGTTGCTCCAGCCTCGCAATCTTTTGACTTCCAAGAGCCAATCACGAATCTTTCCACTAGCCCTTGGCAACCATTTTTATTTCATTTTTTGCAAACAGAAGTTCTGAAGTGAATTCAGAGCACACGATCATATCTGGAAAACTGGAGCTGTAGTACAGATCAGCCGTCTAACTTCTGTGCTATGGGTTCTCTTGCAATACAGCAGTTTAATCGGATTTTACTGAATGCCCTCTTGCTGATTATGTCAGGGCATGGTCTGGAGGTGCAGGATGGGAAGCTGAAGCAAAGTAGTATCTGGATGGGAGCACGTGCACGCTGCCTTAAGTTCTATGGTGGAAGAAAGGTGGGGTTAAAATCAATAACACCCATCCTGTACACAGCCTGTTGTCATTCTCTCCAAAACCTTGTCTCCGTTTACTTACTTTACTGCAGCTTTTATCACATCGAGGTTCTGTGGGAAGCCAAGCTTCTGGCTTAGATCCGGTAAAAGAGACAACAAAGTCAGCTCCCCCGGTTTGCCTGTCGTTGGCAGAGAAGGAGGGGAAAATTATTAATGCCACACAGAAGCTAGCCATTACTCACGGCTGCAAAGAAGAGGCTTGTTTTGGCAAAGGCTTGCCAGCCCTTCCCACCCTGGCCCAGCTTTACTTTGGGAGCTCAGTTATTTACTTATTATTTCACAAAATGTATATACCACTTGATTGTAGACAAAAAACCTCGAAGCAGTTTACAAAAAAAGATTTTAAAAATTATCACTAAAAAAATTTACAACAGTAATTTAAAACATACAGAAAGTTAAAAACATAATAGAATAAACTAAAACAAATTAAAACTCATACAAACTTTCTGAACATCTGGATAAAGGTAAAGGTAAAGGGACCCCTGACCATTAGGTCCAGTCATGTCCGACTGTGGGGTTGCGGCGCTCATCTCGCTTTATTGGCCTAGGGAGCCGGCCTACAGCTTCCGGGTCATGTGGCCAGCATGACTAAGCCGCTTCTGGCAAACCAGAGCAGCGCACGGAAACGCCATTTACCTTCCCACCGGAGTGGTACCTATTTATCTACTTGCACTTTGACATGCTTTCGAACTGCTAGGTTGGCAGGAGCAGGGACCGAGCAACGGGAGCTCACCCCGTCGCGGGGATTCAAACTGCCGACCTTCTGATTGGCAAGTACTATGCTCTGTAGTTTAACCCACAGCGCAACATCTGGATAGACTTGTCTAAACAAGAATGCCTCCAGCAGAATAGAGTGAAGGTGTCTGACTGATATCAACAGGCAGGGAGTTCCCAAGTGTCGGTGCCGCCACACGAAATGATCAAGTTCTGACAGATGCAGTGTGAATATTATGTGGCATCTATAAAAGTTCCAATTCTGCCAATCAAAGCAGTTCAGCGAGCACATGTGGGATAAGGCAATCTCACAGGTAAACTAGTCAAGCGTTGTTAAGGGCTTTATATACTAATAGTAACACCTTGAACTCAGCCTAGTAGTGGATCAGCAACCAGTGCAGACCTCTGAGTACAGGTGTTATATGCTGATAAGGCCTCCCTCCTGTCAGTAATTGCGCTGCAGCATTCTGCACTAACTGCCAAGCACAAGGGGAGGCCACATACAACACATATTTAATCTGTACACTACAGGCATATCTGTATGTATTTCTAAAGGCATTTCTATAATCCTGCATTTCCACTTTAAAAGGAAATGCCCAAGGGACGCAACCCCACAGGATCCAAACACATCAAAATGTAACGCCACATACCTGTCACAGGTAAGCCAGGGGGTTTGCTGATGGCCACCAGTGAACCTGAAATACAAAAGAACCAGGAGCCTCAGGGACAAATGGTGATTGCTGGAGTCTTCAAAACAACTCCAACACATGTCAACAACCTCTGCCACAATGCAGAATCGAAAGGAGGCTCTGGGTGGAATTTTCCATGCTCGGGGAAAGGGGCTTCTTGTATAAGCAGAAATCCCTGTTCCTCTCCACCATCTCTATATTTCCTTTCCCTTTCAAATGTATGCCCCCTTCTCCCCAACAACTTTTTTTTGATAGCAGCATTCTAAACAAAAGACACCAAATTCAGAGGGATCGGGACAGGGCTGTGGAGAGAGAGAATACATAAACACACAAAGGTGTGCTACGCAAGCTACATTCTGCACACTTTCAGCCTAAGCAGAATGGGGATCTACTGCAAGTTTCACAATCCTCCACTAGAGCAGCCAAGGCTAATAGGCCAGTTTTTACTCTCAATGTTTTTTCCCATTCGCTTCTACCAGGTCTATACAATTAGGAAGAATGCAGTTCACTAACCATGTATGGCAGACCAACAGAGGATCTATACACCTATTTTTACTGCCTGTACCTTGCTTGGGCTGAAAACCCAGCAGAAGTTGTCAAGTGCAGTATCTGGAAAGCCATCATACATGGCTTGAGAGCTGCATTCAGCTTGGTGAGCACAAGTTGTGCAGGCAGGTCTGAATTACAACACTCTAGGGCTAAGCTATGTGAAACTGCGTCTTCACCCACCCCACTAGAATACTAAATCTGTCCCAATTTGTCCACATCCTTCTTAAAATGCAGCACCCCAAACCAGACACAGTACAGTCGTCCCTTGGAAGTCAAACAGAATCCGTTCCGGAAGTCTGTTCAATTTCCAAAACATTGGCTGCAGGACATTCGGGTTCCAAAAGAACGTTCACAAACCAGAACAATCACTTCTGGGTTTGCAGCATTCGGGAGCCAAAGCATCTGAGTTCCAGGCTGTTCAGGATCCAAGGTACGACTGTATTCCAGTTGAGGTCTGATTTGTGCAGAATGAACGGGAACAATTACTTCCAGCAAGTTAGAAATTATGGTTCTATTAATGCATCCTCAAATCTTATTAGCCTTCCTTGCAGCTGCATCACACTTACTGATTCATGTGCTGCTTGTGGTAATAATAATAATAATAATAATAATTTATTATTTATACCCCGCCCATCTGGCTGAGTCTCCCCAGCCACTCTGGGCAGCTCCCAATCACATGTTAAAAACAGTACAGCATTAAATCTGAAGGCTGCCTTCAGATGTCTTTTAAAGATAGGATAACTGCTTATTTCCTTCACATCTGAAGGGAGGGTTTCCACAGGGTGGGCGCCACTATCGAGAAGGCCCTCTGTCTGGTTCCCTGTAACCTCACTTCTTGCAGGGAGGGAACCACCAGAAGGCCCTCGGTGCTGGACCTCAGTGTCCGGGCAGAACGATGGGGGTGGAGACACTCCTTCAGGTATACTGGGCTGAGGCCGTTTAGGGCTTTAAAGGTCAGCACCAACACTTTGAATTGTGCTCGGAAACGTACTGGGAGCCAATGCAGATCTCTCGGGACTGGTGTTATGTGGTCCCGGTGACCACTCCCAGTCACCAATCTAGCTGCCGCATTCTGGATTAAGGCTACAATCCCAAGATCCTTTTCACATGTCCTTCTGGTGTTATGAGAAATGACAGACATACCATCTGCATGCACTACTGATGTTTCCAGCAGGTTCAACGTTTCCTCGGGGCTGAGTGATCTTGTGGGACTCAAGATGCTTACTTCACTGGAGTTGTCTGTGACTGGCTTCCGTGAGCCTCTTTGCTTCTGCAGCAACTGATACCTACAAAATAAGAAACCGTAAATAATCACCAATATATAGCCAGCTGGCCTTAAGCTCCATACTTTCCTCTCCCATTCTGACACTGGCTCCTTCTACACACAGCTTGCCTGCCACTCTTAACTTCCTCTAACAATACATAAATATTGATCTGGATTTATATCTTGCATCTATGAGAGAAGCTGCTAACAACAGCTTTGGATTATATAATGGGTCTGCCCATCAAGGGGCTCAGAATACAGAGTGATCAAGTAAATGAGTGTACGCGGAGGGAGAAAAACAAAATCGGAATATGTATGTAGAGAATTGGTTAGTCTGATTATGGGCAACAGCCAGCAGAAGGGACCCTAGGGAGCCAGTTTTAAAACAGATGTTAATGATGGTGTTCTTCTACGCCTCCATCTCTCTCACAGGGTAGTTGTAACATCAGAAAGGAGACACACTAGCTCTCTAAATCTAACTGAAATCAGTAAGACACTCAAATGAGCACATTTAGGGCCAGTGGGGAGAGAGGGCTTATTATCTACCACGCAACACTTTTCACAAACTCGACCCCTATCCAACCAGATCTCAAACACCTTCTGATTCCCTCCCCCCCTCTCAAATATCTCCCTTCACTCGCACCCAGTGCCATCCAATATTCTCTCCACCACCTCACTCAACAGCCTCTCCCCACGTTCCCAACTCGTCAGTCAAACCACCCGCAGGGTTTTTGTGGGGCAAAAGTGGCTCAATGTTGCATTTTAAAAAATCAAAAACCCATTACCTACTTTAGATCTCCTACCTCCTAATACCAGGTTGCACTTACTGATTAAAGCAAAAGGCACTCTGCACGTGCTTGGAGACGTGTTTTTTTTCTCTATCCATACTTTTCAGAATTAGACCTTAACACTAGAAGTAGGTTATTGGGGCTAAGCCCCAAAGGAACCCTGGCTCAACCCTGTACACCTCTGTCCATTTCACAGGATGCTGGTGCGTCAAGGAAGAGTCAGGAGCTTCCTTCCAGTAACTTAAATCTGTATCCAGAAGAAACGTCTGGACCTCATTATCATTGCAGCCACCTTTTGTTTCTAGCTTTGGAAGCTCAACAGGTGATGCCTCCCTCCTATCACTTACATCCCCTGTGTTGGGGGACGACGACCAAACCACCCCTGTTGAATTTCTGCCTGGCACAGGCTGAGAGGTGGCTGGCCGAAGAGAGTGGGATACACGGGGGCGGGGGAGAGACAAACCGACTCCCTGCCCATCCTCACGAGCCTCTTACCAGGCGCGGGAGCTGAACGGCCTTCCGCACCCGCAGAGGAGGCACCAACGGCTCGAGCGGAACATCGCGACCCTGAGGAGAGCAGAAGGCTCCATTCAGACCCACGCGCGCGCAAAACGGCGAAGGATAAACCAGAAAGGGCTCGCTGGGTCCGCTGGGAAATGTAGTTTCGCATTGGCGCGGCTCCGCCCGCCTTCCCTTCTCCTACTAACTAGGCGATTGGTCAGCGTCACACGAGAGACGGCGAGAGCTACCAATCAGAGAGGCGCGGGCGAGCAAACAGCCGCCCCCCCTCGCTTCCAACGTTATAGCCACCGACGCGAAGGGATCGGGAACGGCCTTGGTTTGACGCATGCGCACTTGGGTTCGCTTACCTGCTTCGCTAACCCCGCTGGTGAAAGATGGCGTCCCGCGCGGGACCTCGAGCCGCTGGAACCGACGGCAGCGACTTCCGGCACCGGGAGCGCGTGGCACAGCACTACCAAATGAGGTGGGGTGCGGGGTGGGGCCAGCAAGCCGCGCGCCCAGCGGGGGAAACCAGGCTGCTTCCCCCGCCTCCGCAGCAGTGCACGTTGCCGGAGCTTCCCGCTGTCATCCCTCCTTAGTCATTCGCCGTCGTGGGGTCCCCCCCCGTCCGCTTATCGGGCAGCGTCGTTGCGTTTTCGCCGCCGCCCTCTTGCTCAAAAGTGTGGGGGAAAGCTAAATGCATGTAACGTCGTTGTGCAGATCGCCCGGTAAATCACTATGCAGTAAGACGGGGTGGGGGGTGGGGAGGAGATCATGTGTTGTGTGAAGAGGTTGATGGCTCGGCCACCTACTAATGAGGTTTTGTTTTGTTATTCCTCTGCCTGTGCCTTTCACACAGCTGGAGAGTCAGCTGGCCAGGCTTTTTCCATCACAGTATCTGCACTAGGAAAAGTTTTCCTCTACTGAATTTTGATTTCTTGTGCGGCTGCTAAAGGCACAGGAAATTTGTTCTTTTTTTAAAAAAAGCTGGCAGCTGGATTGCAGCTCCACCTTCCTTGCAGAATATTAGAATTAAATTATCAGCAGCACCGCCAATAAAATATTCGATTCTCTGTTCTTTAAAATAGGATCACCCCAATCGCCACAGACCAGTACAGTCGGAATTCTTTTGCTCAATTGGTCGAGAGCAGCCTATGTTGGACTCCAAATCCTTTCGGCCTTTGTCATCATGGCCTGTGGTTACAGATGATGGGAGCTGTAGTCCAACAGCACTTGAGGGCTCATGGTTGAGGATGTAGAGCAGCGTCCGTCAACTCTGGGTCCCTGGATGTTGCTGGACTACAGCTGTCGTTATCCCTAGCCAGCTCAGCCAGCAGTCAGGGATGATGGCAGTTGCATTGCAACAATGTCTGGGGATCTGAGATGAGAATAAGTGACACAAAAACGAAAACATTGGATGTTGTTGGACTATAACTCCCATCATCCCTGATCATGGTGGCTAGGCATGATGGGAGTTGTAGTCCAACAACATCTGGGGACCCACAGGTTGAGAAACACTGGCTTAGAAGCTTATTTTGGCATTAAGTGGTACATACATTAATAAATAGCAATAATATTATAATTCTGCAGTCTGAGATGGTAGGGGTTAACATCCAGAAAATCAACTCCCTGCTTTGGGTTTGGGTTTGGTTGGGTTTTTCTTAGCTTATAGCCTATGTCATTCTGCCTAGTTCTTCACCAGTTTGTCTTGGTGTTGACTATCTCACCACCATATTTGAAATTACCTTTTAGTGCTGGCTCTTGCTGACCCTTGCCTCCCCCTCCCTCCCTCTGCTTCCCACAGTGTGTCCCTCAAGTCCGAGATTAAGAAGTTGATCTACATGCAGATAGCGCTGTGGCTTCTGGTGGCAGCGCAGATGTGTGTCGCTCACTTCAAGCTGCTGCCCCACGACCAGGTGGCCATGCCTTACCAGTGGGAGTACCCGTACCTACTCAGCATCATCCCTTCGCTCTTCGGCCTCTTCTCCTTCCCGCGGAACAACATCAGCTACCTGGTCATCTCCATGATCAGCACAGGCCTTTTCTCAGTGGCGCCTCTCATCTATGGCAGCATGGAGATGTTCCCGATGGCGCAGCAGCTCTACCGCCACGGCAAGGCCTACCGCTTCATCTTTGGCTTCTCCGCCGTCTCCGTCATGTACTTGCTGGTGGTGGTCGCCGTGCAGGTTCACGGCTGGCAGCTGTATTACAGCAAGAAGCTGCTGGACTCCTGGTTTACCAGCACACAGGAGAAAAAGAAGAAATGAACAGGCGGCCAGGAGTTCACCTGCATGCAGCGATGTCTGGGGGCTTGGGGTGGGGGCTCAGGGGTGCCCTGCTCAAGCAGAGGCAGGTGGCGCTATTTGGGATTCTCTGCCCTCCCCATCTTGCCAAGCTGATGGGAGATGGCAAGGGCTCCGTTTGAGCAGGGTGAAAGCCTCTGTGGGTGCCTTCCGACCCTCTGCTGGCAGCCACAGGGACTAGCAGCTGCAGACTTGGGCAACCCTCCTTTGGGGAGGGATTTATGGGAGAGGCATCTGGTGCCTTTCAGAAAGACCTTACCTAGCTTGCTCAGACTGAGAGATGCAGGACGCTCCTGCTGCTTTGAATGCTGAATCGTGACCAGGCAGACTGACTCCATCTTCTTGAGTTGGTTAGATGTGAGTTGGGTAAGAGGATGTGAGTTCATGGTGAGGCTTGAGGTCCCATCACGTTTCACCCATCTTAAGAGTTCCCAATCAAGCCCTTTTGAGAGATTATGCTATGTGTACTTACCGTATTTTTCTGTGTATAACGACCCCTATTTTTGGGGACCGCAACAAAATAATTTGGGGGGGAAATTGCTCAGAGTTCTTGCACTGTTTGTGGGGAGATTGCCCAGAGTTGTTGAGCTTGGGGGGGGGGGCACCACCGCAAAACGCTCGACAGCCTACCCCACAATGCAAACCGCACACATCACTACAGACATCAATCGTCTACATACTACTACTACTACTACTAATAATAATCATCATAATAATAATTTATTATTTATACCCCGCCCATCTGGCTGAGTTTCCCCAGCCACTCTGGGCAGCTACCAATCAAGTGTTAAAAACAGTACAGCGTTAAATATTAAAAACTTCCCTGAACAGGGCTGCCTTAAGATGTCTTCTGAATGTCAGGTGGTTGTTTATCTCTTTGACATCTGATGGGAGGGCGCCACTACCGAGAAGGCCCTCTGTCTGGTTCCCTGTAGCCTCACTGCCCAAAGCCCAACTGCCCAATTGACGCAACCACAGCCTGCTGTCCCTTGCTCATTTAGTCATGTAGATGGGTTTCCATCTTTGCTCATAACCCCCCTTGCCTTTTCCTATAAATGCCTGGGTGCCCCAGAGACTGCTGTCGCCACCCCATTCCCAGCTAATGAGTTTCAGCACACACACACACCCCATGTACTTGAGTACCAAATAAAGAAAAATATTGCAGAACGTTGCACCTGGGTTTTGTTTTTAATTAGCAGGGGGTGGGTGTGATGGTGGCAGCTGGCTCGAGCTGCTAGAGGTGAAACCACCCTCAATCATGTATTGTCCTGTCTTCAGGAGGCGCTGAGCGCCTTGTAGTGCCAGATAACAATGTGGTGTGCATGAGTGCTAAGACTGCCCACCAGTACCTCCAGTGTCCGTGAAAGGTCTCAGTAAATATCCCCTCAAAAATGTGCACATGAGAGGCTGTTTGTGCCTTCTGCTCAGTTCCTGTTCACATTGGAACATGCCCCATTAAGCTTGGACACATTTCATTGGATGTTGCAGTTGGACAGCCACCTTCCTATCCATAGTGGAAAGAAGCAAAGAGCTCTCTCTGAGCAAGTGCAACAGTGGCGTAGATGTCATTTCCCCCTACTTATGTGAATGCCCTATGTTGGCTCTTTTTTCTGTTCTTTGAGAGGTGGCAGCCATTTTGTGTTGCTCCATTCCCCACAGCAGCCATCTTGTGATGGGTGCCCTTTCTCAAAATTCCAAGGATGCCCACTGGCCTAAGGAATGCCACTGTCAATAGGAAAGAAAGTGGAGATTTGTGTGGTGAGAATATGATCTGTCAGGGATCTCTTGCCTACATAGAAAGCTTCCTTGAGGTAGTCACAAGAGTTGTAGACATTTGCTCCCCTGTGCAAAAAGAAGCTGAGGAACAGAACAAGATTGGTTCAAAAAACAACTCTTAATACAGATCTACACCATACATTTAAATCATGTCCAAAGCACATGAGTTCCCACAAAGAATTCTGGGTACCGTAGTTTGCTAAGAGGGCTGAGGATAGTAGCTCTGTGAGGAGGAATTTGAGGCAGATCTCCCCATTCTATGTCTGATACTCTAATCAAGCTTAACATGCTGATTCTCTAATAGCTACTTATAATTGCTCCCATACCACAATATTATTATTTTATTCTGATATATTTCAAGCAGTAGGAAATTGGGACAAAATTTAATAATACTCTGGATCTTATTCTTGTTGAATGGTGGTTATTCTGATTTTCTGGTTACATGTGTCCTATTGTTCAGAAAAATGCGGTGCAGCCAACTCATTCAGCTGCAGAAGGTCAAGAAACCCGGTAAATTGGAGGGGGGCGGAGAGAAGTTGCAATGTCATTATTCAAGATGGCAGATGAGCCAACTGCCACTCTCGCAGCTGCATTATTTCTTTTAAAGAATTGTTGTACAAGGTGACAAAACCGCCAGGTAAGCAGGTGGGCAATGATCCAAGAATCTCGGGGTGCTATGCACCCTCAGCTAAAACCATGCACTGAGTGAGAATGTTTCTGACCACTCTGAAACGGAAGCAAGCCCTACTGCGGCACGAATAATAGCACATGTTACTGAGGGAGGACTGGGAACCCATGAGAGCTACAACCAGGGCCATTTTCCCCCAGCTGGAACTTACTCAGTTCTGGCACCTTTCAGGTGGGTGCAGTTGCCATGACGAGAGAACAAGGGAGACATTCATGATGAGTTCCGGTACCTCTTTTTCTAGAAAAATAGCACTGTGCAACAATTCTAAAAGGATTCCTCTGAAAAGACTGCAGAGTCTACAATAGGAATAGGCCTGAGGCACAACACTTCCATTGAGACCTTTACTAAAGTCACTGCGAATCTACTGCCTACGGTGGATACCCTGGAAGAACATAAATAACACAAGTAATCTGAGACTGAGAGGTGTCCTTGAAGAAATGAGGAAAGCAGGATTTAATTACCACCTCGGTGACATGATTTAAAGAGGTTTTCCCTGACATTTCCGATACTAGCAACATCCCAGAGGCCTAATATTCTTCAGGTGTGCGCCGTAAAAAGAAATGTGGAACACCCAAGCAGTACCCAACACAGAATGAGAAGGAGCGAAAGTACTAACTTTCCAGGATCTCGGTGCAGGTACATTGCAAAAAAAAAAGGACTTTAAGCAAGTTGCAGGAAAGTTACGCTCTGCAGGGGTGAGAGATGACTGGGAATTTTCCATTCCAGCTTGATAGCATCCCATGATTCAAAGGTGCTGACAGAAACCACACAGACAGATGCAAACAGCAGTTTGGTGGCAGTTTTAGAGGATGACACAGGCAGCTCCAAGGGCAGCGAAGAGGATAGGAGGCTGGCAGCAAAAAACAGAAAAATTAAAAAAAAAAACAAAGGTCCTCAGGGACAGAGACACTCGAGATAACCAATACCGTCCACTTTATAGAGCATGAAGTTCATAAAAGTTTTCTGAAGGAGGAATTTTATTAAGGGGGAGGGGATTTGAATTGGATGTGGAATATGCAAAAGGATAAGGGGAGATAGTAAATTCCAGATGTCCTGAGGGTGCAAATCTGGATATCCTCTCCCTGACACATGAAGGACTGTCAATCCAGCAGGCATAATACTCGCACCTCTATTACTTAGGGAATTGCCCACTCACTGCAGCAAAGTAACAAACTGCAGTGGTACCTTGGGTTACAAACACTTCGGGTTACAGACGCTTCAGGTTACAGACTCCACTAATCGAAAAGTAGTACCTCGGGTTAAGAACTTTACCTCAGGATGAGAACAGAAATTGTGCGGCTGTGGCGCGGCGGCAGCGGCAGTGGGAGGCCCCATTAGCTAAAGTGGTACCTCAGGTTAAGAACAGTTTCAGGTTAAGAACGGACCTCCAGAACAAATTAAGTTCTTAACCCGAGATACTACTTGAGTTACAAACACCTTAGGTTACAAAAGCTTCAGGTTACAAACTCCACTAACGTGGAAGATTTACCTCGAGTTGAAAACTTTGCCCCAGGATGAGAACGGAAATCGTGTGCCGGCAGAGTAGCAGCAGCAAGAGGCCCCATTAGCGAAAGCACGCCTCTAGTTAAGAACAGTTTCAGGTTAAGAACAGACCTCCGGAATGAATTAAGTTTGTAAGACATGCCTCCCTGTTTGAAAATGAGGTGATAATTTTCACTACATGCAGTCTGTACAACCTGGAAAATAAATGTGACAAGACGAAGTTACTGAGACTAGAGGTACCGCTGTATTCACAATAAGGTGGTACCTCGGGTTACAGACGCTTCAGGTTACAGACTCTGCTAACCCAGAAATAGTACCTCGGGTTAAGAACTTTGCTTCAGGATGAGAACAGAAATTGTGCTCCGGTGGCGCAGCAGCAACAGGAGGCCCCATTAGCTAAAGTGGTACCTCAGGTTAAGAACGGTTTCAGGTTAAGAACGGACCTCCAGAACGAATTAAGTTCTTAACCCGAGGTACCACTGTTTGGTGTCTCTGACCCATGTCCTGACTTCTACAGATTTGCAAGTGTTTGCGGCACAGGCTGCAACAGGGGTCTGGCATTTGAATCTCAATTCTGATTCATTCAGTGGAAATCCACAGTAGATAAAGCCAAGGAGAGGGCTTTCCCCTCCACTGAATGATTCTTTTCTTAACTTCATTTTTCAGTGTCTGAAAAGACTTATAACAAGCAATCCCCATATATCCCCCCACCTCCAATAAAAATTCCATGCATATTCAGTGGTAAACAATACATTTAAATATTGAGCTGGTTTGTACAATATCTTAAGAGTTATCAGTGAAGTGTCTTCTAATCTCCGCCTTAACAGATTGTTCCATAGCGAGCCGTGGGTGGGGAAGAGATAGCAAACATGCACTATACTGTTCCAAAATCATCTTCAGCCTTTGTGTTTCTTAGTGCGCTAATATACTTTGTTAGTTTCTCCATAAGAGTTGTGTTCTGTGGTCTGCCTTACCATGCCTCTAGAGTTAAGTTTGTAGCTGTTTTCCAATATTGTACTAACAGGTATCTTGTTGCAGACATGAGAAAGATTAGTAGGTTCATTAAAGAGTAAATTATTATCGGTATCTATAGACAGATTTAGTAATGTTACAGGTAGCCATGTTGGTCTGCCGTAGTTGAAACAAAACAAAACAAAACAAAACAAACAAACAAACAAACAAACAAACAAAATCCTTCCAATAGCACCTTAAAGGTAAAGGGACCCCTGACCATTAGGTCCAGTCGTGGACGACTCTGGGGTTGCGGCGCTCATCTCGCTTTATTGGCCGAGGGAGCCGGCGTATAGCTTCCAGGTCATGTAGCCAGCATGACTAAGCCGTTTCTGGCGAACCAGAGCAGCGCATGGAAATGCCATTTACCTTCCCGCCAGAGCGGTACCTATTTATCTACTTGCACTTTGACGTGCTTTCGAACTGCTAGGTTGGCAGGAGCAGGGACCAAGCAACGGGAGCTCACCCTGTCGCGGGGATTTGAACCACCGACCTTCTGATCAGCAAGTCCTAGGCTCTGGTTTAACCCACAGCGCCACCCGCGTCCCAATAGCACCTTAGAGACCAACTAAGTTAGTAAGATTTAATAAAGTTATCCTTGGATCAGCTTGTGCTATGTGTCCCCTAATAGAAAAAAAATGTATTCAAATACTTTTTCCCAAAATAATTGCAAAGGCTTGTTGCCTGTTTGTGTTATCAGTTTCACAGTGCAAATCCATTTCCCACATCAATTTTAATGAGATTGGATCCCCTCTCATCACATTGCAGATAATATTGTAGGCATCTGAGAGTAATTTTCTGATGGGTAAGTAGAATTTAAAATTGGTTCCAATAAGTTTTACTTTTCTAAGTAGAAGTGGAAAAAGTTAATTGAAAACAAGCTAAGGGGATTTTTCAACTAGTTTAACACACAGTTCTTTTATAGAGTCTGGCATGAAGGCAGCATCATCTAATCGACTGTTACATGCTTTGATGTTTCTTAGACCAAATTACCTTTCCCCACCCACTCTTTTTAAAAGGTAGATTTTATCGCTTTTCTCCCCACACACGTCTTTTGTTTTTCTAGTTATATCTGTTCGTTGCTGCTTTTGCTGTACTCAAATGATAATTATTTCTATTCCTCCTCTAGTTGCTTTTGCACTCAATTCTTTATATGCACAGAATTCTTTCTCTTTAATTCTTTTATGGGTTTTAATCCCCCCCCCCCGGTTTTAAACTGCTTTTATGGGTCCTAGTTTAACCTGTCTAGCGGTTTTACTTTTTATTGTGCAAGGCAATTGATAAATGCCATTAACTGAATAAAAACAGGAATAAAAACGCTAAAGGAAACCTTCTTGCTTCTAATAGCTTTTTTGGCCCTCCTTGTCAACCATGCGGAAATCCCCTTGGCCTAGGTGCTACCCTTTCCCGATCTGCGGTATAAATTACAGTGGTACCTCGGGTTACATATGCTTCAGGTTACACACTCCGCTAACCCAGAAATAGTGCTTCAGGTTAAGAACTTTGCTTCAGAATAAGAACAGAAATTGTGCTCCGGTGGCGGGGCGGCAGCAGGAGGCCCCATTAGCTAAAGTGGTGCTTCAGGTTAAGAACAGTTTCAGGTTAAGAACGGACCTCCGGAACGAATTAAGTACTTAACCCGAGGTACCACTGTATAGCTGAACTCCGCTTACTGTGGTTTTGAACAGCCCCCAGGCGTTCTGGAAAGATTTGAGCCTCGTCTTTGCCTTCCAACCTCCTTTTGCCAATCCCCTCGCTTCTTTTGAAGATTCCTCATTCGAAGTCAAACGCAACTGTGTTTGGTTTTCTCCGCCATTTGCAGATCTAATATTTGCTGAATCTGATAGCGCTATGGTCACTGTTCCCAGTTGCATACATACGATTAAGTCCAGGGTTAGCAAACAAAGAAAGCGATATGACTCATGCAAGTTGCAGAAAAATAAAGTAGTATTGCTAATGCAAATTAGAAAGTATTACTAAGGCAAGATCTCTTTGTGGCCGAGATTAAATCTCTGTGATAGCGTAATAACATAGAGCCAGCATGTGGCGTACTGAATCTCCAAGGACATCCTGTCGTGGGAGGGATGTGTGTAAAAAAAGGCAGGTTATGAAGGCCAGAAAGAGCCTGGAGGTTTGGGTGTGTATGGAAAGGGGGTGGAAATGGGAGGAGAAATCTTGAGGAGGGCCGTGAGAAGAGTTATAAAAGGTGATGCTTGCTGTTAGATGATCGGCAAATAAAGCTCCTGTTGCCTTCATAAAACGAATCAAGGTCCTCTCTGAGAAACAACCCCATAATTCTGGCCTGAATCCATGGAAACAAGAGACACAACTAAACAGAACCTGGTAAAATGTTCTTTTATCTTTTCGATGTATGTTTTAAACATTGCATTATGTATGCTTTTATGATTGCGAATTGCTTTAGGACATGTTATATGGAGTAGTGGCAATTAACAAACGCTCGTAGTAATTACTAGTGCCTTTTTTCGGGGGGGGGTGTACGCAGGGGTACGCATAGCCCTAAACACGTTGTGAATCTAAGCTTGGCCTCATTGAGGGGCAGTATTTCAATATGAGTAGGAAAATGAGAGTACCCCTAAACATTTAGAAAAAAGAGCACTGGTGATGCTATCCCTATTTTAAAAGCACTCTTTGATATACAGTGGTACCTCGGGTTACATACGCTTCAGGTTACATACGCTTCAGGTTACAGACTCCGCTAACCCAGAAATAGTGCTTCAGGTTAAGAACTTTGTTTCGGGATGAGAACAGAAATCGTGCTCCGGTGGCACGGTGGCAGCGGGAGGCCCCATTAGCTAAAGTGGTGCTTCAGGTTAAGAACAGTTTCAGGTTAAGTACGGGCCTCCAGAACGAATTAAGTACTTAACCCGAGGTACCACTGTATGTGATAGTCCCGAGTAGGGAACCGCCAGCCAGGAGCGTTAATTTGAAATTCACCTGCCCACAGAGAATTTTAAATCAATATGCAGAGAGGCAAGGAAAGGTATGAACATCTAGTTAGGACAATGCTTCCCAGTTCTCAGGAACTGCTTGATTATTTCACATCCGGGAGGAGACGCCTCATTAAAAAAAGGAAAGCGTAAAATGGTTTAAATCTTTACGTCAGAGGGTGCGCATGGACTCTCAGCCAAATACAAGTTGAGCAACCAATATGAAACCAAGATGGTTAACACGTTGGTTTTATGAATCCTCTTCCTCCTCCTCTGTCTTCTCTCTCTCTCTCATAGAGGCATATTTCCACATCAATTTGCATAGAAATTAAAACTGACATATATACAGTTCATCAGGTTGTGCTGGAGGTGGGTGAAGCTGCCTCAAATTGTTATTATTTTAAATAACTTTATTAATTAAAAAGGACATACAGTGGTACCTCTGGTTCAGTACTTAATTCATTCCCGAGGTCCGTTCTTAACCTGAAACTGTTCTTAACCTGAGGTACCACTTCAGCTAATGGGGCCTCCCGATGCTGGCACACCGCCGGAGCACGATTTCTGTTCTCATCCTGAAGCAAAGTTCTTAACTCGAGGTACTATTTCTGGGTTAGCGGAGTCTGTAACCTGAAGCGTATGTAACCTGAAGCGTCTGTAACCCGAGGTACCACTGTACACACAATAACTCAACTTGAAACCTACCAACCAGACAGCTTTCAAAGATCAACTCACACCCCTGTATTTTAGTCCAAGAAATCTTTGCACATGTTGCCATGGGATTTCAGTGGAACGCGCTTACTGTCTCATGTATTCCAGAAGCGGTTGCCATGTGTTATAAAAAAAGTGAGGATTTCCTTTCCCTTTGGCACGTCCCTCAAATCAGGCCCATGCAGAGCTTGTCTGAGGCCCAAGGCAGAAGTCTTGTCCGTAAGATGTGCCACGGCCCTGCCGCTCCCTAATCTGATCTGACAGTACATACTAGTACGCAATAACGCAGATCCAGATTTTATTATCGAAGCCATGCAGTGCATACAGACAGCATGGCCGATTTGCCCAATAAGACCCTGGTTGGCTGGGAGGAATGGGGCATCCTTGGCATGGCAGCCTGGTGGAGACCCCCAGCCAATTTAGCCCTCTGAGTGTACCCTGCTGCTGCCCCCTGCCCTGCATGGGCCTGTCTCGAATTATTTTTATGTTGCGTAGTTTGCTGGGTAAAGGTAAAGGGAACCCTCACCATTAGGTCCAGTCGTAGCCGACTCCGGAGTTGCGGCTCTCATCTCGCTTTATTGGCCGAGGGAGCCGGTGTACAGCTTCCAGGTCATGTGGCCAGCATGACTAAGCCGCTTCTGGCCAACCAGAGCAGCGCACGGAAACGCCGTTTACCTTCCCACCGGAGTGGTACCTATTTATCTACTTGCACTTTGACGTGCTTTTGAGCTGCTAGGTGGGCAGGAGCAGGAACTGAACAACGGGAGCTCACCCCGCTGCGGGGATTCGAACCGCAGACCTTCTGATCGGCAAGTCCTAGGCTCTGTGGTTTAACCCACAGCGCCACCCGTGTCCCTTAGTTTGCTGGGCAGCCTCGGACAAAAGACTGCCTTGGCTTAGCCTTCTTCCTTGTCTGTTGCGGGAGATAAAAGCTAAGGGTTGTGAAGCTCTTTGAAGATGTAAAAGCATTCTGGAAAAGGTGGCATGTTGTATGCTGAATTATTTTACGCTGGGACAGGACGGGCGGACTGTAGATCAGCTGTAGAGCAGATGCTTTGGATGCAGAAAGTCCCAGGCTGAGATCTCAAGCTAAAAGGATCAGGCAGATCAGGAGAGCTGTTGCCAGCCAAAGTAGACAATATTGAGCGAGATGGATAAAATAGTCCAACCTGGTACAAAAGCAGTTTTCTATGTAGTACTTAAACTTTGAGGGGGGGAGGGTGTTAGAATAAAAATGATCATATATATTTTCAAATATGCAAGGAGTGCCTGGAAACATTTTTGCTGGGACATTGCTGCAACTCCCAGCGAAGTGTGGTGGCTGCACTGCTTTTATGCGGCAGCCGCTACATACATTGCTATGGTGTGCACAAGAGGGAGCCCTTAGCAGATTTATTTACTTTACAGATTGCAAATTAAAGGTAAAGGAACCCCTGACTGTTAGGTCCAGTTGCAGACAACTTTGGGGCTCATCTCGCTTTATTGGCCGAGGGAGCCGGCGTACAGCTTCCGGGTCATGTGGCCAGCATGACTAAGCCGCTTCTGGCGAACCAGAGCAGCGCACGGAAACGCCGTTTACCTTCCCACAGGAGTGGTACCTATTTATCTACTTGCACTTCGTGCTTTCGAACTGCTAGGTTGGCAGAAGCTGGGACCGAGCAACCGGAGCTCACCCTGTCACGGGGATTCAAACCGCCGACCTTCTGAACGGATTAGGTAGTGCTAATACAGCCACGCAACATATAGGGCTTTTTAAAAAGCAGGAACTCACCATAACTTGGTTCTGGCACCTCTCAGGTGGGCACTGTTACCATTACAGTGGAGCCTCGTGTTATGTACCATCCTCCTTGCGAACGCTGCGGGTTACGAGCTCCGCTAAC